GAGCGGCAGGGGACCGTGCAGACCACCTCGGAGCTCTTCAGAGCGGGGGCCCACTTCTCTGAAGAGTTCTTATCTGAAGTTAGGGGCAAAAGAGTCATTTGTTGCCCTGTCTGCCCTGATTTTTATTATGTAGCACTTTGAGTTCTGTTTATTCAAATGAAATAAACAGGGAAAAAAAGTATTATTATTAAATAACTATGAGCATGTAGCTACTTGTAGAAGAACTATGTATATGCAAAATAGAAAACAAAACAGCAGGTAAAATGACATTTGTAGTGGCAAAAAAAAATATTAAAATGCAGAGGAACTGCAGACACGGAAGCTATCCTACATTTGTTTGCATGTGTGAAATGAGAATTTCAAGTCAATGCAGAAGCCAATAGCCCAACACATTTCACAATGGCTGTTCTTAATCTGATCCTCATTCATTTGTATAATTGTTTCAAAGTATCCCGCAGCTGATATGGCTTATAAACACTGAGGTGTGAGGGCAAAGTAGAGCAGGCCGTGAAGTTTATATACCTTTCTCTGTAACAGCAGGGACTTTGAACAGCGTGTATTTCGTCTTGCCCTTCTCTGCTATCGAGGTTCCCATGTTGTAGGCGTTGCCCTCTTTGTCGTAGTGTGGATGGGACGACGCCATGTTTACAGGCAGGTACTTCAAGTAGTCCACCTGTGGAAAGAGTTTGGTAACTTATGAGCACGGAAATCAAGTCTTTCCAAGTGGATGAGCGCTAATAGTGATCGTTGGCCGTTACCTTATCCAAAGTTTCCAGTGTCACAGGGTCAATCTTGCGGATGTAGTTGGTTTCAGAGGTGGCGTAAAAGTCATTTCCGTACTTAATGAAATTGCTTGCTCCATTGTCAGTGAAGTCGGGCACTGTGTGGTTGAGAAAGGTAATCGCCCTGGAAAATAAGGAGAAATGCTGAATAGAAGTTTAAGGGATCAATAAAGTTGATTTTAACCTATATTACTACTAGACTAAAACTAAAAACTAAAATTGTACTAATCGATTATTTAATGTTAAGAGGATGCTCACTTGAAAATGAAATTCTTGCTCGGGTGTGGATAGGCCATGGTTCCCATTTCAGACACAACAATCCTGTTGGCATCCATGTTAGCTTTGTAGGTGTCCCCTCTCAGGAATCTGCTTCTGTGGGTCACTTCACCTGCAAGAGAGAGTTCAGGTATTGAGCATGCATTAAAAAGGAGCAACAGATAACTACTGTTAAGCAAAAATAATTTCAAGACGAACCATCTTTAATGGCAAAACTGTTCATGATAGCCATCCCATCAAACCAGTGGCTGTAGCTGGTGTCCCCCAGAGAGAAGATGCCGGGGCCATTGCGCAGCAGCGTGCCCTGCAGCCAGCTGGGAATACATCCTGAAGGGGAGGAAACAGAAAAACAGTCAGCAATGCATTTAGTAAAGTCAGTCCTAGTCCTTCAACAGAGTAAAAACTTGAACTACCTTTAACTTCTGCCTTGCGGGGCTCCGGGCTCTCCTCTGCGTTATTGGAATATTCTGTAGACATGTTGGTTGGAGGCGCAGTGCCTAAACTCTCTGATGTCCTAATAATGAACTGCTGTCATTCCCAGTGTAAACAGCTCCTTATAAAGCGTGTCAGTGTGTGGTGGGTGGGTGGGGGGGGGGGGGGGGCGTTAACTTATCTGGACTCGGATGCACTCTAGCCTCTGTTTATATCTTTAGCCAGCTAAGTTCGGCGAAATGATCCTAATCAAAACACTTAATCAACAACAAATCATTATATGAGCCATCTACTGACCACCACAGTGCCCGGTTCTTATTCATATTATTTCCCAACTTTTCACGTTTCATTTAATATGAACCATTTTCACTGCAGAAAATAGGTTCAGCCCATGATGTCATTGTAAATGTTATTAGTGAACATTTGGCTTGTCTGAATATGTTTTATTCTGCAATGAACTTGTTGTTTCCCCACCATATAAATGTTTGAATTGATTCAGTTCATTTGGATGGAAGAGGAACTATTTTATGGATTAGCTAGTGATTCACTTATATAGAAGTTTTGATTTGATTTGTTAATAGCCCATTGAACAGTTAGTTGCATATTCCAACCAGAGGTGGGAAGTAACTAAGTATATTTACTTAGGTGCAATTTTTAGATACTTGTACTTTACTTGAGTATTTCCATTTTATGCTACTTTTTACACCTAGAGTAAATTCACAAGCCACCCTGCAATATACAAAGTCATTCAAACTTGCTGCACCTTCACCAGCTTTGATAACACTTGAACGCATGAATAATTATACTCAAAACATATCATATATATTATTCTGAAATGGGTCAATTTGCATAATGAGTAGGCTACTTCATTTATTTTGATCATTTTATACTTTTAATTGAGTAACCTTTTAATTGGACTTTTACTTGTAACAGAGTATTTCTACACTCTGGTACATCTACTTTTACTTAAGTTCAAGATCTGAGTACCTCTCCCACCTCTGATTCTAACAGAGACTTAGAGATTGTATTTAGTATGATATCAGAAGGTAACATATTTGAACTGCTTTGCTGACTTAACTTTTTTTGATGAATTATAATCACTAAAATACATCTTGCACTGGGGTTAAAATCCTTTACAGTTTCTGGGTATTTGTTCTGTAGAATTACTTTTTCTTGGAAGGTTGTTTTGTGACTCAGACTCCCTGAAGTGCTGATGGAGTCAATCGCTCTATACAGTGGATGACTTGGACTTCTTGGAAAGTAGGTAGTAGTAATAAATACTATCAGGATGTTAAAGTCCAAGATGATAAAACGTAGGGATCTTACAATTTCAGAGGCGTTTTTGTAGAAATACTGCGTCCTACGTTGTGGACCAACGTAGTTATTACACGTTTTTTTGTGAGACTGGGTTGGTGTGGCTTGCGGAGGAGATTGCTCACGGGTAGATAAGAGAGCCTTCAGGTGAACCTTTCCTGGAATAACTAGTCCAGTTTCTTTTCGGAGAGGCGGGAAATCAATCAATCAATCAATCAATGTTTATTTATATAGCCCAATATCACAAATGTTACATTTGTCTCAGTGGACTTTACAGTTTGTACAAAATATCAGTATGACAATACGAAAGTGTATGCATTCATTTCACAGTTATGATCATACACATATAATATAAATAATAGTAATACAATAAAAGTATGTGAATTAACATATTTAGTGTGATCATATCATTCAAAGAATACCAAAAAACAAATACATATTTGTAACAGAAATTAGGAGAAAACCAAATAAAAAAACATTAAATGATAATAAAAAAGTAAATTGTAAACTAATAGGAGATGGATAAAAAAAGCAATGTTAACATTTTAAAGTGTATTGTTAAAGTATGTATAAAGGGTTAGGCGTTGTCCTCCTGTCTATAATTCAGTTACACAATTCACCATAGAGCCCAAACAGACTCAAATGATCTTCAAATATAAAAATAGCATGAGGTTTTTTAGCCCTGAGATGCTTTGGGGGCAAGTGGTGTCTTTCACTGCAACAGTACAAGACTAAAACATGTAGATATTTGAGTTGTATGAGATTGAGCCTGAAACTAGATGTAGGCCAACTATCATTCACTGAAATCAATGCAGCATTCCAGTCAGCGTCTTATGAATAAGTTACGATCATAGAAGAAACTTGATCAATCAGATTTTGGGAGGTTACATTTCCTCCACAATTGGCTAAAGCTTCATAAGACATTGTCAGTGTAGGTCATTTATGTTTATAAGGAATAACCTTAAGGAGAAGGCCCTATCAGTGCAGAGGAAAACACATATCTGCACTTTGATCAATCTACGGAGCCAGCATCATTACACATATAAAAATAATAGCAGCGTAAATACACTGTCAATTATGATTTTCTATGGATTTAGAAGTGCTTAATTTTTACGGAAACCATTACAGCTGCTGCTTCTATTTACAATATGCATAACTGTTCTGGTGACTGTTAAATGTTGATAAAGATGATTGTTTATTAACAGAATCCCTTAGAAAAATGTGTATGTATTTCAACAATCAAATTACAAGAAAACTAACATGAGTTTGGTCCAACTTTTTCTTTTTTTTGTAAAATGACCTACATAGAATTCTCTGTATCACTATCAGAATTTAGGAGCACTTTATATTTTATGGTTTGTGCAGGACATCTGTTATCCTCCCTAAAAGGTGACGTGACATCTCTGCACTCAGCATTTCTACAATAAGTGGAATTCCGCTCTCCCTTTTCAGAGAAAGACATGACACAACACTTAAAAGTAACACTTCAATCTTTGCTAAATAAATGCATAGCAGCACTGCCCTCTAGTGGCTCCTTAGTGGTTAGGCATCATTGAATGTATTTGTAACATTTAGCATAATCTCATTGATAAAAGGGAATGATAAAAAATATACAATTGTTGTTACTCTCAGCTTTTAAGACATATGTGTGGCAGGGAATGTCAACAGCTGGAAAATTACAACTATTGTCTTTACTGGAAACGTTCATAAACATCTTTTGCACCTGCAAGGAAATAAGAAGCAGACTAGGATTTATGTGGCATTGTGTGACAAATTGACCCTTCTTTTAACAGCATGGTTCAGATTTTATAGTGTTCAGTGAATGCACCATCCTTTCCCAAGTGTCATCCATACATATCTTTTAGGTTGTATTACTTTTCTGAGCATTTCGGAACACATTTCAAATATACCTACATCATCTTTGCTTTGTAAAGTGGTAGTTTGATTATTGTCTCAAGTCAATGCAATACAAAGTAATTACAATACAAATAAAATATGATTTTGTATCCTCCTAAACAATGTTATAGCTGCCATTAAAAAGTCAGCCATGCACTTGTCAAAGAAAAAATACTTAATATATATTTACATTGACGATAAAAAGATTGCGTTTAGTTAAAAAGCATATTGTAAAATAAATTGAGACAATACATTTGTTTTAAGCTTCAACATGATAGCACTTCAATTAAACACAACACATCAGTTAATTTGGTATTTATTGGAAAGAACAAGTGAACATGTAAATGACAAATATTTTCTCTTCTCCAATACATTCATAGAATGTCACTAAACACTCCGTCTACTGACATCTCTGTCCCGTACGACATTCAGAACAGAAACACCGACACCAGCACCGCGCTCTCTGTTACCGCAGCATCTGCTCTTGGATTAATAAATTAAAGACAATGGTACGGATACAATGCTAGATGCTCATATTATTCATGTTTATTCGCACTGCCCAGATTGTTAAAGACTGTGCCGATTAGTATTCAAGTATTCCCTTACGACTTCTCTCTGTGCTGGATATTATACAAAATATCTCTATGATGCTGTCATCATCATCTGTGGATTACATTATGTGACACAGTACAAGAATAACGTTTAAGTAAACATTATGTACTAAGAAAAGGAAAAAACTAAAGTTGTCTTGCAAAATGTATATCTGTTTACAGTGCGATCCCCATGCAATACCACATGCAGTTATAGAGGGTGCATGAAGAAGACCTTATAGACCATGCATACAGCCACAGCTGAACAGAAGTGGCATGCGGACCTGAAACCCTTTTATGATTTCCTTTAATTTACAGTGACATATGAACACATCCTGACAGTTATCTAAGATGTGAGATAGCATATAGCCAGAGTCTATCCTGTTCCAAACAGTGCCTGTAATAAAATGGCATAAAAGTCTTTCACACTTTTGACCAAGACAAACTTCACTGAGCCTCATCACACTGTGAGAGGTGTGTGAGAACATAACAAACCATGGTTGGCACTGAAAATGCTCATGGATATGAAAAATAAAGTATATCGGAGTAGCAATGGCTAAAGCACTGGCACGTAATTTGAATTTAAAACCATAACAAAACAAAAGCACTAAAACAACCAGCCTTCACATGCCGCTTGGTTTTACATTTGGAGCTAATACAAAGGCCAACAGATCGCTTTAAACAGACATCAGACATGGGAAAACTGTGCTGTGGGGGTGTAACAAATATTCACTGTGCAATCACAAGTTGTTTTTAAAAGGAAACAAAATCAAATGCTGAATAGCAAGGCCTACTCTCAAAACTAGCAACACATTTGACAGAAGCTTCTGATGTACAGCTCATAAAGATACATTTTCAATATAAATTCAAGTGTTGTAAATCATCTATGAAGTGCCATCTTTTAATTTGAACAAATGATACATTTGTCCTGAAAAGCCATGTACAGATTTGTTCAGTGTTGTACGACGATTAACTGCGTTGTCGGTAGAATAACGCTTAAGAAACAACGATGGGGTGAATCCTCATAACTTTTCAATGTTCAACTGAAAACAAAACACTAAATATTTGATCAGTCATGAATAACTCTGGAAGTGCACATGGTGTTTAACAGCTGGAAATCATACAGAACAGAAGCAAAATGTAACATATACAGAAGTATTAACAGTTGAAATACTGATTATTGTCTCTGATTTGACCAAACCATTAACATTTTAACATTCAAAATCTAGTGAAATTAATTGACTATAATCATGTACAGAATGAAGTTTTGATAGATGTGCGTTCTATCGTGGTAAACGCATGCAGCTTGTTGTGGCTAATGTTGAATTTAAACAATTTGTGAGGATATCATAAACAGGAAGTGTGAATATTACATAAACCTAAGGTCAGACCAAACTGGAGGAGTGCCAGATCTACTACCAACATTTCAAAGCCGTTGCTCTTTGTCTACAACACTGATTCTCAATGAGCATCCCTTTACATGCATCGCACAATGTGAAATAAATATAATGACGGCTTCCACAAACAGTGTCAACTTTGTGTATCCAATGTGATATTTGTTTCCAATTCCTGTGAAATATCAGGTTATATTCCTATTAAATCATGTGGATTTAAATATCTGGTGTTGCCTTAATATTATTATTTGCATTGCTAAATGTCAGCAACACTGCAGTGACATTCAGTTTCTCTTTTGGCCTTTTCAAGGTACTCCATACATCAGTCTCCTTGTCATTAAAAACAGTATCTTTAATTGTTTAAAAACGATTTGCCTTGACCCCAGCAAGACAAAAGAAAAACACTTTAATCCAAACCATTCAAATGCAGAAAGACTCACAATATCAAATAAACCTGTTAATAGGCTGGCTTTTATTCAAACCTCTTAACCTAATGCCAGTGGGTGAGTGATTCAATGATTTCAATAACTGTTCTCCTCTGTGATTGCACTTGATATCCCATCTTGTAGGAGTCAAGTCCCAACAAAGGAGGGAGGGAACAGAGAAGCTTGACCCTTTTCCTCAACAGGGCTCTAACAATGAGTGTATGGCACTGACCATGTCTCCCATGTTCCCTTTAAATCTTTGCTTTACCATCAACATATTCCATCATTTCCATCCCGGGACTCAGGCAGCAGTAATAATAATCAAAATATTTTAAAGTATTTTGCTGAGCATAAAGAAAAGTAAACTTTTGGACGATTTGTGGTAATCCATTGTCTCGGGACGAACTCCTTGTTTGGTGGAGAGGAAATTTGCCATGCTCACATTGCCAACAGGTCATTCCATGGCTTAGTCTGTTAAACAGTCCATTGGTAGGCTTGCTTTCCAAAATAATTCCCTCATTACATTCGATCCTGTAACATCACCTCGCAGGTTTGACAGTCCAAACTGCTATCCACACACTGCCAATGATGTCATTTTGTCTCTGCTGTGGAGTTCTCCCACCACTGACACCTTGTTTCCCTTAATCCGTCTTCCCATTCTCTTGAGGCGCTCTGGCTTTGCTCCTTTGTGCCGAGCGCAGCACTCTGTAGCAGCCGCGAGCGATCTTATGCATCCACATAACGTTCATGATGTCCAAGCAGATGCTGGAGCCGATCCAGGCCACGCGGCCCCCCCCAGGGCACCAGGTAGAAGGCCTCGGTGCCATACACCATGTACATACGGATGTAGTAGACCGGCATGACGGCGATGCGGACAAAGAAAAAGACTGCTGCCATGACAACACCGTTCGCCATGTTGGGCCGGGAGGATTTAGGATAACCTAGTACCTCAAAGAACCAGCTGGAACACAACACAGAGTTAGGAAACAAGATGCAAATATAAAATTATGCATGATTAACAAGGAGTTGGTATCTACAGTAATAATCAAAAGACAACATGCAAGAACCAGTAGATTAACTACATGTTATTCCTAACCATTTTTACACCTTCTAAGGAATAAAACTGCAAAACATTTGTAAATTGAGCTACTAATCTTAAGAGCCATAGCCCAGGTCATTAGTAAGCAGGTACTCACCGCTGGTTAACACATGGCGTGGAAAACTCCGCAAGCAGACGGAAGTTAGCAAAATAAGGCAACATTCCTAAGCCCTGCAAGAACAAGGTAAAAACAGGAAGACAACGAAACATGAAAGGGAAAAAAAACACAAGACACCGAGTCATTTTGATCAGCAGGCAGGAAGCTCACACTCCGCCTGCTCTGCAAGTCACTGCATGATATTTCAGATTGCAAGACATGCTTTTACTGTGAGGGGAACTCAAGTCCAAATACAGGCCTACTTGCCAGATCTAACAAAAGAGGCTTCTGCTTCAAGGCTCACAATTATTCTTTGGCTAAATTTAGACTGGTCCTTAAATTTGACTTCAGAATGATTAATTCTCCTCATCTATTCATCCCTTTGTAGCACGAGTTTCCAGACCATATTTTATGATAATCAATGTGTCTGAATATTAGATATATGAATGTTGACTTGTTTGCCTGATAATGGCCCCAACTGTCAAAAATCTAAATGGTTCATCCTTTAAAGAGTATTAAAATCATGGGATCCATCCCTGAAGATCATGAATTCCCTAAACTAGAGCAACATTCATACTAATGCTAAATGGGGTTGTTTTTAGTGAGGCAATACATGGTTTTGCGTCATATAAGTTGTCATGTTACCTCATATATTCAAGTAACACTGACTAATGCATCTTTATACCGAACCATATGCCAACTACTGCCAATTGCCTTCATGTATTTTCATCGATAATGCAGCAGAACAGTGTAAAGACCCCACAGCATAGCAGTTATTCTAATAATCAAATATCAACACAGCAAAAATATTGATACAAATAATGTACAACCATACACTCACTCAGCCAGCCACTACTTGAAGGAGCAATCGGAAGCCATGCAGAGGAAAAGCAATATGTGTACAAGTCATAGCTTAGCGTATCAGGGCCTGAAACCCATGTTGTATGAGATCATCGTCAGCAGGTTTGTACTTGAATGCTGAATTTAAGAAATGCATGGACAGAAGCCAATATGACGCCCTTGAGATAGATAGATAACCCACAAGGCTTTATTTTCCATTTCAATCACAATTTCACACGTTTTAAGCTGCTGCTAAAGAGAATGAAGATGATCTTACAAACAAGATGATTTCAGGACACCTCATCTTGTAAACATGGCCTTCCCTGCTTAATTAACAAAATAAAGCAGGCTAAAATTGTTTTAATATTTTGCAATCAGACACATCTGTTAACGGCTCGGCAATAAGATTGTTTTAGAAATTGAGAGCTGGGATTTGGATCTCTACTTCTTGACCATACAAATAAAAATCATAGGTCAAACTCAATGCTAAGATAAAAATCACAGCACTCAATTTCTCCCACAAACAACCTAAATTGGAGGTTATTTGGCTTTTACAGCAAGGAGACTTACCGTCAGAGCTGAAACAAAAGCTGTACATTAAAACATACTTACTATGTGACACACACATCTGCATTGCACTGTTTGTAACATATGAAATGAAGTTTCCACCTAGCATTAGCATGCTAGTACCTCTAGGAACTGGTAAGTCCATACTGTGACTGGGCATCATATCTGCTCAGTGCAACACAACAGCATATAGCAGACAAGGCAGGAATAGGTCCCCATCTAGATCAAGACCTGCTCTGGGTTTTCTAAATGACACACAACCCTTTTGGTAGTTTTTGCATGAACGGGGATGACACAACCCGACTCGATGTTGGAGGTTTAAAGAGGGGCTATTTATGTTAAAGTCAGCAGGACACAGAGACAGACAGACAGATATATTAGAAAGAAAAAGATGCCACAATTGAAGTAAATAAGAAGCAACAATAACAAAAACGTAACAAAAGAAAGCATGCATCTAATATTTACAGTTATAAAATGATTTTATGGATTTAGCTACACACACACAATATACAGATTATGCTGGAATTTAAAAAAATCATACGACTATTTGAACAGCGTTATGAGCAAACATTAGTGACTGATTAGTCAAGAATCGTATCATGCCAAGAAGCTCATAACATTAGGCTGATTAAAGTCTTTGTTTTTTAAATACAGATTTACCAAGTTAATTTGGCCTTAATTTGGCTGTGTGCCCCATAATATTCATATTGGGTAGGTATAATTTATTTGACATAAACACACACAACACATTAACTAATAAGACTTAGACAACTACACACATTTGACTACTTACAGAACTAAAATGAAAACGTTCAAGTTTCGACCACTTTTACATTGGTTTCACCATATGTTCAGTACAGTAATGTGAGGTAACAAACGCGGAGCATTCATTCTGTTGTCCCACATGAAGTTCAGATCTCGTCTGAGGAACAGTCACGAGTGACCAGTAACAGTATGGCCTACTTTGTCTCATTATCCTATCTGTTTTAGATACAGCGGCTTGTTCTGTTTCTCAAAATAAACGGCTGGATTTAAAGTTTAAATCCTATTTTTAATATAACGATGTGACACTGATTTAATCCTATTATTACTTTGACACAGAAATGTGGAAAATAAATATTCCTCATTAACAATGCAATGAAGACAGACATCCAAACCACATGGTAAAATGTGTCTCATTTAAGAAGAAAAACAAATCCGTAAAATCCAGCCAGTGACTGTAGACAGGGGTACAATTTAAATCTGGATTTAAGGGTTTATATGCAACATAAAGCTAAAATGGAATTATGTTTTTCTTTCCAAGTACATCTGACAGAAGAGGCCGGAGGGGCTTTGTCAGTTTCCTCTTTAGGAAATGTCAGGAAAAGTTTAAGGAAGAAAGAAGAGGCAGAGCTAGGATTTTAACACAGAAACAGACAGGCAAAGGCCGGTTATGTAGAAAGGCAGGGAAGTAATTGAGAGTTAAATACTGTTTGTTGGCATGCACAGTTACAATAAAAGAACCCTGCCTTTGTAGAATGCTTCAGAGCTGCCAGCATGCACACAGTGGTTACAGATTAGCATCAAGCTGCGCTAAGCTCACGCCAGATTCACACAACTTAAAAAAGGGGGTCAGTAAAACAAAGAGAAAGCACGGAAAGTGTAAGGGAAAGGTAGGGGGGGGGGGTCATCAGCCAGTACCATCATTGAGCATTCCATGCAAAAAATACCATCGTCATTCATTTCCATAATAATAATTATCAACAGATCCTGTTGACCTAGAGGGTTTCAGATTGAACCAAGAGTGAACAGCACTGCCCAGAAATGCTGAGTCATATCAACTATCTGCATGTTTAGACAAGAGCTAACTGTATAAAAACGGAGCATCAATAAGCAGCTTCTTAGTACTTCAAAGGAGAAAGGATCAGCAGGCTAATACCTGCAGTTAAAAAATAAATAAAGCAAATTTCATGTATATCAATCACTGTGCACCACCTATCAAAAGTGGTTGAGTTGCTAGCTACGACTGGTTACTTTTCTTAGTATTCGCACCATATAAGATGTGTTTATACATGAAACTTTTGGCCACTCTTCACTTAATATTTGTACATCTTGAGAAAGCAGAGAGGATGGGAAACGACGCCTCCTGCTGGACCACGCTAGGTCTCACAGGTACATAAAAGCTCAAAAAGTGGGCTTTGAACACCATAAATTATGTACTCATCTGATGTGTTTGTACAATTGGTGGTGTTAGTCACCTATTAATTTGGCCTTGAACATATTCAACTAAACCAGATATGAGCAGCATGACAACACTCATAGATCTAAGTGAGTGGAGGCTATCTGAGGTAAAAGCCTGACAGGACAGTTGCCCACTCTTGGTTGTCTCCTTCCCATCTTGCCTGCATGTTCTGCTATTGGACAATAAGGCACTCACCAGTACATAGTAGTAAGCATACAACGCTGCCAGGTGGTGAACTACAAAAAACTTGTCGCCTATCGCCTTCCAATAGTAAAATATTAGCAGCAGATCTGGAAAACAGAAGCACAGGGGAAACACAGATAACACGTCACTGGTGTAATCCAAAGGTTTGAAGACCAGACTAGTGTAAACACATTTTTTTTTTTATGAACGTGTGTGATTTTTAAACTTCTAATTGGCATCTGACCCACACAATAAGGCATACACTTAAGTGATTTATCGAAGCAATACGTATACAACATATTTTTACAATGTACATGCATCTTCTTCTACTTTCTCAAACATCTCCCAGGTAAACTGAAGGTTTCTCTTACCAGATATGAGGTAGCCTGTTGTGATGGCAACATTAGTCTTCACCAGTGTAGGATCTCCCCTATTGAAAAAAAACCACATTTGGTTTGAGAAGGTTTGTGTGATTAAATGTTAAAGGGGCTCTAATGTGCTTTTTCTGTGAATGTAAATGGTCTGCAAAGGCTACAATCACAAAGTTCCTTCCTGAGGGAGTTTCTCTCCCACACACTTTACATCACTATGTAACACTCGCACACATTGTACATGATAGGCTAAGGGGCGAGACATCTCTAAGCATTTAACCAATCACAACAGAGCCGGCCAGCTAACCAATCAGAGCAGACTGGGCTCTGGTTTCAGACAGAAGGAGAAAAGAGGTGCTCCAGCACAGGCAGTATGAGAAAAATAAAACATGTCACAGTAGAGACACACAATATAAATATGAACCTGAAAATGAGCATCATATGGCCCCTTTAAAGCTCTTAATATATGTAGGTGTTGAAAATGTCAGCAGTATGGTTTCAAAAGAACTTGAGGTAAGTAAACCTCTTCCAAACTTGCAGAGGAATTCCCATTGCTATGAATCATAGACAGATATTATCACCAAGCATGTACACCCTTGGTTACTGTTGCTATGGCTGTCATGTGCGACAAAATAGATGTTTGATTCAATGTTAAACAGGTTGCTCAGGTCTTGATTTGATCAGCAATAATAGGTATGTAGTATCTATGTTTTCAGGTTCTGTAAACCAGTTGTACATTCTGTTAACCCTCCAATTGTCACAGTAAGTTTGATTTTATTTCATGTTTTAAGTCTTCAACCTGCTATATAAAAACAATAAATCCATTTGATCATTTTATTTGAGTTTGAAGGTCTCTATAAAAAGTGTTGCATCAGTGTCTCTGGGTTAACCTGACCTGGTAGAAAATATTAAAGAGTCTGCCAAACTATACAAAAATAAGGTTCTTTTGTGATAAATAAAAGTCAGTCGAGTCGAGAAAAGAAAATGAAGTACAGTACATGTACAGTATTACTAGGCTAGTTTTCAACTAAGGAAGCATTCAGCTGTGACATTTGGTGTTCCCATGAACCAAACTTCTTGGACCAGTTCCCTTAATAGTCGTTGTCATATTAAGCGAAACAGTATGGGAAGCAAAGGTTAAAAACATGCTATTCACAGTCAATTCTCACCAGACTGGGTCTTCATTGACGGGATCATCAAAGAACAAGATGTAGAGACAGAAGATTCCCACCAACAGCGCGTGAAACGTCGACACCGTCCTGAAATTACAACCCAGACACACAGCCGTGATTATTTTGTTCTGATTTTAGAGTACAGTGAGTATTTGTCTTTGTTCAGGAATAGTGCCTTGGAGCTGCTCTGTGGTTTAGAGCGCTGAGTTCTCACAGCGAATCAACTGATTGCCTGTCGCGGCTGCACACAGATCCAGACCAATTAGACAAAGAGATTAAACACTGCTGCAAGGTCAGGCAGAGCAGCAGACTCCAGGTCAGTCACTCAGGTGAGACAGTCCGACAGCAATCAGTCAGTGAGACACAGTGACAGCCACACTTCCTGTAAGACTGTTTCACTAGAATATGTAAAGTCATGGGCCTCACCGGGAATCCATATAGCCTGGATCCATCTCCGCTAATCACTTAATTGCTCAGAAACTATGTGACAATTTATTTTTCACAAGTGCTCTCATGAGTAATAAAATGAATTTGAGAGAAAATGTATGATTCATGCAAGTCACATACCTGTCTGACTCAATACACACACTCGATATTTTTACTCAAACGTAGTTGTCATAGCTAGTATCTGCAATGTACCCATAACAGGATAGCAGTTAAACAGCTACGTGACCACAGATGACAATGAAGTGAACGCTGTGTCCCGCATCTTAATATTTTCACTAAAGAACATTTTAATAATGGCAATAGACATAACAACAGGCTTGGCCTTGCTGTCAGACTGAGATAGGATCTTGTTAAATGTTCAAATTATGAGGGTGACGTGCTGCCCGTACATCGAAAAGTGGAATTTAGAGATACTGTAAGTCATACAGGAAATATGTGGTTTGTTTGAACAAAGACTCATGGTGATAATACGGTTTTGTCGGGTCACCTTGAGTTCCACTCCACCTTCTGCTTGTCACTGAGGCTGAGGAAGCTGGAGCTGATGCGTGAGGACACCCAGGGGCTGAGCCAGTGGAAGAGCCACTGGAAGGAGAAGAAACTGATCACCGAGATGGTGAGGATGAGCAGGCTGAATGGGTCCATGGCCACCCAACCACACTGAGGGAGAGAAGAAGGTTAAGATTAGTACTTGAAGTGGTTACCTGTTATAAATACCTTGGTATCTTAGATGCCGCCTATCACAGCGCACTGAGATTTGTTACAAACTGTAAAGCACTTACTCATCACTGTACCCTGTATGCCAGGGCAAGTCTGCCACTGTTCGGAGACTCAGTCATTGGTACATGTTCATTTATAAAGCCATGCTGGGTAAACTACCACCTTACATCTGCTCACTGATGTCACAGAGAGTCGCAAATTGCCTAAGATCCCAGGATGTGTTTTTATTACATGTACCAAGTGCTAGGACTGTTTTAGGCACTAAAGCTTTTATGTGCGCAGCCCCTCTAGCTTGGAACACTCTGCAAAACATTTTGAAAATGAGCATTTTGGTTCCCCTGCATGTCATTATGTTGTATGTGTCCTTTTGTTTTCTGTCGTATTTCTGTTACATGTGTAACCAATGTGCGGCAGGTCTCCCTTGTAAAAGAGATCGTTGATCTCAATGGAATTTTTTTACCTGGATAAATAAATGCTACAAAGAAACAATTAGAAATATAACTGGGAAATTAGACATGCCAAATTCGGAATTGCATCAGAAACAAAACCTCTGCCATTATAGGCCTAATCCAATCTTGCTAAACTCTAGAAGAAAGGCTGCCACTGGTCATAACAACAAAAGGTATATTAAAGCTCATAGGTAAAGTTTGTTTATAATTACAATTAGAAGTCTTGAAGAAACGACTAATGACATTTTTTTTGTGAATTGATATTAATGGAACTGACTGGCTTAAATTAGCAAGTAATAATGTCTCATGATTGTATGACCCAAATTAAATTAAATCAAAATGATAACGTGGCAGACTTTGTGACATCAGCAAGTACTGTCTTGATTTGTATATAGAGTCATGATTAGACTTGTGATTATGACTTCTAACAATAACTCTGCTCCATCAGCTTCTTTATATATTTAGCTCCTGTACCAGGATGTACAAAGTATTAAGTTGCATTTTGGCAAAGATACGTTTATGTATTACTTCCTGGAACTCTTCTCAGAGGAAGTGGAAGTCTTCAGAAAGAAGACCAAATAATCAGGACACACTGTCACACTGTGAAAGCAGTCAGTGTTTTCACACCACACACACCTTCTAAAACCACACACACCTTCTTCCCCAGGAAGCTCTACAGCAAAAAGCTGCAGGTCTAATACTGACTGCTGAGTGGAAACGTAGCTTTCTTTCATCCTTTGGAGGATCTTTTTACGTCTCATTACAAACATGAACAAATGTCCATACTAAATGTCCCGTGTGGCGATTATGTGCTTGAGTTGTACACACCATTAGTCAGAGCATCACTAAAGCTGCTCCATTATTTGGATTGCAATAATCCCACCGTGTACAAAAGGACATTTTACAGAAACAAAATCAAAAGCTCTACTCCTTTTATTCGTCCAGTATGCGTACATTTAAGATATTGCTTTTGATCAAATTAAGTGTTGGATCAAATATTATAATATTTACTATGCTGACATTTTAGGAAATGCGTAGCTTTTCTAAGACCAAAACACATGTACCATGACCAGTCAGGTAGATATTGCCATCACATCATCAACATTAAATACATGCACATTACACAGCTGTACTGCATGCTAACAGCTATTGGAGACTGGTACCACAGCTGTTATGTAAGAGCCTTTTCAATGGACACGGGTCATCCGTGTTTTGGAAATTGTGAGTGGAATACGGTATAAAGGGTAATTAGCGAGGGGGGGGGGGGGGGGGGGGGTGGTTCAATAAAATCCATTTGATCTTGATAATTATTTAATTCTAAAACTAGGCCTTGAAGTGATAATGATGTATTAAAGAAATCTGTACAATGACCTCAAATAACCTATAGATCTATTTCGTCATATCTATATTTAGAAAAAAAGTGATCAGCTCTGCAGCCGATAAATGTATGTCAGTGAAAGTTCCTCTGCAGCCATTGAACTGTTTTTATGCGTGTTGCCGGGAGCTGTTTTGCATATGGCCTGATTCGGCTGCTCAAGCTCTTGGTAAGAAGCCAAGTCCGTTAACTTTATAGACGTATTTACCAGTATTTACAACTCGCAGTCGCACGGCGTATATCCCAGGATAGGCAACCTAAAATAAAACACATATTTCTCCCTGGAGCTCTGGCCGTGGTTATTTTATATCAGCCTTTGTTCCTTTGCTACGCGAAATAAATGCTTGAGGACAAACAGTGTGTACCTCACTTGCCAAGAGAAAGTCATCAGGGAACTGAAAGGCCAATTACCCAGAGTCCCCGCCTGTAATGCATCCGAGGAAAAGTACTTTATTGTAGCATGCTGCAAGGCACAAATACTTTTTGTTATTAGAAGAACACTTCTAGAATCTATAACTGAAGATACATCTGGATAAGTAAAGCCATTCTCACAAAGTGGGGTCATTTGAGGTGCACACATGTTGTAGTTGTGCAAGTTCCCATGCAGAACTGCCAAGGGCAAATGGTTACAGAGGTCGCCTTATGGATTCAAAACAGCAGAAGATTCATGGCGAACCAAGCACCAGCAGTCTTAAACAATCTGCTTTCTAACACATTTGCCTTGTGAAGGGTTTCTTTATCAAAGATCTAATCATTTTAAACCCCCAAACAACAATCAGTGAATCAACATGAATGTCAAAATCAAGGTGGACCAGTGCTAATAAACAAACAAGGACAAACACCTTCAATCAAGGCTCATGCAAGGCATCACAACAACCATTATTTTGAAAATCCCATTTCTAAAAACAAAGAGCAGTCCTTCAGGCAGATGTATTTAGTTATAACAAGGTGGAAATAATAACTTTAGAGGGTTTAACTCCAAACTAATGAGTGCTATCCAGCACCCACTGTTTTAGTGTTGTCTCATAAGGATTTAGTTTGGGCCTGCCTTGAAGAAATGCCTTTACATTTTCTTGGAAGTGATGTGTATTTCCAGTAAATTGGAATGAACAGGTTTTTCCTGTAAGATTGTTTTGCAAGCTCCATATCATGCAACCAAGCTTGCGTAAGACGGTTGGACCTGTTTTAAAGAGGAAACGATTAAACGAAAAATAACCGTGTGCATCACCGGATTGCCTTTTAGAGATCAGGATCGCTAACTAATGTTGTTATAGGGGAAATCTGGTTCTTTTACGCAAGGCATCTCATAGCACACGCACAAAGCCAATTGACGCCACAGCTACGGGAAATGTGTTGGAAAAACAACACTGGCCTGGTGGCTGGGACCAGCCTTCTAGGAGGAGGAAATACATCACCTACCTTTTGACTTTCATTCAGATGATCTGCGCCTCACTCTCGCAGCCGGTTAAGGTTCCCAGGGTCGTTTTCCGTGTATTTCGAGTCATGTCGAGTCATTTTTTGATAAACAAGAGAAGCCCGCCTCTTGCTCCACACACACACATACGCACACACGCTAACAACTTGTGGGGGACGATGCAGGGCTGGAGCTCCGCGTCGGAGGCAGCTATGCGATGTTTTCCGAGGATCCCATCCGAGGAGAAGCGTGCGTTAAAGCGGATCCTGCAGCTCGACGCTCGATTACAGAATCCATGGGAGCGTTGCTGAGTGTGTGCGTGTGTGTGTGCGTGTGTTTTGTGTGTGTGTGTGTGTGGGGGGGGGGGGGGGCACCCTCTCTCTTTCTCCTCCGGGGCTCAAATTACAGCTGAATTCTTAAAGATATACACACACATTCACATGCACATACAAACAGCACACAGTACAGTGGTCTGCCCAAGAACAGTCACTGTGTCTATTTATAGCCGAACTGATCCAGGGGGAGACTGCAGCCCTGGGCAAGGTTTCATTGAATACTTCCTTTATTGCAGCCCTTTTCTAACACGATTACATATTTTTACATTACACCAAGGGTTGGTTATGTATTTTAGATTTGTTTTAAATGTATTCATCTAGACTAAACTACTCTTTAAATCCCAACTGCATACACATCAACATAAAACATATTAATCCTATAGAATAAATGAATTAACTGTTGGTGCAATAATAAGTCAATGGCTTTTATTGCTGCTAGTTTTCCATTGGAAAAATTAGGTTGTGTTTATTTTTGGTTAGACCTGTCTTACTCTTGCTGACTTTTTCAGTGTTACCTACCAATGCTTTAATCTAGTTTTTCTGAGTATAGATTCGTTGAGCAGCTAGGCTTTAAAAGACAATACAAATGGGAAGTGTAAAAATACATACAACAACAGACTCAACTTCCAGTGTCTTATTAAGCCACTGATGTCATGTGCCCCCCCCCCCCCCCCCTGCTCAGATGTCAGCCTTAGTCCATACTCCGTACCATTGGACTGTACTGTATGTACAAAGTGTCCAGACACATTACCAGAGGGCAGATGGCAGATTAAATGACCTATGCAAGCAATTTAAAATGAAATGGCTTATACCTAGATTGAGTAATGCCCGTGTATTTAAATCCTGATGTGCATATAATTAACAGAGTTATAGTATCCTTTAACTGTTAAATGCATCTGAGGGGACAATACCGACTTCTGCCACATGGCGGCGCACCTCTCCATGTTTCTAACGCTGCAATTGTTTTCCATATTGTGTTAATTGAAACACTCACATAAATACGTTTTGGTAGGAATTTTTACTTTTTAAGTACTGGAGTAAAAGCTTAGAGTATCATAAGTTCCAAGTACCTTACATGTTTACTTACAGTACTTGAGTAAATGTACTTAGTTACATTCACTCCTCACACACACCTTTCGTTTGTGTTTCAATACTAGAAGGTTGATTCTTTTTTAGCACACACAAATATGTTAACTCAATATGCCTCAATTTAATGATTTGGTCCCAGACAGTTTGAAAGGCAACTATTTTATCATTTGTCCAAATGGACACATACTTATGCTGCCCTCTGCTGGATAGTTTGTGAAGTACGTTGTACGTGTATTTCCTTCATGTAGCACTTTAAAAGCATAAAGGTTGTGCATGTGCATGAGGAAATAAAAAACAAGTTAAAGTAATACAAATAATTACTTTTGTTTTACCTTTCTGATTTATATTGCATATAGACACTTATATTCTAAGCTTGATTAGCTTAACCCTTTGTGCAGCATACATTTTATTAAAATCCTTTATTCATTGTATTTGATGTACAAGGTTGTTGTTGTTCTCACTAAACCATGGCCATTTGTACAAATATTTACAGAACCCTAAAACCGGTCACATATAAGTTTTATATTTCAATTTTATATGAACTTTTATTTGTTTTTATTGTTTAGTGATTTGTTTGCAACTATTATATTTCCTTTCATTGCAGTGTAGCCTCTCTAATGCAAAACCATTAAACGCTTCTGTGATCGTCTTTGATCTACAAAGAGAAAATCTTTTATATTAATATTTGTGCTTTTAGGATTGAACGATCAGGGATTGATTGATTGAAGTCTTGTAGTCGGTTCTTGACGGATGAATGCTTTTATCTATGAACAATTGGCCAACACCATGGGTATGTGTGGATGTTCACAAAAGATTGCACGTCTGTACACTACTAATGTGTAACTAAAATGTAAACCGTGGAGGTTTGTTGCTATAAAGTAAGTGACTTAATAACTACATTTCGAGTTAGATGTTAAGAATGCAATTAAATCTCTTGTTATTCCTGTAATCAGCAGTTACAATGTTAATCTTTATGTAATGAGTCAGTTACATCGACCCATTTTAGTTTTTTAAGACTTTTTTGGAAATAATGCACTCACAGAAAGTTCTTAAACAGTAAAAGGTAAAATATACAATTTTTATTATTTATATATGGAAATACAAAATTAAGAAACATGCATTTGTAATGGCATAAATACAGAAGGGTCAACATACAAAATAATTTCCAAAAAGAAAAACAAGAACATAGAAAGCTCATAGAAACTTCCACTGTAACAGCTCCTTTAGTGGTTGAACTATGATTTTGTCATGCACAAACAAACACCATTTTGATCTTATTGTACTTAAAGATTTAAAGCAAAGAAACATATACAATACACCACATAAACATGTACTTTGGTCAATATGTAAAAAGCAATAGCAAGAGGCAGGCACTGATCAATATGGAGTATGATATGACATATAAAAGCAGCTTTAGTGATCAATGGGAATAGTCAGGTAAAAAACACCTTGCATCAGTGGTAATAAAGGCAATTCATGAAAGCTAGTGGACCAAAGCAGCACAACATTTTATATCAGTCAGTTTTCTTTTTGAGTTCCTGTACCATATTCTTTCTGTCTGACATCTTAAAAGACACTCGTGTTTTCTCACCTTTAACAGTTTGGCATTGTATATAGATACATTAAGCTCTTAAAAGTAAAGATAATATGCATGTCAATCACACAAAAGGAGTTTAATATGGATCATAACCGTCCTCACTAATCTTAACTACAACTTAGAAACAAAATGTACAAATATCTCTATTTCGTGCCTTAACAAAAGTCATTATTCCTCAGGCCTATTAAACTAAATCTTCGTGTTGGAAAATAACAAGCATGACTCAAATGGTGTTTGAATAGAGCTTCATAACTGAGCCTGTGGTGACACTATTGTAAACCCAGAACAGTAATCCATACATTACTGAATTACTAGAGCTAAATCAACTGAACATCTATGTGATGGTTGTACTTGGATAACTAGTCATTCAACCATGTGAGAATAGCACCTTGGAGCTACAATAGAAGCTCTCAGTAAATAGGAGTTTACATTGAAGAGGCACTTTGTAACACGTGTATAATTTCACACATGATCATTTGATGCATGCACACCGTTAAGACCTGAGAATGCCACAGAAAATAGAAATCAAGGCAATAAAAGTTAAAATGATAATATATTTGCTCAACTGCTTTTACTTACTGAATATGAATTCTTTATTTTGTACATAATATGATTAAAATACACTTGAAACGGTCAAAAATATTTGATACAACTGTGAAATTGACCACCTGTTCTACTATGAAGTTGAAAAGGTTAAGCCTTTGTATGGCACATAGCATTTGGTATTTTTAGTTGACCATAAATGACAATCATGATGTTGATAATGATATACTATAGATAAAGCTTCTCCACATTAAACATCCTTTGTAAAAAAGCTTCTTATGCCCAAAATGGAGTCAATCTGCTCTTCTCTGAAGAACATAGGTTGTAATAAGCTCATGTAAAATATATGTTATTAACATTTATGTCTTTAAACAACACGTTGAGGGCACAACGGCACATTCAGATCTACTTTTCTACATGAAGTTTCTGGATTGAACCCATGGCCTTAAAATATCCAAATAATGATCTGCTTACCATTTCACATGAATTCTCAGCATATGATAGAAAACCGTGCTCATCTTGTGAATGAGGTGGACAAAACGCAACGCTGACGTCTCTACACAGCATTCTTCAGCATAGATGATACAAACATCCATCCGGAGACAAAATCAATTGTAGTCTTTAAAGCCACAAAGAGGCGTAGAACGTTGCGTATCCCGCTCCTTCACTACACCATGAACTGTGTGTATCCCTCAGCGCCTGTGACGATCACATCCATCCAGATCCTCATGGCCTCAGGAGAGGGAGCTACCATGTAGTAAACTCTGTCGTGAGTCTTTACACTGAAGGTCAGGGAGGGGTTCGGGCTCTGATGGAGGAAAAGGATAGGAAAAGGAGGAAGGGAGGGAGACGATGAATGGTAAGTAGGAGACAGAAGGAGAAAGGTTGAGAAATCATTTAAAATTTCAATTAGAAGATGATAGATCACCATTTTCACGACAGGAGTTATTTCCATGCATTACTTTTGTAGCAGCATACCTTGTGTGCATTCTTCAAGTGATCATAATACACTTCTTCAATAGCTTGGAAGTAGATGACTCCTTTCAGCTTGGCTTCATGCTTGTCTGCAGAAGAAATAACAGTAGCCATAAATCATATTTATTCATATGCTTTTGTGTCTGTGTGTGCTCTTGCCGCCCCTACCTGAATAATAGGAGAGTGTGCGTCGGTTGCGGTCGAACACGAACCAGCGTTTCTTCCAGGTTTTGATTTTGCCTCCCATTTTGATCAGGTAGCCCCTGCAGGTCTTCTCAGAGATGGATAAGTGGAAGCATGTGTCTGGGCTGTGACCCGCCGACTCAATGTGAGCCCGCAGGTCAAAATCATCTTTACGCACCGGCAGGTAGCGTGTTAGCGGCCGGGCCTGCAGAGAAAGGAGAGAGAGGGTTCATTGAAAAGAGGGCATTGCTTCAAGTAATGACAAAGATGTATTTATATAATTCATACAAATCATGCAGATGTATATCATATGTTAAGTAGATTCTTTGTTCTTCTGCCAACAGTTGATGGCCCAGGCAAAAGAACAAAAGATGATGGATGAAGCTTATACTGAGAACTGTAAGCAGGCATGATTGAAAACATATGGAGAGGGAATTATCATAATAAACATTTATCTAGTGGATAACAGATATCCCCTCTCTTCATTTTCTTTCTTACCTGTGCCCTCTGCTTTTCTCTCAGTTTCACCTCACGATCTATGAGTTTCTGCCGTCTGCTCGTCTCCTCCTGCAGCCTCTTCTCCAGGTCCTCCCTTCTTTTCCTCTCCTCGTCCAGCGCCTGCATTCGCACTTCCATTTCTTGCTCCTGAGAAAACATTGAAATAGCCATTTTTAACGTTTTATTAATGTGTCTTCAAGTTTGTGGATTTGTCACAAATGCAAATAAATATATTTATTTCTCCCATTTCCAACGGCAAAGCTGTGAAAACAAACTGATATTATAATTGTGATTTGATCTGGTAGTGACCTTGTTTTCGATGAGGCGGTGCTTCTCTGCCTGGGCTTCTCTCAGCAGTCGCTCCATCTCCTCTAGCTTGGCCATATTTGACGTACTGGCACTGCAGCACACAAACACACATTACACACATTAGAGCAAAAAAGTAGAGGAAAACGTTGGTTCTGCACAATTAACCACTTGGCATACAGTGATGTGAAAACAAACTCTAAATCATCTGTCATCTGGCTGAACCTAAATTACAATTGAAGTTAATCAATTAAACCTTCTGCACAGCAAGCGTGACAAACCGCCGCCATTCTGTCTTCGCCATGTTTTTTCAGGTGTTACATTTTCTGAGAATCTCAGTTCAGTAGTGGATGCACAGATTACTGTGTTGAAGTATACGCATAATCCAAGTTTAAGAAAAAAAATATTCATTTCCGTTAAACATCTGTGCAATTATCCAAGTATACAGAAAGAACCCTTCCAAAGAAGGCTGTGTTTATGCATAAGTGTGTGTGTGTGTGTGTGTGTGTGTGTGTGTGTGTGTGTGTGTGTGTGTGTGTGTGTGTGTGTGTGTGTGTGTGTGTGTGTGTGTGTGTGTGGGATCAAACAGGAACTCCATTATGAGAGGAAGCCTCGATGCCAAGGCAATCTAGGGATCAGACCTCTCTTTTTCGTCTCTCTGTAAAGTTTTCTGACTCTCTGCTTTGTCCCTGTCCTCGGTTTAGGACAGCTTCACCCAGCTTCAGGTCTCTCACACTGCAGATGGTCTACACATGACATGCATTCCTGCCTGACATCACAAGATATATGGTATTCATGTGAAACAGTATTTTGCTCTCAAATGTTCCTCTCCGCCTCCCTCTGACCAGCAAACACACATTCTCTCTCATCCTGAGCCAGAAAGGAAATGGATACCCAGTGTTGATTTGGGATGATGTCACAACATTGTTAAGATGAATGGTCCACATTAGACTCAGTCTAAACTAATCAGGGAGGGAGGGAGGGAGGGAGGGAGGGAGGGAGGGAGGGAGGGAGGGAGTGCGAGGGGGAAAGAAGTAGGGTACCCCAAATAATTGAAAAGAGCAAAAAAAAGAAAAACAAGAACAAGTATAAAACAAATTAATCCTTTCCCGCTGCATCCCACTATTTTTTGCAAATCTATTTTCACTTTCATAAGAAATCTACATACCTTGCACTCTTTACTCTGCCATAATTACACATTAAGGACTTTTCCCTTTTGAATTAATGCATTTTTAAATGTGAATATTTCTTAAACATGTTTGCTGTTAGTAAGCGTGTTCATTATTATTCACTTTCAGTATAAACAACGTAGGCATAGACACAAATAGACATGCATTCCTACTTAAATAACAGTATGATGGGTAGATTTAATTCATTCGCCATTATTTATTTAGTCTAGTACTTGCATTTAGGCTCGTACTTGCATAAGAATGCATCCATCCAAGCCTAACGTCCATCCTTTCCTCTCTCCCTCCCCATGCCATTCTCTTACCTCCGTCGATGAGAATGAATCACCCTCATAGTCATTGTAGACCAACTCTGATTATTCAAGTAATTAGATCACTTGAGAAGATATGTATTTCTCTTGATGCAACACTTGTATCTCCATCACTGACAAGATAACAAAAATGCCAGCTCTATCCTTTTTTCCAGCAGATTCAGGTCCAACACACACGTCTTCAAGTCTGATCTAAGCCGGGACAACACAATCCAACTTGGAAGCATTTTAGGAGGCAACCTGTTCCAGGGAAACTTTCAGAGAGGTCAGTCTGCAAATGGTTTGGCACTGTTCAAAATCCAACTACAGAAACAAGACCGTACCATTCAGAGAAACAAGAGGAGGGGAAACAAAAGACAGATGCAACCACTGGAAGAAGGAGAGAAGGAAAGCAAGAACACATGGTTTCAGTCCAGATGGGGGGTGAACCCCGAAGTGTACCTCCACACTCATCTGCACCTGAGGGGTTTGAATGTGAACGCACACATACACACACACGTTTTCTTTCTTCCGTAACCTGACCCATAGAACACTAATCAAGAGTCCCCCTTAACTCGAGTCACACACACACACACACACAGTACTACACATCTTAGTCTCTGAGGAAGGAGCGTGAAAGGCGGGAAACTTCTGCCTTGCAACTCCACACACTTTTTGCATTAACTCACTTTCTACTCACTTTGAAGCCCCCAACCCCAACCCCCTTCCTACAGTCAATGTTTCATATTGCAAACACAAAGACATATTTTTGCATTTTCAACTGTTTCTTGTCATATTTCAACGATACAACCTTTCCGTCATTCACTTATTTTTCTTTACACTTTGCTTCTCTTCCTTTTGTACATACACAAACAACACATTCCTGCAACACCTACCTGGAGACATTATCAGGAGAGCATGCAGAGATGCTGGTTTCAACGGAGTCGGAACTATCCACACTCATCGTGTCGAAGGCCTGGTTGTCGCTGTACCCGAAGGCATCGAGGTAGACGTTGGTCTGGGAAGCTGCTCGGGACCCGGACTGAGCTGGAGACACACACAAAGAGAACATTAACCACAGCTTCAGGAGGGACGAACTATTCAATCTTCTTCTTCATGTTGTACCTGTCTCTGTCTTCTCATCTGGGACAGAAGTCTGCCCAGATGGGGTCAATTTTGGATCACAATGCCCCGCCACTGTGAGACGCTCTTAAACGCTTAGTAAAAATATAAATCCAAACCTCATAGATGTCACTACTCTTGTTTAAATATAAGGACTCGCAAATTAACAAACAGGCTGCAGAATGAAGAACAGTAAGTCCTATAAAGCGAACCAAAGATGTCTGGAGAGAAAATGAGATGTCCTCAGAAGTAGAAGGAGAAATAATGACACAATTACTGTGCAGACACTTAACACGGCCTCTGACTACAGGAATAAACACACAGAAACCCTGATAGCATCTGCTCCATGCAGCAGACCCACCCATCTGATGAGCCTGATCTAGGGACCAGAGGGACTCAGGGGCCAGACGCATGCACAGTGTCTGGGAAATACAGCAGCACTATTACAACACAGAGCAAATAATACTCTTTTGGATATATGTCTTGTCAAAAGTGCAGCAATGGAAGAGTTATCTTATTAATTATCTGTGTAATTGGGTGGTCTGCACATAAGTTATTACACTTTCATTCACAATAGTAATATACACATCATCAAACTTGACCTCAATTGTATCTTGTGGTGAATGAACCAGTTATCTTAATGATTGGAAATAGCTGGGGGATGTTTGTGGCAGGAAGCTGACATGAAGAAATCTACTTTTTAGTCTAATTGTTAAAACAATGAATATATAATTTATACTCAAACAAGCACCTCTTGTTAACTCACACACACACACAAACTCATAGACAATACTCTCCATCACTTAATGGAGCAGTCCTCCTCTACTTACATTCCTGCACTATCTCTCCACACACACACACACACACACACACACACACACACACACACACACACACACACACACACACACACACACACACACACACACACACACACACACACACACACACACACACACACACACACACACACACACACACACACACACACACACACACACACACACACACACACACACACACACACACACACACACACACACACACACACACACACACACACACACACACACACACACACACACACACACAGGGTTGATGCTACCATATTAGGGTATTAGAGGCCTTTTCATGTGACAACCAAGGGCAGTGTGAGTGTGTGTTTGCAAGTGTGAGGCAGACACGAAAAGGACAGAAAACACTAAGTGTGTGTGTGTGTGTGTGTACCTTTATGCAGATGTCGAGATTCAGCTTCCTTGTTGGATAAGGAGAGAAATCTTGGGAGAATGCTGCCACAACTTGTGCTCTGTACCAGGGGATGATGGGACTGTAAACAACAAACAAGAAAAACTGTGTCCTTTCCATGTTTTGTAAATGAAATAAACATTATTGCATCTTCAGAATTCTGCCATATTTACAACACACAATACAATTGAATGTGGAATTTAAGCACATAAGCTAAAAATAGTATGAGAAAAAGTTTGGCATTGATGAATTTGTAATCATTGGTGTTAGTTATGCATATGTCAACATCAATGTGTATGTGTACCTTGGTAGGGTAGCTGCGTCCCAGTGTGGCACAGGTGAACTGGGGGGTCATCATAGGTGTGGTTTTCTTCCTGGGTAATGTGTCACTTAGATGGGACCCCCCTCCTCTCTCAGACCTTTTCCTTTCTTCCAGCAAACGGAAATGCTGACCAAACGAGATGTATATTAATCAATCAAAGCAATAGTGTGAAATGTGGTTTCTACACATTGTGTTGCTGATTTTGAAGAGGGACGAAACGTCATCTAAATAAAAGAAGAAATGCATATGGAGCAGGAGTTTGCCACCATTTGTTCCTTCTTTTATGTCACACTAAAACAGAGAAACACAAAGTTGCGGACACACACAGACAGACACACACGCATTACCTGCCTGTGTCGCTGGCGGTGATTTTTGACAGGAAGGGGAGGTGGGGGGGAGTCAGGGAGGGGAGAGGGGTCTCGATAGGACACCATGTTCTCCGGCCAATGCACAGAGGGTGTTTTGGGGAGGGGGCGGGGGTAAAAATGAAAGGAGGAAGAAGAGGAGGAAGAGGAGAGACAGTCGGCAGGAGAAGAAGAATGACAGAGCTTTGGAGAGAAGAAAGGTACATTGTCAGAAAACTGGAAGAGTTCAAAAAAAGGAGGAAAATTAGGGAAACACACTCATTCATACATACACACACACACTTTGCACCATCTAGCCCCTAACACCACTACACACACCTCGTCCTCCGGTGGTTTAGGGGTGTCTTCGTTAGAGGAGGGCTTCCCCCCGGACTCAGTAGAGGCATTGGTCAGAGCGGGCGCAGGGGCGGGTTTAGGGTCCCCCCCAAGCTGTGAGTAAAGCTCATTGATTTCACTGACTGTGACATAGCCCTGGAAAAGTGTCATGTGGAGAAGAAGGGAGAGAGAAGGGGTGAGGCATAGCATGGAGTGAGTCAGCCGTTTAATTACAAACTTGAGAATTAGTTGTTAGAACGATGCGGACACATTTAGTGGTGATTTTAGCCGTTTCAGAGCAACAATTAGAACGAAAAGTATCACTTACACGGTCTCATAACATGAATTGAGTTGGTTACATAAGACAATAGACATTGTTACAAGGTTACCTCAGTATTAATACACATGAGTATAATTTGTGCTCAGAATTAATTAAATGAGTCTCTGCTCTGGTAGTTACAACAAGAAATCGAAAAAGCAAAAAGAAGTAACCAGGAGGAAGGAACGAAGGACAGGAAGTTAGGATTAGATGGATTCAAACAAAGAGGAACAGAACAAGGAAATATTAGTGAAACCATCAAAAATACCTCTGCTTTCTTGCGAGAATTAGAGGAAAGGAGGGATGAGAAGACGCAAGGGTCGACTGGAGGAGGAGAAAGTTTGGTGTAGGTGGTGTCATGGCAACGATCGCTAAAGGACTGACACACATCAGCCAGAGAGGCTGTCTCCTAGCAGAGAGGGAAACCCCAACGATAAAGAATGATGAGTCCAGCCCACTTTATTTTTCTTAATTCTAAGAGGCAGACAGAGTTCATTTCCTTGATGACAGCTGTCAATCAAACCTACCTCTCTAAGAGTGAAACCTCGGCCACCAGTGAGCTCAGCATATTTCCTTTCCAGCATGGAGAGGTTTGCTTTCTCCTAATAGACAAAAAGCAATGAAAAACAATGTTAACAACTAAAGGAACCTTTATTTGATGGTTTTCTTTTCGCTTATACACAGAAGGAAGGATGACCACATGCATGAATTGTAAACATGGAGGTCTTCGTACCCTTTGCAGCATTGCTTCGAGGGTGCTCCTCTCCTTCAAGAAGCTCTCTTTCTCTCGTTGAGCCTGCTGGGTAATCTGCACTGCCTGCTTCTTAAGAGTTAACAGTCGCTCCTGAAGGAAAAAGCAAAACAAGCTTGTTACACATTTATAGCTCACTCATAAAGCATGACTCAGGCCTGACTCATTCACAAACAGACCACTGTTACCTTGCGAGACACACTGCTCCGCTGGAAGTCTGCGATCTCCCGGAGAAGATGTTGTGTGTGCGTCTCCTTCTCCTCGTCCTGCCTGCTCTCTTTCTCCAGCTGCTGGAACTCCAGGTCCTCGAAGCGTTTTGACTCTGCATCCAAAACCTCACAGTCCTGGACATACACAATGAAGCATTCACAGGGTAAATAGGCAAGACAAATTCATCTCAAAATAAAAGTGAACTAGACATACCGTTATGCACATACACTTTATATACATTTAAGATGCAGGTAAACAAAAAAGACTTGTATTGACAAACACAGGGAACTTGCCATGCTGCATTTTGCCAATTAGACCCAATGCCGAAATATCAGCAACATTTCTATAATAGCCAAACTCTTGAATCCAAACTTTATACAGGCTCAAACCCTGGTGAAATAAAGATGTGTAGACATTGAAACCTAAAAGTTAGATATTGCGAAGAGAACAGGATCCAAGATTAGATCAGAGGTAGCCTTGGGGTGGAGAGCAAGAAAAGATGTGTGTAAGTTCAAGTATGCCAGCATTACGTATCTCTACATCGGCCTTTGTTCTGGTCTATACATGTACACATGCATAGCCCTTTCCCATTTAATTAGAGTTTTTTGCTTTTCTATGTTTTGTAAATTCTCTGTGTGGATCCATTGATTTACTCATTAAAGTCAATGTTTTCCTGTGCATGTGCGCGTGTGTGTGTGTGTGTGTGTGTGTGTGTGTGTGTGTGTGTGTGTGTGTGTGTGTGTGTGTGTGTGTGTGTGTGTGTACTGACCCTGGCCAGCTGCTCCTGCAGGGGCTCCTTGGTGGCCTCAGGGCAGCTGTCCAGCTGGGAGCGCTGCTCACACACAATCTGAGCCAACCTCTCTACTCTGCCCCTTTCTGCCTGTAGCACCTCGCACGCCTGGCATACACACATGTTCACGACACATAGACGCACACGCATGCCCACGCAGACGTACATGTGCACATTTGATGATGTGTACAGACGAACAAGGAAACACACACACACACACACACACACACACACACACACACACACACACACACACACACACACACACACACACACACACACACACACACACACACACACACACACACACACACACACACACACACACACACACACACACACACACACACACACACACACACACACACACACACACACACACAGGACAGAGAGAGGATGGCAGCGTTAGTGGGATATGGGGAGCCACAGTTAGTTACTACGGCGATCAGGTCAGCGAGGTTAGCCAGGAGGGAGGAGGGGAGGTAAAGCTGCAGGAATTAACTAAAGGGATGGAGATCTGGGGAGTAGTAATGAAGGTAGTATGAAAGTGTCATGAGTTCTGTCTCCTGATGATTTTTCTGTTTGTTTAAATGGAAATGATTGGATGAGAAGCAATGGCTCAGTGGATTAATGCTCCTCTCTACGAATAACACAACATATACACACTTCCAAAATCTGTACAAGCACTCAACTTCACCTGGCTATTCAACCATCAGGGCAACACTAACGAACATCTTTCCCTAGGTCTAACTCGGCATCATTAACAGTATTTAAGGGCCGTGGGGTCCAGGACGATTTCCAGATTAGGCTAGGAATCCCAGAGTGTAAAATATCCAGATACCAAGGCAGCATGTGCACACAACACACAGACAACAAATTCAATCCGTTTAGCCACTTATTCCCCACCCTGTCAATGACACCATATATTGGTATAAATGGCGACCGACTATCACACACACTCAACCACACCCAGAGTGTGTGTGAGATAGGATCACATGGTGCCCGCTATACCCTGGGCAGTATTAACAGATATATATTTGGACCAGAGACAGCATGAGAAGGATTAACACCTACCAGTTGGTCACATGACCCCGAAATGTGTCAGAGAGAGTCTCAGAATGGTGTATGTATGTTCAATATGAAATGTAACTGTTTAAAAGTATATTTCTCCCTTCTCCGCCATTATCGATCACAGAAGGTATGAATTTCACTCACTGCTTTACAATGAACCGAGCCTGTTATGTACCTTTTCTTTTTCCTGCTGGGACTTGGAATCCAGGTCAGTCATCTTGTTGTGAAGCGCTTCCAGAGCATCTCTTTCCTGCTGGAGAGCGGCGACCTCCGACTCCTGCTCAGCCTCGACCAGAGCTCGCTCCAGCTCCACCTTTCATAAATACACAGCTGTACGTGAGTCATTTGTAGCGATCCTGGGTTACTTACAATAAATGATGCGTGAAAGAAATGCTTTTTTGCTGTGTCTGTCAGCCCAAAGCGCCGTCCTTCCTCGCTCTTTACCTCTTGGGCAGATTCTTCTATTTGGTTGTCCAGCTCCTTGATCTTTTGCTCCAGCTCCTCCATGTTGTTGAGTACTTGGATCCTCTCTTCTTCTACACGCCTCACTTCCTCCTCTGAAGCCCTTATTGCCTGTCCGCGGCGACGAGCTGCATCATCTAAAGCCTGGGAACAAACACCACAGATTGTTAAGACATTAAAACATAATCAATATATGGGTTTCATGGTAGTTAGTTGTCACCATAAACACTAACACCACCATTTCTATCTGGGATGAAATTGGTTGAACTTCTGTAGTTCTGGTCTTGTGCAGCCACAAAACCTCAAGTCACACACACCACAGCTGTCAATTCTAATGTCCAACACTTGGCCTGCTCTAATCTAATAAATGAGCTGTAAATTTATCCCATCTCTGTGCTTTAAGAATGTGTATGTCGATACTTTCCAAGTATTAAGGAGTGATCCTTGTCTCCTGAGAAAAAACAGGGAGCAAAAACACCTCACATCAATCCTGATGAATCTTTGAAGAAGCTGACCAAAGTCAAAAGGTGCACCTTTAGCATTTTCATCTAATAGATGTGTGTGAAACTGAATTTGCATTTAACATGTATTTGACCCTATTAAAAGAGACATAGGATAATATCTTGTCGTCACAGAGTAGGATATTCATTTATTCTAATTAAATTACATTTTTAACCTTAAACAATTACTTTGATAAGAATATGTGATATAAGTGGGAGCCAATTTGAATCTCTTGTACCTCATTGTTCCTCTGTGCACGTGGAGAAGGTGAGGCGGCGAAGCTCCGCAGGCTGACAGCAGGTGATTCAGCCCTGGCGTCTCGCTGACCACTGCTGCGCCTCCGTCGTACCGGCAGATCATCGTCATAGAAGCCATTCTCTGATCCATGGGACGCCATGTGTCCGTTCCCCGTTCCGTTAACAGCTGAAGAATCAGAAAAGACCGATGGTGTGTCGTCATCGTCCTCGTCGTTCAGTTGAAGCTTCTCGAGCTCCTGGTTGATCTTCTGGAGATCCGTCACGGCTGAAGTGGGAGCGGGTCCGCCTTCGTCTCTCTCAGACCGGCCCAGCTCCGAGCACAGAGACAGGATGGTCTCCAGACGCTGTCGCTCCTGAGATGTCAGAGAACGCATGAGTTATCAGAATCAGCTTTAATGCCAAAGTAAGTGAATAAACAAACAAGGAATTTGACTCCAGCATTTTATGCTCTCAATGTAAGCAGTTACAAATAGTTACAATACATTTCAAAATAAATAATCTAGTTTTGAAGTTATTTTTGTTAGAATGTTGTGATAATGTTAATTCAAGAAAGTCCCAACCAAACAAGTTATAACAATTTGTTATTAAAAAAAAACACGTTTTTTAAACTCTAATGCTGTTTTGGATGTGTAGCCGATTATTCTATAAACGTATCATAATTATGCGCTACAATATTAAACGCTATTAAAGAGACAACAAGCAAAGCACACATCATTTAAGATTATACGTAAATGCAAACTTACATTTGTCAGATTTTAAATATTCAAAACCAGTATAAAATACACATTGCATTTTTTATATTTCTTCATATACATTTTTTCAATTTGGTTAAAAAAATGCACAGATTCAATGTTCTGTTTTGTTCCATACTATATAGAAGTGCCAACAGCTCTGCGGGTATTATTTCTTTCCATCATAAAATAAAGTTTCCAATGATCAGGTTACCTGGGGGAGCATCGCAGAAGTCACTCCCTCTAGTTTAAATGTCCTTGTTTAGTCCCGGATTCATTCAGTACAATCCTGTTTTGTTTGTGATTTACATTGTAGAGCCTAGAAAGAATATTATCCTTTAACTGGGAATCAAGAGCTTCCCTTTCCACGGTTCTGCCTGCCTTAACTATAGCTATATGAGGAGCTACGGAGGCTGCAGAGGGTCAAAATACCCCTGGTAGGTTCAGCAGTAGCTTCTCTGGAGGAGGGAAGTATGTAAGCCACACAGCAAGCCTGTGTATGTAATATTAGAAATGGAGGTTAGGAAAAAGAATGTGGGACGGAGGTGTGTGAATGTGTTTGAGTGTGAGTGAGAGAGAGAGAAAAAGAGTGAGCTAATGAGAAGGTAGACAGCTGTCAACTATGATAGGAAGTGTGCACGAGAACAGGCCATGACTTCAAACACAGGAATGTGTCTGTGTGTACTGGAAACGGGACACTTTGTGCTGCAGGAAGGAATCTGAACCAGGTGAAGTGATGATAATGAAAGATGAGAGATTCAAGAGATAAGGAGTTCTGAAGAGAGACATCCTAGAGCTACACAAAGCCTACATTATGTTGCTCGTCATTCATCACATTATTTTAGAAATGGTACTTTATTCAAATCAAATAAATTATATGAACATATTCCAAATTGTTTACCAGTGTAAAGCACACAAACACACCCCATTCATAGTGTTATGTGAACCAGGAGCTGATGCTGTGTCTGTTTGTCACCTTGTTCTTTTCTAATAGACACAAGCCTCTGTGGAACCCTTATAGTAATCAGCTGTCAACTGGAGAGACAAAGAGAGAGAGGGTGAGGAAGACACACTGAAGCAAGAAAGACAAATGACAAGAAAGTGAGAGTAAAAGAAAATAGAAAAGAGAGAGAAAAAAGCAAGGAAAACCCTCTAACCAGCTGTGCTTTTGAGGTGTCGTTTGCATTCAAAGAATCTTTGCTGCAGCTCGACTTATTCTTCCAATTAAAATAACATCTCAACATGGAAATAATGCATGTGTCCTGTCATACCACTAGAGGGCAGACACGGTTAAGACAAGCCTTTCCTGAGCTCAGCCTTGGATTCACAGACACAATATCTAGCAGTATATCTTATAAGAACTACCAAAAACTGTTAATTGTTTGTTATCTTTCAGATTCATTATACAAATATATATTTAAAAATAATAATCATTTAGAGATTTAAAAATATTAAACTCAAATTAGACTTTGGGATGCTGCTGTTTTTAAATTGCACCTAAAACTAAAATCAATTGGTTTGAAGGAAAACCACATCTAATGCAAAACTGTTGGGTTTAAGTAAGTGTTCGATATTGATATTGGACAAAGTGCAAATTGTGTAGGTTACAGCCGCTGAGATGCTTGGGAAATGCAGTTCGGTTTGAACAGCATCCAGAAAACTATTTCTCACAGTTTAAGAGACACCAGGCCACTTGTATATGGCTGTGTGAAAAGAGAGATTAAAAGAAGGAGGATGTTGGATTATGAGTCCAGTTGTCATTACATGTTGAGCATCTGTGTGTTTATCCACCTGCTACACTACCACTGCGCTCTCTAATCTTCATGGTTTCTCTAGCCCACATCTGACTGATGTGTTCTGTGGCTCTTTAGTGGTCCGAACCACACTGGGCGGACCTCCAGATGACTGACACAAACACGCACTGCACATACACAAACACACACACCCCAAGCACAGGGTTAAGGATAGTCCTGTTAGTATGGGCTTACTGCCAGAGGCATCTGCTGAGTGGTGAACCTCATTGTGTGTGTGTGTGTGTGTGTGTGTGTGTGTGTGTGTGTGTGTGTGTGTGTGTGTGTGTGTGTGTGTGTGTGTGTGTGTGTGTGTGACACTCCTTGGGAGAGTGAGTTTGAGGGGACAAGGAGGATAGTGTAGAGCAGTGATTCTCAAATGGGGGTACGCGGACCCCTGGGGGTACGTTGGGGTACTACAGGGGGTACGTGAGATTTAAAAAAATAAAATAAAATAAAATAAAGGTTAATTAAAATAATAATCTTAGTAAAATAAGTTAAATAGAAAACACAATTTTATATAAAACCTTCCTAGAACCACCAAGGGGGTCCTCATATAAACATGTCAAATGTGTGTATTGTATTTTATAGTTTTTCACAATAACATATTACTTTAAAACTCCTTGGAAAAAGTGTTGTTATTTTTTTTCATGCATAAAATGAAAATATCCTTAGTTTGTTGTAATGCATACCACGAAGGAGTTAATACATCACACACTGAGGGAACATCACTATATTGTAATTATTTATATAGGCTTTTTCGATCAAAAATGTTCGGGATCGGTCAGGGGGTACTTGGCTGAGAAAATGTTTCAAAGGGGGTACATTACTGAAAAAAGTTTGAGAAGCACTGGTTTAGAGGATGCATTCTTAAACTAAATGTATTGTACTACTTAGGGTGTGATTGCATCTTTATGCATAACTATATTCCAATTCAAATGTAAACACTATGTTCTTTCAGCAATCCTTACAGCAACACACTGCTCACCTGTGAACAGTCTGCAAGTCTGCAACTAATTTGCAAATGACACCAGATGTGGTCTGAATCACAGCTTATATCATAACTTCTATCCAGAGACCTTTGATCCGATTGCATTATTTTTCCATCAGTTGAATTGGCAGATGCGGGGAACATGAGGAACATTATAAAGAAAGCCACATGTGCAAACACGCTCAAACTCACCAGTCTCTCCACCTCCTGCTCGCGGAGTCTCTCCTCCTTTTGGTGCTGGTGGTAGTCGGTCAGCTCCTCCTTCCCGCTCAGTGAGCTGATACTCCCCCTTCGTTCCCTGAAACCTCCAGGTGGGGTCACTCCTGCCTTTCCAAACGACTGCCTCCTCTCACCCAGCCCCATCCAAGGCTCCAGCCCTGCCTTCCCAAAGGAAGACATCCTCTCTCCAAATCCAAGCCCCGGGGCAGCAGTGAGCCTCTCCCTCTCGCTGGAGACCCCATTGCTAGCCAGCCGTTCCTGCTCTGGAGGGTTGGAGGTCGTGGGGTGGATGGAGCCCACAGAGCTGGTGGAGGTCAGGCTGACTTTCTTGGCCACACGAGGAGAAGAAGAGCCCCCTGTCTTAGATGGGAGGGTCACATCCGGTGGGGCAGTGGTGGCAGAGATAGAGGAAGTGGTGGGGGGCAAGATTTTAGGGGAGGAAAGGGAGATAGACACAACACTTTCTCCCTGAGTTGCATTTCTGATTTGATTCCTGTTGGAGGAATGCTGGCTGGAGTTGTGGTTGAGGTCCGGGCTGGCATTGTGGTTGTTATTGTAATAGTCTTTGTTCACTTTATAACCGCCAGCGCCATCGGATCGCCGTGGAGGCAGCGTCGACAAGGTGAGGACTCCGTTGTTGTTGTCACGGGGAGACTGGGTGGGGCAGAGGCGTGGCAGCGAGCGACTGTGCCCTCCTCCCGTCAAACCATTAAGAGAGCCTGTTGAGTATTTCCTGGTCCTACTGCTGGGCACTGGCTCTTGGGTGCCATAACTGCGGCGGCCAAGACGGGGACTTGAGGGCATGCTGGCTGCACCTCCTCCTGATGGAGTGCGGGATGACGGTGGAGGAAGAGACAGGAGATAGTTATTGCTGGCATCAACAGAGGTGGTGGAGCCTCCGCCGTTCCATGTGGACAGTGAAGACGAGGAGCCCGTGTTGTGCAGCCGTCGGCTATCGCTACTGCCGTAGTTGTCCTGGTTGCGATTGACCGAGGAGCGTGAGGACAGAGAAGAAGAGGGGTCGGATCGTCGTCCAGGGGAAAGAGGGGGAGGGGATTTCAAAGACATGGTCGAACGTTCTGAGCCATAGAAGCGCCTCGCCTGCTCCTGGTAGGATGATGAGGATGTGGTAGGACTCGTGATAGGTGTGGTGGGAGGAGACTGAAAGATGGAATGGTATACAAATATATTACACGTTGAAATACTCTAATGTGCTCTATATTTCATATCAGATATAACAGAGGTAGATGATACAGAAATAGTTTTAATGTGTGTGTATTGTTCTAAGACTGTAACTCATTGCATTTACATTTTAAAACGACTTTGACACATGTATAATGTATAAAGCATCCTATGAGTATATTTTGTTAGTAGTAGGTTTGGTCTATTATAGTCTACTAACTTATTCTGTCTATTTATATTGTGTTTTTGATAGATATACTCTCTTCTGTTGATATGTACATATGTAATGATCATTTCTTTATTTGATTTTTAACTCATGTGCAATGCCTTGTTTACATGCTGCTGCAACAACACAATGTTCACATTTGGGATCAATAGATTAAATCTGATCTAAAATAAAGGGTCTAAAGGTCTAAGGACAGAGGGTGTCGTTTTCTCATACTGATATTCTGCACAAACTGTGCTGTTGTATTTGCTGTAAAGTGTCTTTACTGTAGGGTATTTTATTATATGTACAGCACTTTGGCTCGATCAAAAATCGTTTAAAAATGTGCTATATAAATAAAACTTGATTTGATTTGAAAGAAGATAATGTTGACTTTAAGCAGTCCACGACTCTATTCTAAAGCGGTGTCATGGCAACCAGAGTAATGAATACATCTAGTGTTGCAAGTTGAACACTGTTGTATCACCAAGGATAATGGGTAACAGCGGTTAGCCATATTTGGTCTTAGAGATAATGAGTAAACCCCTGACAAACATCCAGAGTGACCATATAGATTCTACAACACCTGTTGGAGGGTGACGTAGAAAGCAAAATAACAAATCCCGAAGTGGAGTTTTATGATGGCTGACCTGTGTCACGCTGAAGTAGGAGGGGTTTGCGTTCCCATTGGCTCTCAGGCTGTTCTCCAGGGCGATCTTCTTGCGCTGCAGGGTGTCCATCAAGTCCCGGAGCTCAGAGGCAGATCGCATCCCCCGAGAACTGCCGGTGCCACCCACCACCGAATGGCTATAGTCACTGCTGAACTTCAGGTAGTCTGGGGGTTAGAGAGAGAATCATTAAATGAATTGTATAATAGTGTGCATATTCAAATACATTCATGGGGAGGAGGAACGAGGAGATCCAAATCGGGTAAATCCGAGGAATATTGAAGAAAACTGTGTGAAAGAAAAAAAGGGTGCAGAGATAAAACAAGAGAAAATAGATATGACAAGAATACACAACAAAAAAGGGATAAAGAGATGGATCGGCATTTATGTCCGTTCAGTTTTTGGAAAAAAGAGAAAAAAAGATCAGTAACAGGAAAATAAGTAGGTAGAAGAAGGAAAAGGGCACGAAGTTATAAATTGTGGTTGAAGAGAGGTTGAGTATGTACCTGAAGCTGCAGCTATTCATAGATTGGCCCTTGGCAGAACAAACCCAACCAAAACAACCTGTAACTGCTGGCAGAGAATGACCCAGAATAGGAGTCAACTCACACACACAGCATGCAAATACATTCTTCCGCACAACCATCCATTAGATCCAAGACAAACACTAAGGCTAACTCGACTTCAGTTCTGCAGAGTAGGATTTTGGGGGATGAAAAGGACCACAAAATATTCTGGAATACCCTCAAGAGGCCCCCCACCCTTCCTAAAGCCTTTTATTTAAAGCAGCTTCAGCAGAGAGGTGGTCTTTTTGCCAAACCTCAACTGAGTCAGTCAGATTTAGCAGGAAGGAAGTTAGAAAGACACATTTAGACAATCTTTTACTTGGGAAAAATATTGCTGAGGTTGGTGGGAGTATGTTTGAGTAATAGCTTCCACTTTTTCTGTCAGAATTACAAAAAGAACTCCCTTAATAGTCTTATCATCCATAATGCAGGTAAAACACTACAGGACGGCAGTAGAAAGCGATATGGGAGAAACCTAGCCAGTGTTTTTAATCCATCTGCGCCTTATGTGGAAAAGGAGCTATAACAATGTTCAAGCTTAGACCACCCAGTGTTTAACTGTCAAAAACACCCACACACACAAAGAAAGTTTCCTACAACTGACAGCAGTGGGTCCGCCTGAGTGAAACACACACAAACACATGTACATATACCAAAAGTGTACATTATATCTTGGAGAATTTAAGAATAAGTGAGAACTTTCAACTATTGGCGTTTTGATTTGTATATATTTTTTAACTGCAGTACCTATAGCACATGCCATAGCTGAATATAAGCCTGTCTGAGAAAAATGTCAAACCTTACACGGTGAAGAGAAATGGGGCAGAACATTTAAGACATAAGATCTAGAAACATGCACACAGACACACACACACACAGACACACACGCAGGGTGTTTGTCTCCATACATGGGCAGATTTATACAGGAGGCCTGGCGTGCATCAACTCCCTTCTATCGTGACTTTTCTTCTAGGCTAAGCTCAGTCTGCTTCATGTGCGAGTCTTCACTGTAGGTGCACATGTCAGAGTGTGAGTGCATTCCTTACGCCTGGGAGTTTTAAGAGCAAGGACTCCACTGATAATGGCACACACACCTTGCTCAACGTCCAATCAATCACTACGGAGACAGCGGAACCCAGCTGCATCACCAAGGAAACAGAAGGAGGGCGGCACCACATGACAATAACATTCCAATATGTTTTGAGTTTCGTTTTTAGCACGAGTGTGATAGTATGTTTATAAAAGACATATGAGATGGCTGAAAAACACCTGCTCATTCTACCCTTCAGTCGTTCTAACACACATACTCAAAAATAACATCGCAGTCTTACACACCTGACTAGAGCGGGACTTCCTGTGAATGAATGAATGAATGAAACTTTATTACAGACTCAGGGTCCAGATAAAAGACATTACATTACTGTGACTTTACCATGACATCCTTATCAGGGAGCAAAGACGTTATGGGCAGAGAAGACATGTTATATGAGGAGAATAAGGTGATGAACTACACGCACAGAAAAGGTGAAAATCAGATGGAAACAATTGTTCAGGTGATAAAAAGGGAGGGAGGTCGAAGAGGTGATGTGGCAGGACAAAGAGAGAGGAGGAACAAAGAGGATCAAGTACAGGTCGTGGTGGGGGAAAAGTTCACCCATCTGAGTGTGTGTGTGTGTGTGTGTGTGTGTGTGTGTGTGTGTGTGTGTGTGTGTGTGTGTGTGTGTGTGGTCTAGCATTACTATACTTGTGGGGACCTAAATCTGTTTACATAGTCACGTGTGGGGATTGGCTTCCCTTATGGGGACAAATTGGAGGTCCCCATGAGGGGAATCATTCATTTTAGGGTTAGGTTTAGGGTTAGGGTAAGGTTAAGGGTTAGGCATGTGTTGGTTATGGTTAAGGTTAGGATAAGTCTCCAGGAAATGCATGTAAGTCAATGTAATGTCCCCTGAAGTGATGTATACATGGTGTGTGTGTGTGTGTGTGTGTGTGTGTGTGTGTGTGTGTGTGTGTGTGTGTGTGTGTGTGTGTGTGTGTGTACCTGTGTTGTAGGCCAAAGCTGACACGGGGCTCTTTTGTGGAAGCATACTTTTCATTCTGGTTGCTTCCTCGGGATGGTTGAACCGAAAGAAGTAGGATTTACCCAGACACAGAGAATAACCTGGAGAGAAAAACACAAGGTCAAATTAGAGATACATCTAATATTTACTGAGACAGAGCTTGAGTATATTTAGGTAATGTGTAGTATAAATAGATGTACAGATACACATTTAATCATGGATCAAAAAGTCATTTTAAACATGGAATTATTCTGTAAATGTGGCACAAAGAAATATTGGAGAGCACAGAACAAGGCCATTTGACACATTTATTAAATATACATACACCGCTGTCTGTTTGAAGTGTGAAGAGGCAGTCATAAATACAGCTTAAAATTGGTCTGAGCCTGGAGTATTTGTTCACAGCCAGAGACTCACTTCCACACACTCATGCACAGCCGGCCATTCCCAACCACAGTGTTTGCTCTGGCCATCAATTAGCCTTGGAGCGCCAGGTATTAAACAAGATGTCAGGGTCACAACCCCTGTAATGCACACAGACAGCCACAGCTGTACAAATAGCTCAGAAGAGAGTGGAGAGAGACAACAGTGCTGACACACACTCACAGGAGATCTGACGCAGGAAAAGGGCAACAGTAGAGAGACAGCAAAAAAAGATGAAAAGACGATGCAAAAAAAAAAAAGGACAGAAAATCACAAGACTGACTTAAACAAAAGAGTTCCTTCTCACACATGCAATCTCTTTGCTCTCTCCATTCTTGTAACCTCCACCCCGGAGGGTAGCAGCGTCAGATGAGCACTACAGTAAACCCCCAGTATGTGTGTAAAAGGCTAAAAAAGAACCTCCTTCATAGCTCCATTACAGTAACATCAGATTCCTTGGACCTGAAGTCAGACACTGAGGCGAGAGGGGGGACAGCGACAGGGTGAATGGAAAAAGACCGAATGGAAAAAGTTGTTATTCTTTCTTTTCCCCTTCTCTCGTTCGTATCCCTTTCACCCTGTTCTTTCTCACTCTTCACCTAATGTCCAGTTTCGCTAACATCCCAATGAAAAGCTGTGCTAATAGACACATAAGGTCATATTTGTCTAGACGATACCTGCTTAGAGTGCAGAGAGAGCAGATTCTGCCTTCAAAGCTGTAATTTCTCAGCACAGGGGGGGACCTGAGTGCTGTGGTGAGGTGGAGCCAACACACCACACACGAAAACAGTGTCAAATGTTTAGTCTACACAGCTGGACTGTGAACGTCTCAAATACATACTCAACACAATCCTGCAGGTTTGGGCGCAAACTGTGAAGCAGTGGCATCCTGACAGAGAGATCAAGAGATGAGTGTTGTGAGTACAAAGGATAGAAAACACACACACGGACGGACATGTCACCGTGAAGGTTAGTGCGAGCATGGAATAATGACATGTTTCTCATTGCCAGACATGAGTAAATGTTGTGCATGCTCCTGTGTATCTGTGTGTGTGTGTGGAAACATGTCTCGTAACAGTGTCTGCCTAATGAATCACAGCAAGTCTCAGTATTTAGCGCAACACACACACACACACACACACACACACACACACACACACACACACACACACACACACACACACACACACACACACACACACACACACACACACACACACACACACACACACACACACACACACACACACACACACACACACACACACACACACCACACACACACACACACACACACACACACACACACACACCACACACACACACACACACACACACACACACACACACACACACACACACACACACACACACACACACACACACACACACACACACACACACACACACACACACACACACACACACACCCCCCACATCGTAAAAATCTAATTTCCTTCCCTCAATAGGCTCGCCATGTGCCACCTTTAAAGTGGGGAGTAAAGTGTGTTGCCCTGATTTGTTCACAACCCCCAGCTCTATCTAATGTCCTCTTAGTGCTTCTTGGCTAACAAATAACTGCTAATCCTCTCCTTCAGCATTAGCAAATCTCTGTTGGTGACAGAGAGAATGAAAGGAAGAGGGAGACAGTACTGTTAGAAAACGTGAAGATTAAACTTTTAACAAGTTCAAGAAATGCAATTTTGCAATGCAATTTAAATCCAATTAATTCTGCTGTCCTTAATAACACATCCCCTCTTCCTTCAAACACACACACAAGAAAGACATACCATCTATAACACAACATCTTTCATCTCCTTCATGTTTACTTGTTTACCAGCTAATTAAGTTTGCCTCCCACGTCAACGCAGCCCCCCAACAAACACATATGGACAGACCCTCTGCAACTACAACACAACTTGAAATTAGTCTGTATATACATTTATAGGATAATTTAAAGTTTGCAATCTACAAAGTCAGACCTCAGAGTCTTTGAGGGAGCAGATGTAGGAGCCGTATCACGTCTGGAGACAATTTTTGTTTCCATGTAGATCTGAGCGGACCAAACTTCACTCTCACCACAATGTTATGGAAGAGGAAACTTAAAACTGTTTCTCTATTTGGTTAACTTAAGTGGAGGAATTGCCAAATTGAGACCATTAGGTTAGAATGAAAAATAAACCAATGGCAAAGATCCCATGACGAACATGTGCTTAGATGAAACTCACTTACCTGCTAATTGGTCTGGTTTGACGTGTGAAGTAATCACACAAAAAAATCACAACTAATCACCAACCATTTCCTGACACAGTCTGAAAGAAAACTTCATGATTCTGCTTTATCAAAAATGTTGCAATGTTCCCTTAAATCGACATGGTACTGCACCAAATGTACTCATTCATGAAAAGATGCATACACACAAGGGCCCAGTGAGAGTGTAAATTGACCTCAAAAACCACAAGCTCTCTCTGGGGAACAGGGGTCCAGCAGTAACATCATGAATAAACAGACTGGTCTTTCTCAGGGGAGCTGCTGCAGATTAGGTCAGTCAGTCAGTCACACTTTTCCAGTCTCTCTTTCTCCCACAAACACAGACTAACCAGATGCATGCATTGTCTCCCCGCCGGCGGCTCAGTAGATATCTCGTCTCTGCTCTTATCTCAACTCTCATGCACACAGCATCAATCTATTGACCCTCACCCCAAACAGACACATTGTGCTTAAGCAAATGTTGCCGGCCTGGGGAAACCAACAGGTATATATCAATAATAATTGATGACAAGATGTATTTCTTATTCAATTGGTTTATAGTGCAAGCAAGGTTATGCTGTTAAAACGGATACACTGTGCTTTAGGCAGGGAGGAGAAAGACTAGTGAAGACAATAACATCCAGAACAATGAAGCCGTATTGTTTTCAGGTGTCAGGTGTCCTGACCACTGCCTGTCCTCACAGCCATGGGCTCTTTGTCATGTGCATCCACACCAGTCTGTGAACTTGCCTGCTAATGTATGACCCTGAGGCATGCACACCCATGTTATTTCCACCAAAAGGTGCAGACAATATGCCAAAATGTTGCAATGGAAAGCCTCCAAGAGTTGACTCGACTGTAAATAAGAAATGTGACTTTCACAACTCGGTGGCTTGGACTGCAGAAGCAGCACTGATTCCCACCACATTCTTCAACAATAAGTCATATAAAGTTGTGCTTTACAGTCATTTTTAAGCAATTAAAGCAGTTAAAAAGAGTTTCAGTTTAGTGCACCAGTGCCTCCATTGATTTAGGGGACAGATGGGACTTCAATTACAGCCAATCAGAAGGGATTTTGATTTTTAAAGGAACATCTATAATAGCAGCAAATGCTCCACATCATTGCTGGTAAAGTAGTCAGTTCAGCTCTACTCATCAGTATGACGAGTCTTCAAATAAACAAATGCATCGATTCATTGGAATAGCATTGCTCAACCTGTTCAAAGAGCAAGTAGACACACTACCAGACAGACAGATAGATAGATATAGATTCAAAGAAAGCACAACTACGCCAAAGTTGCAACTGTAAGGTGTTCAGCGTCGCAAATAAGAATGCTAAAATACACATACATTATTTAATTAAGGAAAAAGTAGGATACAAATATGACAAGTTGAAATGTATTTACTTGTAGTAGTGCGTCACATTGCATTGCAGCCTTATGCGAATATCTTTAGGAGCTAGCATAATAAAGATCCGTTACATACCTTTTGAGTCCCATTCAGTGAATACGTATCACGAAAAAAACGACTTTCTTCGTCCTAACGTCAAACAAATTATCGTCATAAGACCTTAAAATAACTTCTTCTAGAAAAGTCAAATAAAACGAATATGATATGTATATACACTCGTGCCGGTCCCTGTGTTGTTGTTTGTCTCGCTCCTCAGCTTTCAACAACCTCCTCACCGTCTTCACTCCGTGTGGAAGAAAGTTTACTGATTTAGCATGACTGAGTCCGGACTGAACCAACTCTTGGAAAAGGGGTGGGAGTCTCGAGTTTTAGCAGAGAAAATAATTGTATATATTGTCAATAATCCCAGTATCATTATTTAAGGTCAATAAAGTCTATTCGACAAGTAAAAGTGAATAAAACAATAGTGCAAGTAGTTAAAACTACAGGTACAACTAAACGATAATACCACTACCCCCTATCTGCAGTTGGTAGGTTCAAAGGCTTTTAGACAGTGAGGTATTTGGAGGACGCCCCCTCAGTTTTTCTTTGTCTCCCTACCTATTTTCCTTCTCTTTTCATTTAAATCCATTGGACCAATGTTCCCCCAAAACAGCTGCACTACAGAGAGAGACTGACTTAAAATCCTCTAAAACTGGTGGTTGGATTCTATGATAATGACACACTAATTCATTTAAGAATAATTGAATTTGACTTCTAAGACAAAGCAACAGTAGAGAAAGGGCATGTAAGATATTTGGTGGTATGCCACAGAGACTTACTGGCTACAGCCCATAATGGAAAACTACTTTATTTTGCCCTTCAGCCAGAGTCAAAAGTAGTCTTTGAAACTGTTTCTTTCAGATGCTTTGTTAACTGCAAGAATGTCCAACAAAACATGAACCCATTATTTGTCATGCATGCAGATGTGTGTGTATTTGAGACAGACATATAGAGAAAGAGAACAGATTGGGTATAAGACCAGCTGTGTTTGGTTCAGCAACCTGATTTGCATTGTCTTCAGACCAGTGTGAATGCTGGGAGATTGAGTTTTATATCCAAGCTCCATTTTAATATGAACTGAGATGCATAATAGAGGTTATCCCATTGTTTTTTTGTAAGCATTAGAAAGAAGAAAGCCTGAGGTCTGCTTCACGATGATTATTGTAATCATGCTGTATGAACATATTACTTTTCAGCTGTCCCAGTGAGTTAGTGGGAGAACTGATGTGATTCCAGGTGAAGCTCTGAAGTCCCAAATACAGAACAGATCACTTCCTAAACATAGCTAATCATCTCCAGGCTGCTCTACAGCGGGCATGTGTCTCTGTGTGTGTCTCTACGAGTTTCTGTGTGTGGTTACACTAACTCAACCCAGAGCATCTGAGGCCTGTATTTCTGAAAGATGTTCTCTTTCCCCATAATTTTCCAAACCATGCCCTTTTGACTTTTTTAACCCCTTTTTCTCTTTCAGACCTCTCTCCACCCCTGTGAATTCACAATGCCCTGTCCTTGTGTGAGTAGACACAGCAACATGATGTCAATATTTGAATCAGCCAGGCACAGCAGGAAGATAATTAGGCCTGTCAATATTTAACTAGAAATTGCAAGACCACACAGGACACTATGAAAAGGAGAAAGGGGTACATAGAAAGGGTATGGAGCTACCAGTAAAACAGGGAGAGCTTTGTAACAGGGAAAATCCAGAAAAAGGGAATTTGGCAGCAGAGATAGGACAAACTGACCAGAGATACAAATATCAAGATACTGCCTGACAAAAAACAGACACGTGAGCAGAGGTAAACAAAAAGATAAGAAACAAATATTTAAGAATTTTTTAGGTTAATCTTTTAGTTTATGTGTGTTTTGCAAGTATCCTGTAGAAACAGAATGTAAAGCATTTGCTCTGCAGTGGCTGGAAGCTGTGACTCACTGTAGCAGCTAGCTCCAAACCGCAGTGAATTAAACCAATCCAGAGGTACACACACACACACACACACGAATACCTAAACATGTGGAACTGCTCACACATACATAGGCCTGTACATTTGTATGAAAACACACACACAAATGCAGTACACCCTGTGTTTCTATGCAGAACGTCAGCACAATGTTAACTCTGGCCATATGACACATACACACATTGAAAGGAATGCAAGTTAACCAAACCACAAGCTAACCACCCTCACTCTTTCACACACAAGTTATGAAATGCTTTAAGTATGCACACTCCATGCAATTAAGCCAACTTTTACTCCACATATTTTATGACCAGTAGGTGGCAATATATCCCTCTTACCCCTCTCAGCATAAAAGCGTGTGTTTGTGTGTGTTTGTGAGTGTGTATATCTTACCTTGTGTTAGTGGTGTGGGCACAGTGACCTGCACTCCATCCAGACTGCAGAGGTTACCACAGGGGTCAAGGGTCACCACTCCTCCTGTGTTAGAGGTTATAATGATGAGGTTAAAAAAAAAAACTGTGTTCCTTCACTTCAAAGTAAAGCAACTGCAGATTGCTACGCACAATTACACACAAATACTTCCCTGGTGAATGATGACTCCAAACTACACTACCAGTTGTAATAATAACATACACACAAAGCCATGCTATTTCTATCTTCACTAAAAGGCTTTGTGCTGAACGCTGTGTGTTGTATAATCACTGTGTATATATATAGAAATTATACAAGATGATTCACACAGGAACAAATAAGAAGAAAGCATCAAGAGTGCAATCAATCACTTGACATCTCACTGGCAAGGATCATTTTCTTTCATTCACACAATACATTACCAATCTACTGAGAGATATCCAGCTTACGAGTTCACTCAATTTCATATTTATCTTGACACATTATTTCACCTGAAGCAAATTACAGTGTGTCTGTGAAATGGTAATTATGTTGCAGTTTTCTTATGATGATGCTCTTAACAGAAGGCAAAATACTTTTAGTACATCATCTTTCTAACAGTTTGACAAATCTCTTTTCATTGGCAGATTTAATGATCTTCTTTAAGCAAGGCGAGATTTTAAGATCCAAGCAAAGCTTCATAAAAGGAATTATTGGCTAGAACTTTTAGTACACACTTGCCAGTCCAAAAAGTTAAGAGAACTGCTAATATAATGTATTATTTTTGTGAAAAGTGAACTGACATCAACCTTCATTGAAGATGAGACAGTGCTCTGCCTCGATGCCTGCTCCCTGGATGGTGATATCTTGAGGAATTGGAGCATCTTCTCGGCCAATGCGGGTCACCCCTGGAACAACAAGCAATACACAAAAACATTTAAAAAGACAAAACAACAGTATAGGGGAACAAAAACGTTTTGATGTGTTCCAGTCATCATTGAATCTCCATTACTCTGGACACTTGTTACTAGAAAATATACAAACATGCTTTTGAACCATATGGGTGGCACAATGTATTAGGTTCAGAATTATTCATTTTAACTGGTTGTTCTTCGTCATTAGACATTTAGAGAAAAATAGACTCTCAGTTCTCCTTAAAGGGATTTTCCACATTGCTGTTATTCCTCGCTGAAATGGAAGGGCACATTTTGTGTTTTGTACATTTTGTTCTTATGAGAATCAACCAACTCTATAAATATAGACATCTGACTTATTATAAAAAAGATGTCATACTGGAGCAGCTTCATTTAAAAAAGTTAATAAAATGTATTTGAAAGCAATCACAATGTTTTACTGCACTGTTCTCATCGTGGAGAGGAGGCCAAACAAAACGTCTCTGTCCCTCTGCACTGGGAATATAATGAGAGCTTTGTTAATAAGACATGTTAACTCGACCTGTGTTATCTAAGGACAGATCCTCACTATAATGTAAGGATATTAATCTCATATCAGTCAGTTGTTATTACTATTCCCTCTTCGGTCTGCAGGCCATTGCATTTTAATCAGTTATACAAGCATGTCTCTCATTATATCACGCTGTAGATCTACTTATCTTTGCTCCCATCTATTTGCTTTCCTGTGTTTGGCCAACTGTCTGGAATAATAATTAAGCAACGCCACCTGTTGCTTGCTGATCTGATGAATGCATGGTGTGTGCATGTGTGTGTGTGTGCTTTAAAGAGAGTGAATGAGGAAGGTGTGCAAAACACCTGTGGATGGCTGATGATAGAGAATCTATAAATAACTATAAATGCACCGTCCTCCATTATGTCACAGTTATCAGGTGTGTGTGATTTGGACACGAGTTCTCTATAAGGAACAGTGTTTGATTCTGGTCTTTTAGTTTAATGGAGTATTTTCTCTGTTGCTGTAGACACTTTCATGAAACCATGAGTCATCCCTGTTTTATAGCTGTTTTGATTCTAGTCTGTTAGCTCAGTGTTGCCCTCTTTTTTTACACTGTTAACTGTGCGTCCAGTCTGCGCACAAACCAGAAAGTAGGGTAATTTTCTTCCGAAATGACAGTCAAAATAAATAACCAGGAATGTGGTTGTAGTAGTTTGTTTGAATATATGTTTTTGGTCCAGGGGAGCCCTGTGGGAGGAAGGAGTGTTGGCTTCTTGTCTTGACTTTATTGCGACCCCGTCTCACTTTCCCCTATCCCCGACACTTCTCCAGCAACCGTCAAAATGAAGCAATGGTTGGGCGAGGTGGAAAAAGAGGGGATCATTTAGCGGGAAAAGCAGGAAACAAAGCAATGAGGGAAGTTCAAAGAAAGGGAAGAGGAAGGGACAAAAATATCTGGTTTCACAGGTGACGGCTTTACATGACTCGTGTTAAAAACATGGTAATCCAAGCCCATGGTGTATGATTTCTATGCTGTGTGTATTTGTGTGTGTGTGTTACCTTCTTTGAGTGGCAGCAGGGTGATGGCCACACTGAGCCTCCCGCTGCCCAGGCTCACCAGATGGGGAGAGGCTGTCTGGACCTTCAGACCCTTCCCCGTGTCAATCAGGTCCAGAGACGGAGACTACGAGCATCAGGCAGAGGGGAAAGGTCATTTCCAAACAAAGGTATTTATTATTGTTTCTGTGTGTGTTTGTGTGTGTGTTCTCTAACCTTAGATTCAACTGGGGACATCTGATCTGACTCTGGCTGGAACATCATCTCACAGTCCTGGAGGAGAGAGAAAGGAGAATCAGCTCTGAGACTGAAACATATAATTATAATACATTCACAAAAGTCTTTAATGTTTTGTTCTCATCATTTTTTTTATATTGAAATGTACATGAGGGTTTTTCAGTATCTTGTATCAGTCTCTTGAAGTCTAATCATCTTCAGCATATAAGGCCACACTGTGCTGAAAATTGTGTAAACGTACAATCATTCATCCATTCATGTAAGCTAACATAATAAAGACACTAAGAGCAGGGTCACACAAGTACACGTAATTATAATAATAAAAAATGGTATTTATAAAGCAGCTTTCATTGCTAAAAACAATCCCAAAGTGCTACAGTAGGCGTAAGAACCAAATAAAAGAAACAAAACATCTGCACAAATGATCGAACACACACACACACACACACACACACACACACACACACACACACACACACACACACACACACACACACACACACACACACACACACACACACACACACACACACACACACACACACACACACACACACACACACACACACACACACACACACACACACACACACACACACACACACACACACACACACACACACACACACACACACACACACACACACACACACACACACACACACACACACACACACACACACACACACACACACACACACACACACACACACACACACACACACACACACCACACACACACACACACACACACACACACACACACACACCACACACACACACACACACACACACACACACCACACACACACACACACACACACACACACACATGAGAGGAACTCTCCGTGTGAAAGTGTTCCAAGGGGAAAATATCACTAGAGTGGACAAATTCATACACACACCCTCTGACACTCAAATGCTAACACAAACCCGTTTCCAGTGGGAAGAACTGGTAAAAAAAAGGTTCCATGAAAACAGAGTTTAAACAACTATTTATGGTATGCCATCTTACCGCCTGATGCTTTACATGTGTTTGTGTTTGCTTAATAAGCAAAAAAAGCAAATTATAGCAATGGCTGTCAGTTGCATTAACTCTACGTATGTTGAATTATTTGGTTCAGCTCAAGAAAGTATCTTTAAATATAGTCGAGATTGTCCAGAAATTAATATAGGCGTTCATGAAGAGGATGAGGCCACAATTTAAGTTTTTATTAACCAAAACCATTTTTTAAAAAAAAATGAAATTCACTGAGTTAATTCATGCTCCCCAGAAGATAGACCCTTTCCATTGTGGGAATCCATTTGCTTTCATTTGTGCCACCGGTCAAATGTCCAGACATGTCATAATCTAAAAGGCAGATTGAACTGGTCACATTGATGCTCCCAAGGGAACCAACCCATTTAATTTGAGTGTTTGCCTAAGTACAAACCTTATTATATCAGAAACACTGTTTGTTTTATCCAACACATTGTGGAGTGTAATATACATTTCAGCCTCTAGGGGACACTAGCAGGGCTTCAGTGTCATGACTTTCTTATTTTGTTTAGTTGACAGTGGAGTCCAAGATAAAGAAACATGTTGTTAAGGGTGGGAAAAAGTATGAAGTCATTTAATAACTCTGAAATAGCAGGGCAGGATTAGACTGGCATAAAAGGAAGAGAATGATAACTATAAATGGGAATGAAAACAGGGCGAGATGAAAGGGAACACAATCAGAAATGTGTGTGTTTGAGTAAACACACTCAGATCCAGTGCCAAGGACAACCCCTGCAGCAACGTACAATTCAATGAAGGAAAAACAGTCCTGCTTCTATTTGTGTGATACACACTCATTCAAAGGCACACAAAAAAAAAATCCAGATGGAGTGAAATACTTCTCACTAAAGAGATGATTACAGTATATGGGAAACCACCCCGACCACATCTCCTTTTACACCTTCGGTTATTTCCTTCCTCTCTTCCCCTTCTCTCCCATATCCTGTAATAATTACTGTAATAATATACATTATCCACCTCACGCGGTTTCACCATTAGTGTCTAATCTTTTCAATACTTTTACATTCCTTTCACTAAAATACCCTTTTCTATTTATTCAACCTACTTGTCTTCACCCTATTTTCTCTTCATTTGTCCTTTCTATGTCCCATCAGCCTGCCTTTTTAATCTCAATCTCCTCTCTTTTCCTTCCTTATCCAGCAAAGGAAAACCAAATCAAAGTCAACGCCACTCCACTTCCTCTAATTCAGCACCAGCTTCCTCTCTGAGGTCACTTCCCTTGCTGCTTTGACACCCTTATTGCCTTGAAACACACACTCTCACACACACACTTGCTATTCTTTACAGCTCAGCTACCCCTGTTACCCCTATGCACACACACATCTACAAATAAAGTCACGCATCAGCTCTTTTGTTATCGCATGAAGATATGAGGCCCTGCATTCCCCTTGTTTTCAACATAGTGTAGACAAAGCAAACACACTATATGATGGCAACATCAGCCGGATTGGAGGTGCTACAGCAGAATAGAGATTGAATGAAGATACAAAGTTCAACAGGGACTGTGAGAGTAATGACAAGACTATTTTCTCTTTTGTTCCAGCGGTCTCCTCCCGCTTCCTTCCTGTACGTCCTTTCCCACCTCCCTGACTCTCCCCTTATGTCATATATTCCTTACTCTACCACCTCATTGTCTCTTTTTCCACAACCTCCCCCCTTCGTCTTTCACCAGGTGAGCTGCAGTCTGGCAGGTCAAGACAAGTTTTCACCTTGTTGTGCTTTACTTTAAACAGAGCAGTGAGGTGTATCAACCCCCCTTCTAGATTTACAGATTTCAGCTCTGGCATCCTAAGGGGGTCTTTACAATCTGCAAACACCAAACCTGATGCTATCAGGCTATCTGGACCGGAGAGCTCAAGCATGAGATTACTGGATGGTTTAGGTATTTACAGGTTTATAGAAAAACTCGATTTTTATCACTTGGATACTCTCTGCTTTTTGGCCCCTATAAGCTCAAAGTTGGTGCATATAGTTAAACATGAATCCACTAAAGAAACTGTTATTTTGTAAGAAGTTAGTTGAAACTTCCACATGGCTAAAGTGACTTGAGGTGTTTTGGTGTAGGGTCATGTCTCTGGCCTAAGAGTAACTTGACAGGATGTCACATTACAGCTTCAATTGAGTTTGATGACAGAATTACAGTCTATGTGAATAATGAGCATCAGGTTCAGCCAGATATCGAGTGACATGAGGCAGACTGAGAGAAAGAACGTCCAGCAGAGTAAACGTCAACATTTCATCACAAATGAACTCCTGGAATGGAATGGAATGAAAGGCTGGGGACGTTTATACAAATGTGTTTTTTGCCTTTATGGGAAAATATCCTTAATGTGCAGAGCTGCCCTACTTTTACTAATCCCAAATCTGTTTTACACCTGAATTAGCGCTTTAAATATTAAAGGAACAGCTTAAACAACTCCATACAATGTTTCTAAAATCAAATGCATGCAGTCTCTCTTTGATCCCATCTGTAGGACAGCTGATTTCCCCCAAAATGCTCCGTTTGCCCCACATCTGGAGGTAGACAAAGAGAAAGTGATGGAAGGACTCATAAAAGCAGAAGGACAAACAGATCCAGCGTCCACGGACTGTTTCATCTCATCCTTTTTATTCTCCTCATCCTCTGCTTTCATTCCTCTGTCCCTCCTCTACATCTGTTTTGTTTTCTTTCCTGTCTTTGTTATTATTGCCGTCTGTTTTTCATGCAGGCTGCATTCAGGACATTTCAGCCTGTTGCTCATGTCAGTGATTTGGAACATGTTGCTTGCACACATATATTATAATATTGTGAGCGGAGTTAAGCTATTAAGATAAGTGCATCAACATTACCGTTATAACTACAGCGGTACGCACAGAAGAGCACAATGAACTACAGACAAATCATCAGGACTATTATTTTCATTGAATGCAGATATTCCATGTTGGCCATCTGCTTCTTCTCCTGCTTTATTGAAACAGCTTACATTGGCCTTAGGCTAAGGGTGTCGCTCCTCATTCCTCAATATGATTTAGACCCTGGGGTTTAAACCCCAAGGTGACTGTTGAGCTTTTTTTAAATGTGCTCCAGAAATAAAATGTGCATGGGTAAAGACCACCATTTGTGCTAAGGAGTGGAAGGATTCAATCTTTGTTAAATATGGGCCATTTATTTTTTACACGGAGTACACGACAGGGGAAAACTATCAAATATGTTGCACTGATTCCTGTTGCCTCTTTTTCAATCTATATTCAACTCCCATCAAAGGTGGGTGTAAAGACAACAAATGTTGACAAGATTATATATTTAATTATTTTCTGCATAAGTAAGTATTTGAAAAGGGTGCTTGTAGACTTTAAATTAGGGAAATATCGCTATCTGTGGTTATGTTTAGATGTTTAGATGTTTTACAAACTGTTAAGAAAAACACAATGCTCTTCAAAATATGATACATTTATATAACAGAATCCTTTTTGTCTAATTTTCATGTGTCTTCATCTCTTTCTTGTCATTATCTGAAGCCAAAACCATTCAATTTTCTCTCAGTTTATTCTCTGTCCATTTATTGTTGATTATACCAAGTATCTTATTTGTCTAAAATGCTGTCTTCCCAGCTGTTCCTCTGTAATTCTCATGTTTTATCTTTAAATGCCATGTCTTACCCTTGTTCCTCTATCTTTATCTCTCCCGTTCTCCATCCCTCTGTCTCTCACTAACCTCCCCTCCCCTTACATTCCAGCATTACCCACTCCTCCTCCCACCTGACAAAGCCAGCATTGTATCACAGATGCTGTTTAATACGGAGTCCCCCTCTCTGTGTCCCTCTTATAGAGCAACTCTCAGAGCTAAATGGGGTTATCTTCCTCCCTTCTCTTCACAACAATTACCCATATTAAACACAAAGTAGTTTAATATATGCCTTACGCATGCATCACACCATAGACGTCAGCATTCCCACACACATTTCATCCTTTTGTTCATAAAACACTGCTCTTCTCAGTCTCAGTGTGTTTTGTTGAAAACATTTCAAGCTGATAAACATTACTTGACCTTGAACCGCTGCTGAAACACAACAAACATCCACAAGCATTGTTCTCCAATTTAATCTTTCTCACACTCCACTGAGCGTTTTCTCTCTTTTATCATTTACCCAAGTGCAAATCCTCGCAGGAAAGAAAGTCCATTGTTTTTGCAGCTGACTCAACGTCGGAGGAAATCTAACTTCAGTTTTTATCTCGGGTTTGTGTGTCTCTGGAAAAGCCCAGATTACCTTTACCGCCATATGGAGGGGATCAACTGATGTTGAGGTTTCTGAGGGGCCGGATATGACAGGGAGAAAAACGACAGAGAGAGAGTATAGTGAGATGTAACTCACATTAACAAAGCTTGCATTGTGAAATGAACTGCTGGACAGCTAAGAGAACAAGAGGAAGGCAGAAAGATCGACTTTGAGATAATAAGAAAAACAAAATGAGCAGCGGGGAAACAAAGGAAAAGGAAATGGATAAAAAAATAGACTTAAGAATTCAGAGATTAGGGGAAATAGATTGTTGACCAAAAAAGTCACTGCCTCCAAACTAAATATTGTCATAAACTGAACTGATGACAGTTCAAGCATACCTGGCATACACATTCATAGTAAATACTGTGGGACAAATCTTACAACTACAGTACAAGTGGAATTATAATTTGTTCAGCACATGAATTAACCTTTTAAGTGCTGTTTTGAATCTGCAGGAGAACTTGAGGCAGGACGGTTGTATTCTCCCTGTTTCCACATCATGGTAATAGCCAACACTCCAAATATAATGGTTTTTAACATTATTAGCATTCTGATGTCAGTTTTTATTTAAAAAAGCCATGGACGTCCTGTCCATTTTTAAGATTTTAACTGAAAGCGAGTTTAAATGTGTCCCTCTGATGTAATACATAAGGTTTTTTAGTTTCACTATTGCCATCTGTACGGTGTATGGAAACACCAAAGAAAAATCCACAACCTAATAATTACAGAACTGAAAAGACCAACTCCACATGACCCAAGTGTACAATGTCCTAATTGGGAAATCAAAGGTAATCAGATAAATTCGATACACAGGGCATGATCTAATGTGAACCTTTCACAAACTCCCAAACCACAGCCATACTTACTCTTTATCCATTCTTTAATCTGACATGTAAGAGGTGGGAGGTGGAAAGATGTGGTTTCTTAAATGTTATGGTTGAAGTTAGGTCACATGAGGGGAAACAACATGTATGCTTCAATGAACTCAAGGAAGGTCCTCATCTGAGTCAAGAAATCATCTTCAAAGGGTTATTTGTGTCAAATGTGGGATGACTCCCTTATACACACAACAACAGACAAGTCTACAACTAAATCAGTCCTCTTTGGGCCTCACAATATGACCTGGGAATATCAAATGATATCATTTATACATCAGTAATATTCCAATAGGAACTTCTATGTCATCAGCATTAATGAGTCTTTGTTTGTGTTTTTTCTTTGTTTTATCTTGAGTGGAATCCCCCACAGCATTTCTACTTTAAATCAGTTGCAGAAACAAGCAAAACGTTCACTGCGTTGATTTTTGCCACACTAATCTGGAATTAAAGTTGAATAGAATTAGTTTATTGTTACCTGCTGTAGATTTAAAACCAGTGGCTGTTGAAACAACACGAGAACAAAGTGTATTCTGTAATTTCCCCCATAAAAAGCCGCGCTTACCATTATTGAAGCGTGACTGGCCACTTCTGTCATCGTGCAGAAAAGGTCGCAATTACGCAGCTGCTCCAAATCCAACAAAGGTCTGTCACTGCTTCACTGTGATCAAAGTCCCGACTGCGAATACATTCCCTGTGCAGCATGAGCAACCTGTGGATGTCTTGGAGATACTTTAAATCATCTGTCACATTAACACACACACGATCACAACACACTCACAAGCGTAAAAAAGCCGGCGGCCTCAGCCAATCGCGACTTGTGGAGGAATGCAGGAACAGCTGGAAGTGGAGCTGGGGAGGGAGGGAGGGAGTCTCTCTCTCTCTCTCTCTCTCTCTCTCTCTCTCTCTCTCTCTCTCTCTCTCTCTCTCTCTCTCTCTCTCTCTCTCTCTCTCTCTCTCTCTCATCTCTCTCTCTCTCTCTCTCTCTCTCTCTCTCATCTCTCTCTCTCTCTCTCTCATCCTCTCTCTCTCTCTCTCTCTCTCTCTCTCTCTCTCTCTCTCTCTCTCTAGGCTGGAGAGGGCCAAAGAGAGGGAGAGCATTATTTCTTACTTGGCAGCATTGATAAGGAACCACGATAAGGCATGTTGGCTAATGATATTAGAACAGGAATGCAGTCTAGACTCACTTCACATGACACAATGCAGTCCTAATTATGCAGCTTTTGATTCATTCAGTCTCTGGAGATCTAGAATGGAGCACAAACTGGTACATTTACAAAATGCAGCAGGAACTTTGATTATTTAAAAAAGGATAATAAAGTGTAAGTATTTTCTCTTGCTAGAAAAAATACCTCTTACCTTATTCGAAGGATATTTACTGTATGAGATAGGCCTTTCTATATACAAGAAGAGGTCATATTTATAGGTATAAAGCATACCTTGGAGACAGACTCAACATAAACACCCTTATGATATAGACACACCAATTTGCAAAAAAGAAAAGCATGCATGATGATCAAAATTTTTTTGCATTTTCATCCAAATGGTAATTATAAAGCAAAAAAAATTACTTGTAGAAAAATGATCTTATTTTCAAACATGCAAACCCATACTTTATGCAAAAAAACATGTGCAATTTATTCCCTAAAAGTCAAGAACTGTTGGTATTTAAGCAGTGGCAGGCTGCTCTTAGTATAAGTTATGTGCACCATCTGAAAACTCTCTGCTACATGTACAGTCATGCACCAGTCTGGAGATATCACGGAGAAGAGGCCAGGAGTTCTGTATCAGAGGTATGTCATATTATTTGGCAGAGGTTCAAGTTTTCTCCACAGTTCATCAGAGAGGTTGCAGAAAACACACATTATGCACGACTATAATACAACCTTATTCAGGCAGAATGTTGTTTAGGCTGTGCACACACACCACAACTGAAGTGGAATGCCCGGTGTGTTCTTATGGCTGGAAAATGACAGATGTCGTCTTTGAAAGTGGTTCTCGGGTTAGGACTGAGGCCAGGGAGGGTTTGCCTTCGCACAAAACAAACAGACGCACACATTTTTAAAGCAGCAGGACTATCTTATCTCACAGGCACCACTGGGATCGCTCTGCTGACAAACAGGAAGAGAGCATGATCCACTTTCACCACTGCTTCCTTTAAAGTGAATCTACAATAAAGTTAAAAGACCCAACGGATAAAATACAGAAACAAATAAGTATCCTTTATATTTTATATAAAGCCAAACTTGGAATAGGTTAATTGGGTAGGGGGCAAATGCTGTCCATTATGTTTTTATGTTTGCCTTGGTATGGCAATATGTCACATGGTCATTTTAGGTCTTGACTCAACAGATGCATCTTTGGAGCCTGAAGCCTTAAAAGGGGCACAGCTAAATGTTATCAGGATAAGGCTCTCGAAAAAAAAATGGTTCATTTCCTTTTGAAGTGTTTCCAGGAGTTATTATGCATCCATGGTTGCTTGCTAGCATGAGAGCGGCTAAGCTTTCCCAATGACATCATCTAAAGGAGCCTGTGGGTTAGGTTTGAGGGCCGCTGAGCGTTTGACAGCATTCCGAGGTGAATACCACAAAATCCCATGTGATCCCAGGAGGCTGAGCAGGAGCTCTGGAGCTGTTTGGACAGGGATTCAAACCGGTGACCCTGCAGTGAGAGACAGCTTCATTTAAATCCATCATACCTTTCAGTCTTATTTTAATTTCGCCTGTCTGATGTAAAAAAAGGCTGTGAAACATCTGAACCACTTGACATCAAATCTCCGTTGTCATCAATGATGAAGGGCTTTGAGGATTAGTGTGTGTAAAACTATTCAACCCACACGCTTTAAATGACAACTTAATGACAGATAATTGGATGACACTGACACTGTTTGTGGCTTAAGGGTGATTGATGTGCCTCTACTCGTTCTGCCTTTTTCCTTTTCCGACCCCACAATGTGTCAGAGGTTTAGTCATAAGAAGAGTGTCACCGGTTTTTACAGCTGTTTCAATACTGTAGTTGTTTTGGTCAATGAGGGAACACTACCACATCTGTGTGTGATGGATGTTGACTGACCTGGTTGATTCAGATCAGACATCACTTAACACCCGGGATATAGCAGTGGTTACTTAAATCAAACTTGGTTTACTCACCAGGATATTTGCAGAGCTGAATCACTTTTATAGTGTGACATACATGGCTCCCTAAGACACAAACGCACCATGCAACCAAAGCATGAGTGTGACGATATTCCTGACACTCAAATGGCAAAAAGAAGACTGGAAACCAACTATAAATGTGGCTGCGTTGAAACCAAGTGAAGATTGTGAGGTTTCACTTTTGGTGTAGATAGGGGAAAAGACTGCATTTGTATTATTTAGGAAGAGAAAATTACATAATGGGATGTAAAGGGTCATACAAATAAAGTGTGGCTGCAGATCTACACAAACTGTGGTGCCCAAAAATACATGTGTCAATGTTTGCACATATTTCTGCAGAGAATGTTTGTAGAATTACAAAATCCTGGCTGAAAAACCCAGGCTCAAATGCAGTACTTTAAGACTTTTTTTTATAAAATCATGCCTGAGTTAACGTCTTCTCCTTTGAAACCTTGGAAGCCAGCAGGGGTCCAGAAAAAAATAGAGGGAAGGAGAGGGGACCAATCCAAACAACAAAGGAATGCTCTCCATCAGTTGGAGCGCTCCGCTCTCCCACTTGCCTGCCTTGGTATGTGTAATTACTCGGCAATTAAAGTGCCTCAGCATGTGACTGTGTGTGTGTTGGTGTGTGTGAGCCTGGCGGTGCTTGGTGACCATGCTGAACCATGTCAACAATGTGGCCTGGACAGATCAGGCTATTTCACACAAGTGAGTCATAGAGTGAAAAAACGAAAGGCATAGTGGATGAAAAGAAAACAGTATATACAGTTAGATAATGATGCTGCTGAAGGAGGGAAATGAACAGCTGTTAAAATATCCCTTTCTGCATCTTAATGTAAGCTGACCTTTCTCTTACTTTCTTATCTTCTTCTGCAGTCTCCTCTTATTCTGGTAACCACAGGAATGCAGGTTGACTGTCCCTGCAGTACTTTCATTTCACGCATAGTAATCACCTAGCCCACAAAGCAGAACACAAACACAGTAACGCACTCAGACACACACTGAGATATTCATTTCAGACGACGATATTTTAGCCTTTCTGCCCTTTTCTATTTCAACATGTAGTAGACAATGTATTTTTTATAGAGGTCGATGCAGACATGAAATATCCTGGATATGGTCAAATATACTGCAAATGCTCCTATATGCATTTACCCCACATACCTAACTGTCTCACAACATTGTTTCCATTCCAGCATCTCGAGTCAAACAATGGAAGGGAAAAAGTACTGAGCAGAAATACTATAAACAGAAACATTTATAGCCATGTATACATGCACATGTTTTATGAGCATTGTGGCACAACTTCCACACATATGTACCTCGGCGATCCCCGCATAAAGGTGCAACGGATTGAGGCTCTAGTTTAATGGAATAGCTTGACAATACTGAGAAGGTGTTGGCACAGCGGGCTGCTTTTTCACGACCTGTGACTTAACATAGAAACAAAAAAACTAGAACCCGTACTTTTCATTATTGGAAAACCGCCAAGTGCATAGTTAAAAAGCCAACTTTAGCTCACTGAACATCTGTTTACAATTAAGTGTATACCAATTCCAATACCATCAAGCTGAATATTTTCTTTAACAATTCTTTATAAAAATGTGCTAGTACTCTGTAAACCAAATTCAATACCTATAAATATAGCATTTTAAATAGCACAACATTTATACAATAAAGGATCCATGACCCTTTCTTGCATGAATTATGAAAGCCTCACTCAGGATTTTTTTACCAAGTGTCTTTTTATTGCTCTTGGGGCATTACAAACAAGATTTTAACTTTAACTTTTAACTCTAGTTTTTTCAAATTTAGAAAATAAATGTTTTATATGTCCACTCAGGAATGCGTTAAAGTCTAAACTGAACATTTGGAAAAAATGATAAATAAAGATGTGCAAACTTAAAATTACATTATAATAACTTAAGTATATATATTTAAGGCCGAAAAGATATTGCAAAGGAAGTATTTTCAAGAAGAACAGTAGCAGTAACAGTATGAATTTTAGTTGAAATATAGCCAGTGATGCATGACGTCCACTTTAGTGGATTTCCTGCAAACATAAAATCAATACTTTGACAATTTATGAATGATATGATTCCTTAGTTGTTACTTGAGGTCACCAAATGTGTTATACCTGCAGGGAGCGCTTTCCCTGAAAGGATATCGGCAGGATATCGGCAGGTGACATCTGGCTTTCTGTCGTTCATCTTGGTTTAGAGACATTTATCATGCACTTGCACTGACTTTCCACTGAGTGGCAGTGTATGGGATGATGCAATATGGTCCTATGTAGTGGCTGATGGTGCAACTATGCCATCAAAACCCATGCATACAAGAAAACACCTTTTGAAAAGCTGTCCACTGTAGTGACCCCTATGCGTGAAAGGGTTAAAGAAAATCAATTATACTGTATATACAGAAAAGTAAAAACGTCATAAACATTGGAGATATGTAACAATTCAACGTAACAAAGAGTTATTAATTGATATAGGAATGGTCATTTTATGGGTTTAAAAAAATCCTTTAAAAATGACTTAAGGAACTCCAGCATTATGTAGAAAACCCTTATCCGACAATGTTTTTGGAAGAATCTGCAGTCCGACCTCCGACCTCCAATACGCTGTGGGTCAGCACATATTTGTCCTGTCGTGCAAACACGTGTCATCTTTGTTTTCGCTCCTGTTCAGACAGCAGCAGGTTGTTGAGTTTGATGACAATGTTTGCAAAGTCAGTGAGCTCCACAAAGTCCGAGGTGATTATGTTGACCCCGTCCAGCCCCGGCCTCTGAGCCTCCACCCAGGAAATGATGGTGGGCAGGTTCCTAGAGGAGAAAGTGTATATGAGAAAGCAAACAATAACACTTCTTAATGTTAAACTGACGGATTCCCTGACCTTACAAACAATTATCTAAAGCCATGTTTCTGTCTCTGGAAGGATTATTGTTATTATTATAACATGTGCCAAACTCTAATCAGTTGTTTCTTAGCTGAATGTCTGTCTGTCCACCTCATTTCATTTGTTGATAAGATTCTGAGATACAGTAATTGGATTTGGGAGACAATGGACCTGATAGGAAAAAGTGAAAGGGAGTGCTGTTAGTTTCCGTCTGTCTGTCAGTGACTGCATTCTCTGCTCGTATTGCTTTGAATTCAAACACTTTCTGTTTTAGTTCTTGTCATAGAAGCACACACTGACCATGGCTCTGTAGCGGTAGCAGTTCCAACACTCTTAAACTCTCCGCTATGTCTGAGCCGCCTGCAGCAGAACAAAACCAGGAAGTCTGTTGTGTATCCAGCAGTGATAAACAATCCCATTTCCTCGGAAGGGCAGAATTAGGCCTCCTCCTGTCTCGCCACAGATTCCGCTCAGGAGTTTTATAGCCCAGCATCAGTGGCTGTTTCTCTCACTTTTGAGGGAAGGTACTCTAAGTCAGGAATTCCACTTTCAGCTGAGGATCAGAGAGCTAGCTGGCTGCTATACTGTGTGCAAATAATGTAGTCCTTACTTAGGGAAAGATCTCTTATCTAGGGGTGAAATGCGTTTCTGTTTGATTAGATTTAAATGTGTTATTTATATTTTCATTTGCACCACATATTTAGTTTGCTTGTATTAAAGATGATAATAATTGTTACTGTAGGCATTTGTAGCATGTACTGTACTGCCCTCCGTTAGGCCAAAAATAAATATTACATTGAGTTGAGCATTAGAGGACAAGATTCAAAGATACATGACAACATAAACACTCACACACATGGGATGGATTCCTAAATCTGTTATACATGTTTCAAAGCAGGTAATATATTAAAAATCTATTGATTAAACCCTTGCATTAGTTTACAGAAATCTTAAACTCAGTCACTGACCTCTCCACCAGGTAGTTGCGCAGCCCCCACAGCAGGCCCTTGGCCACAGTGTTGACCCTGGGTGTGAGGATGGCCTGAGACACGTGGAAGGAGCCATGATTTGATCTGTCTTTCAGTGTAGCTTCCAGGAACTAGACGGGAGAAGGTCAAAAATGAACTTGGTGTGAGATTTTTCTGAACATAACTTGAGTTACATATGGTACTTTGTTTTTAAGCTTGAATCCATTGTGTGTTAGTGAATTGTTAATATCTTTACAGTTTTCAATGGATAAAATACAATAAATATACATGAGGCTCCCATGCTGGTGAGTAGTTGCCACAGTCTGTGTTGTTTTCTGACCTGCGTGAGCTTGTTGGGTTCGGTGGTGTTGGCCCAAGGAGCAGGGATCTTGTTGCCGGGCCACATGACAGGGATGCCCTGAGCTGATGGATGGTGGTAGAACACAATCACCTGAGGAGAAAGTAAATAAAAGACAGTGAGCAGATAAGCTGCACAGACCGGGTATATGAGTAAATATCAGGTAATTAAACGTATGTTTTAATTTCTCTTATCTTGCATTTACACTAAATGTAGCACATTATATGCATACAACTTATTGGCACCAGTGCTGAATATCCCTGAAGGTAGGTGTAAAAAGACTGTTTAAAATCATGAAAACACATTTGACTTGTCTGCTCTTCACTAAAGAGATTAAGCAGAGTACTGGTTGCGTGTCTTTACGAATGAAACTTAATAAGATAGTTTGGCTTCCTTTTGAGCTGCTAATTGTACAAATCTCTCCTCGTCTCCTCCCTTTTCTTCGTCTACTCTGCCTCCCTTTCTTCTTTGCCAACTAACCCAGTTACGGATTAGGGCCAAAGGAGCAGGAGTTAAACTGATAGTATCCGAACCAGGCACTGACATGCACGTAGGACCATGCTGACGGAATTGCACGCACACAGATGTGTCTGAAGCGTGTGTCCATATGTTTAAGTATCATCTCCTTAACAAATGACGCTCATCACTAATTCTTGTCCAGAAGGTCACAAGTGACAGGGATTACCTGACCTCATGCGTTAAGTGTGACGTCAAATACACACACACTTCCATGCTGCTTTTACTACATGAGCTTTAAAGGGTCTTAACACTGGAGTCAATACACAAAAAATGTGGTTGGAATAATGTTTCAAGTGATGTTGTGCGTCCACTTTCATTCATCACCTGGTATTTATTCTTCCAGAGGTAGTCCAGAGTGATGCTGTCCACTGCACACATGTTACAAAGCTTGCTGCCAAACACTTCCAGCAGCATGGTGAGGAGGTACACATGATGCTCTGCGCCCATCGCATAGTAGTGGTTGAAGTCTAGAAACACTACCTGAATCAATCAAACAACAGACTGCATCAGTTAGTGTGTCTGTGCTTTCTGGAAATTATGTTTTTATGAAGGATTCTCACCTCTTTCCTGTGTTTGCTTAAGAAGGAGTTGATTTCTAACAAGCCTTCGCTCACCTGTGGGGGAGAAAGGTTGGAAATCACTTGTTGCATCAAGCCTTAAAGGTAACAAAACACTTTTTCAAATAGGGACCCGGCACATGTCGTGAAGCAGTAAAATGTCAGAAAATATGTAGTCCACTCACCTTGTGGCCAAACAGACCATGGATGAAGTAGATCTCCTTTCCGGACTCCCGTGGCTTGGAGGAGACTCGTAGATCAAAGTATCGGATTCCTGCTTCCAGCTGCTCCTTAAATGTCAGATTCTAGGAACACACACATCATTTATTACATCACAGGTTTAGTTAATGGCTTCAAAAACAGCTGTTACATAGACTTTTGAAATCTGCACCAAAAATCAGTGTAAATGACAACTATAAACTAAAAGTGTGTACATTTTAACTCAGTACCTGGGTCATGGCCCACTTCACCATGACCTTCTTGGCTAACACGCTGAACATGGTGGCCAGGTACTTCACAAATGCCTTCTGGTCGGGGCCAACAGGAGCATGCACATCCACCCAGTAGGTAAAGGAATCATGAGACCCTGCAAGAGAGATGAAGAGAAATTAAAATGGAATAGAGAGAGGATCCAATCATATCCCTCTCACACTATAGCTTTATTGTTGTGGTATCCATGCAGGTGGGATGGACAGAGGAGCAGAGGAGACACATCTTTACGCACGAAAGGCTCACCTGGCACGGCGAGGTGTTTGAGGGGCATGGCACTGAGCTTGGGGGGCAGAGAACCCATCCAGTCGGCATTGACATTTCCAATCCCTGCAGGTCGGGTCTTCATGTCAGAAACAGCCAATTAAAAACAAACCCTCATGAAACCGCGCTCTGGTGGAGATGCAATCCTGGAGGAGGATTCCTGTGTGCTCCCGAAAGATACAAACTACCGTAGATCATGTTCTAAAGTTACAGTTAATCTACGTATACCAGCGGTTCAAAACGACATCAACCTCTTACGACACGTTAGCTGTCCCGGTTTCTTTAGAGCCGCGCTGTTTTCCTACCGGCGAACAGGAAACAGTGGAGACAAGCAGCGGGTGGCTAACGACTGTGCTAATCCTCTTAGAGCAAAATTACACTTGTTATCTCCCCTCTCCTGCTTCTTGGGTTTACCTGCTTTGTGTGTTAGTGAGCAGACCACCACTTGGACACATGCTTACACAGAAAATATAGGAATGTTGTCTTCATTTTAAATTAGAATAAGCAAATCATGACCTGTAGCCTGTAAGAATAAATATGATACCCACGTTATTATTCATGCCATATGTCTGTGATCATCGCGGTGATGGGGACTACTTGGTGCATGTAACCTTCATCAGGGACTCATGTCTGTGTTCACGACCAATTATTTTAGCCAGCCCGGCTAAAATAACTGGATGGCCTACCTGCCTGTCAGCCTTCCATCTCGTGCACACATGTATCTCGTGCCCTCATTGGTCATGTGCGCGTTCGTGTGTGTTGGAGGAGGGGGTTTGTAAGGAAGTCTGAAGGAAGGGGCAGATTTTTTTCGGCTGCGTACTTTCAAATTGTAGCGCACTTGAGCTGGTTTCTCCATTCTTACCTACCTTACCTTTAAGGTAAGATTGATGAGTCTGACAGCTCTATACTGGTCCATGTGAAAATCAACACAGAACAGAACTACGGCTCCATCTTGTGGTGGAGCACATTAACTACAGTGTCCAGATATGAAGTAAAGAGGTCTCACTCTGACCCTTTTTTTGTCGCCCTGAACATTTATGCTGTAAATAATAGCCTGGAAACAAGTCACCTTGGCGGACAGATTTGAGTTCATCAGCTAACAATTCATCTCTGTCATTATGGGTCTGAAACTAGTTTGCATGGATAACAAAACAATTCAAACATAAATTAGGCTACCTGTCGCTTTGGTTCTTGCTTTGTGTGGCCGAGTTCAAAGTTGAACTCAAAGGTGTTAAGAACTTCGCCAAAGACTGTTAATATTACTGGCAACACAACTTCAAGTCAATTACACTTCTTTCAGAAAAACTAAAGTTCAATCTGTATATATATTTTATTTTTCTAAATCATGGTTTAAATTGTTTTCATGGATGTATTGTTTTTCTTAGATAAAAAAAAAACACTTCCGCAAGTCCCAGAAATCAATGCGTCTGAGCGCGCCCCTCGTCACATGGAAACAAGCGTCACGTTTGTATGGTTTGTATGTGCGTTGCCATGGGGAGCAGTCACGCGCACGTAAAGTATCGCAGGAGCTAGCTTTAGATATTTAATCTGAAGAAACTTCGAGCTATCAGCAGGCGCAGACAACGGCCGAGGAAAGGAGCAACGCCTCTAAATGGTGAGTTAAAAACTGGAAGAAGAAGAAAAGGGGGGTTTGAAAGAAATTCCAAGAACATGGTGGTTGAGGAACTGAACTGTCAAAGCAGACATGTCAACAACAAATGTTTCTCTGGTTTTAACTCTTTCTGATGAACTCCACTGTCTTTTATTTTTACAGCAATGATATCAGTTATTTTTTAGAGTTAGACTAGGATGTCTTTCCTTGCTGTGTGTTACATTTAATGTTTATGACAGTATAGTTTAAGGGAATCAATTACCTCCAAATGTACTTTGTCAAGAAATGGCATTTAGAATTTATGATCCAATTTAATTATTCTGTTTCTTTTCCGCTGTCCGGTTAGTGTCCACGTGTTTTCAATATAATTGACCTTGAATAGCTTCCTAATGTCATGTGGCCTGGATACTTTTCTTAATTCCCTTTAAATCCCTCCACAACAGATTGCCATATGCGAAAGCTGAGTGCAGGCCAGCAGTCCTTTGGCTGGCTTCTCCTCTTGTCTTAGAGCTTATTGTTTCACTGAGACTTGGACATCAGACAAGGTTTTGTTTAGAGCAATCATTTCTGGTCTATATACAGCATGCACAATGTATAACTAATCTATAAACATTTACATATTTGTAATTGTACTGATTATTAGGAGACATAAAGCTAAATCCAGTTTGGACATACTGTTTGGAGGGCCCCATTCAATGAAATGTACACTGATCTTATTTTGTGTGGTAACCCTTGGTTTACCTGCATCTTCATTTCTTCTAATCTAAATACAGCATGTCAGCGATCGACAAATGTACTCAAGTTTCAAGAAAATAGCTGACAGATGGAATTCAAATCCTAACACTAATGCTCAAAACTATGCTTTAATAGCTTTACATGTGTGTATGCTTTTCATTGTTCTTCAACCAATCCATATATTAACAGTTCATCCATTTTAAATGTTATTACCTGGATTATGTCAGAGTATGCATGCTGTGTTTCAGTCTACAGGGCTACCACTGTTTAACCTTGACATTTAAAGAGATTCTTCTGATGGTTGATAAAGAAAATAGCAATGATTGGTCATAAGTCCACTTTTGTAGCCTCTCATTATCAGAAGAGGTTCTTTGACAGTACAATCCCCCCCATGTAATGAATAGTTTACACCTTGAGGATAGTTCAAATGGCAAAAGTAACTACCATGTCCTACAAGATCTATAGATGTATGTTAAGTTATCAAAATATACATTTTACGACCATTAAAACCCCAGACTTTCTCTTGGCCTTTCTTTAAGAGAAACTGAACAAGAGGTTAAACTTAAAAGATTTCAGGGAGGCTACTCACTTTACCTTATTAGCTTTAAGTTAAAATACACGAGGCAGGTGCAAGAATACATATTTATGATTCGATACATATGCATAATAATACAATAATTGTATGTTACAACCTAAAACAGCACCGTGGACAGCTATGCATTTCACTACTAGAGAAATTAAACGATATCAGTCTGACAGGTGCGGTTAAAAAAGCCCTTTGGCTGAATATGCATCACAACATTATGATGACTAAGGCCTTTGGTGTGAATCAGATCCTCCAGGCAGGGTGCTTGGGGAAGGTAGTGGATGCCGGTAAGCGTGATGGTGATGTAACATCCTATTTACATCCCTGTTGACTTAATCTGCCTAGGGCTGGCTTTGTCATCTCTCTTGGGTGGTCATGTGCCTCCTACTAGTGAGACACACGCCTAATCCTCCTCCCTGACAGAACAACAAGAAGTGCTCCTCGTTTAGCTTTGTAGATCTAAGGAAAATCCTTGTGTTTGGTGATTTCCAGGAGTGGGTGAAGCTTCAAACTGTTGGCACAGTGTCCACTTTTGGCTGACCTACATGAGCAGGATCCAACCTTTCTAACAACGGGTCAGACACTGCAGGATGAGTGTGGAACTGCAAGGGTTGGTGAGCATCGTGACAAACTGGCCTTTTAAAAATGATGTCTTCTAGGAAATTAACTCCACTCAAGAATAGGCAGATGAAAGACTTTTGATCATTTGAATTGACTCAGTTTCCCCCCCCCCACCCCCACCTTATGCAGAAGGCAAGTTAAGACCCTAATGAAACCGTCTTGAGAGATGATGAATCGCTACACCACCCTGAAGCAGCTGGGTGACGGCACCTACGGCAGCGTGCTGATGGGGAGAAGCAACGAGTCTGGAGAACTGGTGGCTATCAAGAGGTGAGGGTATTGATCCTTTTTTAAATATACATTTTGTCCTCTTTGTTTCAGCATGTCTTTGTTATAGCATGACAATATCGCAATATTTGTGGTTATTTTCCCTATTGTGACAAAGCATAAATGTGCTCTCTATCTAGTGTTAAGGGCAGCTTTACAAGTGAGTGCACCATACAGTACTGACAGTTCTATATAAGTGCAATAACTAACTTGGTATTCCTGCATTTAACTTGTATTGCAGCACTTGCATTCTTTTTTATTGCACTATTTTACTTTCTCGCCTAAGATTGAAATCGCCAACAACTACACTGTTTTGTGCGTATGACGATAAAATCTTTGAATCTTAAATATTTCTCAAAGTTCATACAGTGCACAACCTAGTTTACATCGAATACTGTTTAACAAGTCTAACGATAACCCGGGAAAATGTCATCACAGCAAGACATTTAATAAAAATAGTGCGATATTTGAATATAACCACACTCTGGAAGTATATAATATCAAGGTTTAAGTTTCAATATACACATTCGTTAAAGAAATTGCTCGTTATATATCAAATTAAATTGTACCCACACATTTCTAAACCAATTTCTGTGCAATATTTGCCCACCTTAACACTTTTAGAAAGGATGCACTCAATTTTTTTTTACAAAACTGAACTTGAATTGTACTTGTACCCTGTATCAACATCTAAAACAATGTTCAAAGTGAAGTTTAGGACTTCTGGTTTCCTACCATCACTAGGGCAAACAACCGGCTAACATGCCTTTGTTCCAGCAGCGTGGCAGAAGGGTTCAATAATAGATGAGAAACCGGGGAGATGCATCCACCGGCTGATTATATGGTTACCATGCAAGTCAATACAGGTGGTGACGGTGAAAGGCAGTGAAAGTAGAGGGAGTGTGTCGGGTTGCTGTCATTGTGGAAGGGACCACAGAAACTGGCAGGTGACCAGAGGGGAGAAAGAGATACGTGCACGTTCTGTGACTCTTACATAACGGCAGGTGGAGGGAGAGGTAACGCTGATCAGAGAAGATAAGCTGTCGTAAATGTGTCTCGCATACCAGCTGTGGTGTGGTTTGAATGTATATAGCAACACATACTGCGATAACAACTTAATACAACTGAATCAAGTTGCATTTCACACTTAATTTAAGAAGAGAAGCAAATGGTAAAGATGTATTTATGTCACTTTATGGCTTGAGCTTTTGCTGGTTTTATACTTCAAATGAAATGCGGTGAAATTTGAAACACCTCAAAAAAGCTGAATTATTGATGGAGGTAAACAAAGGAATTTCGACTCTACTGTATGTGGGTTATATGCCCTGCAAATGTAGTGTCTTGTATTTTCAAGTTGCATGTAATAATTCACATCTGGTTTTGACTTCCCCCACAGGATGAAAAGGAAGTTTTACTCATGGGAAGAATGTATGAACCTAAGAGAAGTGAAGGTGAGGATGATCTTGAAACTTTAGATGATGCTGTGTTACGCAAGCAATTATGCCTTAGAGCAGAACGGTGCCATATTATTGTTGATGTTCTTAACTTTTCCCATGATTCGTCACACTAGTCTCTAAAGAAGCTGAACCATGCGAATGTGGTGAAGCTGAAGGAGGTCATCAGAGAGAACGATCACCTGTACTTTGTCTTTGAGTACATGAAGGAGAACCTCTACCAGCTTATGAAGGACAGGTAAGAAGACATTAACACACTCTACAATGTATGTCTGCACAGAAGTCTAGTTTGAGCTTCCAGAGCTTCCTCTTTCTGGCGCGAAAAGTTTAGACATTCATTCACACAAATAGGATTGTGATGTTCCTTTATATTTTCACGTGTGCTACATTTTTCAACTCATTTGATCAGTTAGTGTGTACCAAAAAAAAAAGCGATTTCATGTATTCTTTCTGAATCCTATCAATTTTATGTTTACAGAAAAAAGTTGTTCCCTGAATCAATTACAAGAAACATGAGCTTTCAGATTTTACAAGGCCTGTCATTTATTCACAAACATGGTAGGTGCACTGTGTTCCCTTCATGGCCTGCAAGTGCATGACAGTGGTTGCATACTGCAAGATTCACGGCATATTGAGAAAACTAAAAAGCTATAAAAAGTGGAGCATTTCAATCAAAGTTCGAACTTGGCAATCTGGTGATAAATAAATAAGAATCTTGTCGTTTGTAAACCCTTAATCATCTAACCTGTTGCTCTGCTTTACTTTAAAGAATGGATGTGTGTACGTTTTGGGGAATGTGACAGTTACCTTGCACTACCTGCTATTTTTTCCACACATCCAGAATGCATGTTCTTTTCAGGATCTCTCTTTCTTTTAACTGCTTTTCTTTCATTTTTCTTTTAACCCTCTTTCCTTCCTTTTCTGTCTCTTTGGTTTTCTGTTAGAGAGAATAAGATGTTCTCAGAGAATGAAATTAGGAACATCCTGTTTCAAGTGATATCTGGGTTGGCTTTTGTACATAAGCATGGTAAGAGGCTTTACTCTGTCATTCTTTACCTGTTCATATTCAGAATAACCTTTCAGTAGTTGGTTTGGGTGTATATTGTAATTTAGTGCTAAGTGCACTGCCAACATTTAGATAAATTCCCTTTAATGTACATGTGGAAATAAGTATTGTATACCATCAATAACAGGCTACTAAAACAGCTTGCTTAAGGTTAAAGAAACAATGTATCCATGGTTCAAAATGTCAATGTTGAATACACAGACCATTGAACCAAGGCCAGCGCTGTCAGCGGGTATATACACCCAATCATCAGCTCCACCGTTTTTCCTTTTTCTTCTTCTAAATTTAGCGAAAGTTTTAAATACTAATGTAGAACAATTGCATATGATTGTAATCTGGCAATGTGCTTTACACAATGACTTAAGACTTACCAATCCACAGGGTTCTTTCATCGGGACATGAAGCCAGAGAATCTGCTGTGCATGGGTCCAGAACTGGTGAAAATAGCAGATTTTGGACTGGCCAGAGAGATCCGCTCCAAACCTCCGTACACAGACTATGTTTCAACCCGATGGTAAGCATAATGAATCGCCATCTTAAACACAGAGGAGAGCATGTGCATCTATTGCAGTGTGCTTAACTGCTTTGGTACAGATGCAAGTTAGATTCACTTTTTGCAATACCCTGATTGTACGTTTGTTTACTTGATTATGTCCTCTGTCCAGGTACCGGGCTCCAGAGGTCCTGCTCAGATCGTCTACCTACAGCTCTCCTGTTGACCTGTGGGCGGTGGGCTGCATCATGGCTGAGCTCTACACTCTCAGACCTCTCTTCCCTGGAAACAGTGAAGTGGATGAGATCTTTAAGATATGCCAAGTTCTAGGCACCGTGAAAAAGGTGAGAAGAAACAGAATGACGAAAACAACATAAAAATACCTGATTAATAAATAAAACATACATTTAACCATCTGATGGTGTCTTCCTCCCGTAGACGGACTGGTCAGAGGGCTACCAGCTAGCTTCTGCTATGAACTTTCGCTTCCCCCAATGTGTGCCCACCCACCTGAAGACCCTCATCCCAAATGCCAGCAACGAGGCCATCATACTGATGAGGGACCTGCTGCAGTGGGACCCCAAAAAAAGACCCACTGCTGTACAGGTGGGGGAGAGTATGAGAAACCATAGCTTTATTTGCATTAGCATCCTAATCCCAGTCATTTGTTATTAGTTCTGAAGTCATGCCTGATTCCCTCTGGCCCTCTGCATCACGTATCCATATCATGCAGAAAACATGGTCAGGTCATTACATGATTAAACATAATTTCCTCCACTGAGACGGTTTGATTACTCTGTGGGCCCTGGGTAGGAAACACCTTACCAGAGGGAGGGACTTTTCCATTCTCTGCTTACAAAGCTCCCAGGTGTAGGATCACATCCAGATTTAGCTGATTCCAAGGAAACAATTCAAATGATGTTTAACTTACTCCACACAACATATACATATCTGAATAGGATAACGTCTACATTGCTATTCTTTGTAATGCATTGTCACATTGTATACATTAAAGCAAACTTCCTTACAGGTTTGAGTGTGAAATGTTAATTCATAGTGAACAATGCTCAGGGAGTAATCGTAATAGCTAAAGAACAATCTGTATTCCTCTCTCTTCCTGTCCAGTCCCTGCGTTACCCATACTTCCAGGTAGGCCAGATCTTAGGGCCTCGTCCTCAGAGCCAGGAGATCAAGAAGGTCCAGGCCAGGCCGCCGGTCTCTGAGTCCAAGGCTGATACCCAGCAGTCTTCCTCTGACTCCAAAGCCTCCACTTCCTCCTCCAAAAACCAGCAGCAGCCGCACCATCATCATCCTCTTCAGCAGATCCCCCTTCCCCAAACTGAGAGTAAAGCAGGAGGTCATGCAGTGAGTATCACAAACATTATTGTATTTCTTGTTGAATCAAATAATGGAGTTGTCTGAGTTTATGCAGATTCAAACACTACCTTGTCATACATAAAGGAGTCTTTCTGGTCCCTTACCTTGCAGAAAGCAGCATCGCAGGGCAGTGAGAACAGCGTTGGTGGGGGGGGGATGGCGGTGCTGAAGAGCGGCCGTCGTCGCTGGGGCCAGACCGTCGCCAAGACCTCAGACAGCTGGGAGGAATCAGACCGCTCAGAAACCGCCGTCTCCGACTCCAAGAAGCCCAGCCTGGGGGACGCAGAGGAGGAGTGGGGCCCTCAGGAGGAGAGGGGCCCTCAGGAGGAGAGGGGCTCTCAGGAGGAGAGGGGCCCTCAGGAGGAGAGGGGCCCTCAGGAGCATCGCCCACAGTAAGTGTCCTAACATAACTATATTGGTGAATTGTGATTTACATCAAGCATCTCGCATTTCTCAAGAGTTAGTTATGTATGCAAAATGTCCTTAACTTCCCTAAATGATTTAACAAATCTATTACCCACCATAGGAATAGGACTTATATTCTGACTTTATGTGATGCATGGAGTTGCTTTTTCGGTACAGACTCTTAAAGTGTCTCGTTTATGTTTTCAGGCCCAAGCCGTCGGAGCAGAAGCCTCTGTATTCCTACAGCACAGTCACTAAGCTACCCAACAATGTTAAGATGGGCCAAATGGACCCCAATCTCCCAGGATCTGCTGCACGACAGCACTACCTGAGCCAGTCTCGATATCTGCCAGGTAAGACTGCATGATTAGCAATCCTTATCCTTGGAAAGAGAGCACCAAATTGTAGCGTTTTATATGCAATTTTTCAATTTGTTGTTATAGTTTGGCATAATATCCCCTCTTACAGTCTTTATATGCGTTGTTTAAAATGTCAGATGAGCTATTGTAAAGCATGACTGCTGGTAGATCTAGTGTTTAATGCTGAATGACACTAACTATCGTAAGAAAACCTAAGAATCAGCAAGTCCAAATGCAAATGTCCCTAAATATTGGTCCTAAAAACAAAGCGTTATCATCATACTTTAGGTCACCTGATCAGAGAGTTTCAGAAAAAATTCAACGTGGTGATTTAAATGTTTGTGTTGATCATTCCTGTTGCTTTTAGGGTTGATCGGCAAGCATCAGACTTCTTCTGGCGATAAGGAGTTGAGTGGTTTAACGCTGCGGGACTTGTGGGAGAACTCCTCAAACACTGTAAATAAACCGCTCGCTCCTATTGGAGGAGGATTATCAGTCACGAGAGCCAAAGCAGGTGAGGACTAATGTCTAACGTAGAGGTGTTAAGTGTCCAGATTTTACTAACATGTTAACAAAATCAAATCTATCAGAGATAAGAATCAGGACATCACCTCCACCCACCTCATTATGCCATGCAGTGGAAACCTGGCTACTGTCAGTGTCACATGATACAACACTTCTGTGCCACCAAGGCACTAAATGCTAATGATGCAGCTAATGTCTCCTGATCAGTAGTTATGGAGCCATTGACAAAGCAGGGTTAGGAGTGAGTGTCTGCGACTTTAGAGAAGGGAGATCTCTATAAATCATTTGTCATGTAGACAGACACACAATATGGGTCCCCGCTGTGCTCTCTTCTTCTTCTTCCGTCTCTTTCTTTCACGCTGTCTCTCCCTCTCCATTGCTTATTCATGAGATTAAGACTGTCGGTGTAAGATCAAGTGTTCCTTAAAAGGCCTTCAACTGCACCCCCTACTTATTTGTCCCCACACTCACACACAGCGTTTGTTTTGATACACGTATGAACCTATTTGTATCTTTACAGTCAAGAACAATAACCCTTTTTCTAACTGAGTGCTAACATGATATTTATCTCACATTTCTGTTTTTCCTTTTCCTCTTCTTTCTGATTGCATGCATTTCTTCTTCGGCCCTCCTTTTCCGTGTGAAACTAGAAGACAATGCCTCTAAATCTGACGATAGCCCGCCAGAGAAAACTGTTGTTAAAGAAAGAATGCTGGAGAAAATTGATCTCTCCAAAGGTATTTTATTTCATGTGAACTTTTGTGTTGTATTTTGAGTGTTTGCTGATGCAACAAGCTTCAGTTATTCACCCAGCATCTTAACATGTGAATGAACCCAACTGCCAAAGACTCTGCAGGAGACAAGGGTACAAATACACAGTTTAGCCAGAGAACTAAGAGCTCCAGTTGCTAAATAGATGTTAGATTGCACTACAACCACAACATCTTCTTGGGGGAACAATAAGGCTTTTCACTAATTACCCCGATAAGCATCTGTGAGCTGCAGATGGATGGAGTCGCTGCAGAAGCTGAATGACTTCAATCACTCGGCCTTAGTCATTTGTTTGGGTCCTCAGTAGCTTTTGCATATGCAGTAGCCACTTCACACACATCATTTGTATCAGTAAAGCCATGTGTGAGAACATCTATTAAGTGTGTTTTCTAAATTTGACTTCATTTGTATGTTTTCAATGGTGTACATTATTTAATCTTATATGACCGTGAGAAGCAGCTAATGGAGGTTGATACATTAAAATAAGACACATTAACTATGTTTTCTTCTATTTTAGGGAACTTTGTGAGCACCAAATACAACCTCTCTGGCGCTTATATTCCTTCATTCCAGAAGAAAGAGGTGGGCTCAGTGGGGCAGAGAATCCATCTCGCTCCTTTGGCTGGTCAGCACACAAGTAAGATTTGATCATGCTAAGCTGACATAATTATTCTTAATACCTTTACATCTGGTAACTTCACTTGATCCCCCTTTTTCCAGCTCCAACGGTTTCACTCCCTCATCTTTCTGAATATCAGTTTGCCATGACTATTCGTACTCCTTTACTCCCTTTCTCTAATCAATTTATCACCTACTTACTGGTACTATATGTTTCTCCTCTTTCTTCACTCTTTCAGTCAATCCTTCCTCTTCTCCTGATAACAAAAAAGAGAAATCTAAATCTGCAAAGGCCAAGCCTGTATCCAACTCCTCTTTGAGCGAAAGTAATGAAGGTATTGGCCTTTTTCCAGTAGTTACTTGATTTTTTTTTTAGCCTTTTAAAATGGTTCTTGCCTGATTCCTTGCATTGAAGTTTTCAGATGAACAAAGCTGTCCTTCTGTATTGTTATGGTCCAGTGCTTTGACTGCTGATGACATTAAGATCCTAGTAAAATCCTGTCTAGCTAATGTGGATGTGTCCTGCTTGCTTTATCTGGCTATAGCTTATGTGTTTAATACTGTTTTTATTAGAGAAAACTCACTGACTTGCGTGTTCCTCCAGATTACGAGGGCTTGAAGAGGAGAGCAGACAGGACTCAGATGAAGGGGGGCAGCTACTCGGCCCTGGGGAAGACTTCTGGGAATCTCCTCAGCCGAGCCCCCCCCGTGCAGCCGGTCCACGGCAGGGTGGACTGGACATCCAAATATGGTGGAACTCGGTAGATCGGACAAGTCATGCAGCTTCTCCTGCTTGATGGACTCTTGTATACATATTTAGATAATGGATGTTAACCCCAAGCACAGTTTTAAACACACTGAAACCCTACAGGGAATGCAGTATGTTCCCCTGAAACAAATGACAAAAAAATTAACAAGGTAGCTGGTAGGGGAAAAAACTGGTCTCAAAAGACATGCTTTCAGGAGACATTTTTCATGCCACAATTGCATAATTCTGTTTCCAGAGAGCCCAAAAGATGTTACTGTAAAACATGTTTTGGAGATGACGGTTGCCATGATGCTGAATAAGACTGTCTGCTAGACAATCCCACTGTACTCCAGTGTGAGCCAATTCTACTGTTAGTGTTGAGATACTCTGTGTACAATTCAAATGTAGCATAGCTTTTCATTTTTATACTGTAGTTTATTATTGTTGTCAAGTATTGTTTTAATACTGATAGAAAAGCACTAACAGTAATTTATTAACGTTGATCCCTCTGCTTTAAATTTCATAACAAATTGTAATAGCAACAAAAACGATCCCTTCAACTTATTCTGTGCCGCAAGACAATGGCACACCTATTTGTATTATGCAATGAATTAATTGAGCATTTTGTAAACATTTTATACAAATAAATAAATGAAATGTCATAATGCACTCATACAAAAAGGACAAGACAACCATTTCTATTATATAAACAAGGTTCTATATTTCATCCTCAAATATACACTTTACAAAATGACATTAACGGTCAACAGTGAAAGACAGATGCTGACATGAAACAGATCATAGGGTACACCTCAGAGTCCATCACGACTCCTGGGGTTTCTGGAGCAGAGACAGACCGAGCTTTCCCACCATCACAAGACTGAAACAGGAAAAAAATGAAAAATCACATCTCTGTTTTTGACATTTGGCCCATCGTCTGGGGTCAACAGAAAAGGTCCATATAATGAGCCTATCACAGACATTCATCAAGTACATGGTCTTTCATAGAGCCAACCACCACACCTTGTCTGAGTCATCCTTTTTACCTCTCCTTGAATATGTTCATGTATGTAAAATAAATCAGTTTTCTCATATGACAAATACCTTGCTGCAGCCATCAAGCCAGCTGGCATGAACTTCCTGGATCCGTAGAACCTCTTTCCCATCACACCAGTCAGAGCTCCTGATGTAGCTGGAAGACACAGGATGAACAAAATAAGATGTAATACAACTTGCTCAGAAATTGAAATTATCCTCATGGGACACAAACATGAGTGTTGTCAGTATAATTACCAAGGGACACCCAAACTTGTTTAGGGTCATTGGAGATCTGGTAGGCACCGAAACCTGCGAGTCCGCCGAAGAGAACACCAGCAGCCAGAGAGGGGACACTGCCTGAAAGAGAACACACAGCACATCAACACCATTTATTATATCAAGGACTGAAGAGCATGAACAGACTGGTGTGTGTGGGAGTAACACACTTTAGTTTTATATGCCATGAAAATAATTGAATGAAATAGATAACATCCACATCCAAAGCATACACAATAATACAAAATACAAGAATATAAGGTTACCTGCTTTGACGTAACCTATGACTCCCCCAGAAGCGATGAGGGCCGCGTAACCATATCCTACCCAATCCACAGACATGTTGGACACCTGCAAATAAAACGGCGTATGAGTGGACCTACATTAACTATTTAATTCAGACAGCTTCCTATTGAACACATAATAAACGTACAAGTGCAAAGACATCAAAAGGACTGTCTGAATGCTGCAACACAGAGGTGTTACACAACACTAGCTGAGGAAAGAGCAGGTAGAGAAACTGCATCATTAAAGAGAGTTCTCCCGCTCTGACACAGTAGTGCTTGTCTGTTTAATATCAGAAATCGTTACAATGTGGACCAACGGAGGATACATATCTGTGTGTCTGGCTAACTCAGATAAGGCTAGCTGCAGTGGTGGAAAGTAACTAAGTACTAGACTTGTAATTTACTCGAGTATACTACTCCACTACAATTCAGAGGTACTTTATGTACTTTTACTCAACTACATTTATTGTATACCTTTATTTACTTTGCAGATTTTGATTAATTATGTAAAATATAACCAAGTGTTAAATCAGACTTTAGTTCCACCTGGAGTAAATTCACAAGCTACCCTGCAGTATACAAAGTCATTCAAACTAGCTGCACCTTTACCAGCTTTGAGAACACTTTAATGCATTAAAAATTATAAAACAAAATATATAATATATTATTCTGAAATGGGCCAATCTGCATAATGAGTACTTTTAATTTAGGTACTGTATTTTGATGCTAATACTTTTGTACTTTTACTTTAGTATTATTGAAATGCAGGACTTTTTCTTGTACATTTTTCTTCCTACAGTCTGGTACTTCTACCTTTACTCAAGTACAAGATCTGAGTACTTCTTCAACCTCTGCTTGCATGTGCAAAGACACCAAAAGGGCTGTCTGAATGCTGCAACGCAGAGGTGGTACACTTAACTAGCTGAGGAAACAGCACGTATAGAAACATTGTATCATTAAAGAGAGTTTTTCAATTGCAACCCTTGTCTGTTTAAAAAAATCTGAAGTCGTTACATTGTGGACCAACAGTGGGTTATGTGTGTGTAGGCTTTCTTATATAAAGCTAGCTTCTTTAGCACAGAGCCTTAGCCATGCACGCCTACCACAAACTAGCATCTGTGTTGCTGCTGCAGACATGCTAACACGACGGATTACAGAATATATACGCCATTGTTTGTATTGTATTTACAGCTTTAAACGTCTAAAAAAGCAGTATGAAAACATGAACCACAAGTATGCTCCATACAACCTTGCTCTCAGTTTGTCCTCTGTTACTGTCAACACACGGCAGCCTGTTCTCCACCGAGCACAATTTAGTGGTACACACAAAACGCGACAGGGTGCCTGATGGGAAATGTAGGCCGTAGTGGTTGGGAAGCAGGTGCTGCTGCGTTCATGAAAACACGATGTATTGACATAAAAAATAACAAAACTTGACACAAGGTTTTGGCTTTTCCCCCCTCAAACTAACAATTTCTCCCTAACTTCCCTGTACTTGAACGCAGCTGAAATGTCCAGCACTCCTATGAGTCCTGTAAAACCAAAACAATTTAAATATGTATTTAAATAATTATGTTTATAAAACGTAGTATATCGTGCATAATACATTAAAGTCACAAATAAAACCTTCTAAAATGTGTTCGCCTAGACAGTTCTTCTCTTAAAACGTACCATTTTCCCTCTTAATTTCCCCCTGAACGCAGCTGTAATGTCAAACTCTCTAAATGCTGTTCAACCTATGGTTTTAAGATATATTTAAATAATTATGTTTATAAAACGTAGTCTATTTTGCACAATACATTCAATGTCTTAATTTGTCTATGCATACAGAAAATAACAGGAGCAATCTAAATCAATAATGGAACATAATGTATAGGATTAACGATTAATTAACACGTTGGTAATAGCACCATTTGTTGCATATCATTTGACACTGCCACCTCCCAAGACTGATTATGTACCCTTGAGCAAAGCGTCCCCATCTGTTTCCACATTGATGTGCATTAGACAACAGAGCATTATTTCAGAGTGATTTGCTCTAAGGAAAATAACGGCTTCTGTTGTTTGATATGCCATAATGAAATGTATTATTTAATTGCTGTAGAAAAAAATACAAACAGTGTGGAAACTGAACCCTGCTTACAAGAAAGTCTTCCTACAATCTAATTTCCTAACTGATATGACAGATACATTTGTCTTATTTTTTATCACCACTAGATGGCACCACAGGATTATATTCTGCTACTTTTTAAGCCATATCAACAACCTAAGCTTCTAGTAGACTTATTTTGCTTTTATTTTAATACTTTGACATGTATTCTGTTTTGCACTCAGATATACATGTCTGCACAGAGGCAGAACAAAACACTCACTCTCACAGATCTTCACTCACATCGGAATGTGTGTTTTCAGTAGTGGAGCCCTGCTGTGATTACCGTGAAATGTTAAGTCTTGGAAGTATGATTAAAGTTCATGAAGACAGACAGGTGGATGAAATCAAAAAGATGACTTAACCTACTCCAATGAATCTGTCCAATTAAGTTGGAAAGGTAGGCTAATAAACAAAACCTGCCTGAATTTCGACCCATGGTCATGTTATATATTTTACTAATTTGAACGTGTTCCTTGTGACCACCTGCTTTTTTGAATGGCATTGTTTTTTTTCACTTACTGGAATGCTTACGCACACATTCTCATTTGGTTTCAATTACCTGCAATATTGTCTTAAATGTTATCCTTTCTCCAAAAGCAAGGTGGCGCTAGAATACAATTTATAATCCCTGGGAAGCAGCGTTTCATTCAAAGGGCCTGAAGTCTTCTCACTCAGCAGACATCAATTTCATGATTTCACGGAGCTACTTCTTGTGACGGGAATCGGTATGGTTACTTCAGCAGTCAGGCACGTCCAGCTGGAGAGAGTGTGCAACCAACAAAATCAAGCTGGGCATCTTTTTAATATTCTAATCAACTTTTTCATAACTAAGGGGGGCAAAAGAACAAGTCCCAGTCATGGTCAAAATGTCAAAACATCTAGGGAAGGAGCAGAGGCAATAATAAGAAGGTTCCTTATATGTTGCAACATTTTCTCAATGAAAGGAACACGGCATAATTATCCTACTACAACCAATACAAATATAATAATACATTATAATTACCACAATCATTTATTTTCATTCGTGTCAAATATGAATGCAAAGTGCCTGGGGTGCAGCCTGTTAAGCACAACTCGCAGTTTTAGGAAGTAGCCGGAGGCCGGTGCGATGGTGGAAGTGGTTGAAACCAAGCCTTTTAAACAGGCTGGATATTCAAAAGGGACCCCGCTCCTGCACTCCCAGACAGCTCTGCTTTAAAACGTACTCCTCCCTTATAGAGCCCCAAACAATATTTTTGATCCCCCCCTCCTCCACCTCCCTCTCTTTTGTCCAGTCCATGGTGAAGGTCTATAGCTGCAGGTATTGTGTGTGCAGTTAAAATGTGTTCGCCTTTGAAGTCAAACATGAAGGCAATTGTTTTAAATATTAACACCGCAACAAACAAAAATCTATAGATTATATGTGGAATTATGCAATTGTGAAAAAACACAAGTATAAAGAATTTATTGGAGAAAAAGGCACAAATAAAGTGTGCGTAAAAAGTGTGTCCAATATGTAATAGTGTTGGATGTAAATCCATGCAACGCTTCCCGTGTGCAAAGCAATGACAAAAAGGTGTGTGTGTGTGTGTGTGTGTGTGTGTGTGTGTGTGTGTGTGTGTGTGTGTGTGTGTGTGTGTGTGTGTGTGTGTGTGTGTGTGGGTGTGTGTGTGTGTGTGTGTGTGTGTGTGTGTGTGTGTGTGTGTGTGTGTGTGTGTGTGTGTGTGCGTGTGTAAAAGGGAGAGCTCATTCGCTCCTGGCCCGAGGGGTCTACATAAGTATGTATTAGAAAATAAACAGTGGATAAATAAATAATGACCCTCACAATAGCAGGGTAGCGTTCTTTGTAGAAGTAATGATGTTGGCAGTTAACCTTCAAGTTTTTAACTTGACACAGTTTCATTTGAGAATTCATGGTTTCTACCCAGAAGAAAAGCTAAGAAAACAAACAGATATGTTCTTAAAAACTGTTTGTCAGTTGAAGACAAACATATGAAACATACACAAATAATATTATTTTTGCTTTGCTTTCTCTTTAATTTTCAGTTTTAGCATATTCTCTAAAAACACATGTATTCATTATTATTTGAATTAGTATATATATTTTCTCCCATACATCACATCACAAGTTGTCTTGTAGAACTCTTTATGTAAAATTGCCTGTTGGGGAAAAAAGCTTAAACTGACTTTTCCACTTAATAAGTCAAATGTATATTTCTTTGTTCGTTTTAAGAAAAGTCATTTAATTGTCCATTAGCGACCACAACATTACAGTTTAGGCCTATCGGGCACCTAGTCAACTGTGATCAGGTAGTTTCTCCCTATCGTCCACACCCGAAAGACTGCGCATGCGTCACCAGGTAGCCCCGCACCGGTTTTTTTAAGGCCAGGTGAGGCGATTCCGTCCAGGTAAGAAAGTAAAAGGTTTACTCCGGGACCGGAGGCTTAATGCGATAGACACGGCACGGGATCGACAAGAAAACTACTAAAGGCAGCAGAAGACAAAGAATGTCAATTATGGGCAAAATGGGGGATTGGCAGGTGAGTCGCTCACTTTAAGACAAAGACACAGCTGTAGAAGCCCATGAAAACTGTCAAAGTGTCGACCTGTTGTATGATGAGCCTGCACAGGCACCTAAAATACTGTATACAGTGGTTACACAACACTTGTGTATTTTACAGGCGTATATATTTGTTCTGTCAGGAAGAAGTCAATATAATTTATTTAGGAAACTCTTGCGGTTAAGTGTCAACTTAACCGTTGTTTTGCTCTGAAACATGATGATGTTATGTTGGAAGGACTCCACACACGTTTAATAGGCCTATACAATCGTATGTGTTTTAATAGAAATTACAAATGTGTCTAAACAAGCATAACTTGCTTTTTTTCTTAAAAGTGGAGTATTGACGAAACGCAGCCCTTATTCAAAAATATCTCGTTGCGTCTTTGAGGTAAAATCCAATTTATTATAAATGTAGCCTACTTTTTAAAAGCTGTTCCAAATTCGTATTACATGTTTTTAAACCTAAAAAATACAAAGTATCCCATTATGGACTTTCTGTAGAGTTTCGTTAAGGTCTTCCTTGTAAACCTGGCATTGTTTTGGTGAGGTGTGCATGGAGGATTTAAACTGCTGCTACAAGAATTCTCGTTACCGATCAGCCCCACAGACGGCCAGGCCACATCTCCAGAAAGGCACCCGCATCAGCCAGTTTCATCGCTCCATTCTCATTAATAACAACTGCTCGTAAAAAAGGCACTCCACCAAAAATGGTAATCCGGGTTTTGAACGAGAGGGGCCAACGCCTTAAAGAGCGGGCGACCTGTCTGCTGACCCACGACCTGCTGAGGTGAAGGCTGGGCCGGCGTCAGGGCAGAGCCGGGCTCCCGAGCCGCTCATTCAAATGAAACAAGGCCATGTTGTTGTGTTAATTATTGACACCCCCCCCCCCCCCCCCCCCCCCCCCCGTCAACCCTGCGCCCTTACAGGTAGTCAATGGACCTGTAGAGCGGCTTGGAATGGCTCACCCTTTTAACATAACATTGTAAGAATAGCCTCTCAAGGTCTCCACTCTCAATGGGATTAAAATAACAGTTTGGGAGTTAGCAAATCAAGGCTGGCAACAAAGTGTGTGACAGTGGTGTATTTGCATAGGCATGCTGTTTTCACATCGAGTATTAGAAAAGTCATCAAGGGACAAAAAAAAGTTATTTCATAGCATTTTTCCTTTTAATCAAGTCAATTTAACTACATCGCTGCTAAAATAGCATTTATGTAGTCCTTCCCTTTTTTTTTTTAAATACTGTAAAATGTACCAAAAACCGTCCCAGGTGCAGGTTCCCATGCATGGCTATATTCCCCCCTATCCCCCTAACAAACACCTCGCTGAACAGTAGAAATGTTAAGCATGTGTAGCGTCTTGCTGCTTTAGTTTTTACCTGTGCGCTGTCCATTGGTGTTGTGTGAGCAGATGGAGGGAATCAAACGGCTGTTGATATGCTAATGAGGCCCTGTGCCAGTGTTATTACAGAACTGCTCCAGCCCTTCACTTCCACCATTAGAGGGAGACCTCAGAGCGCAAGACAGACAGCAGCCCACAGCTTCAATACAAGTAGTTTTTCTGAGCGGGGAGCACAATTCACTGAGTGAAAACAAGACTAAGGCGAAACCTATACTCAATATCCACCTCAACAATCCATGAACATGCTTTGGAAATTAACTGATAATATTAAATATGAAGATTGCGAGGTAAGGGGCTCCTCTTTCATTTATTTAATTTAATTTAACCTTTAACATTAAACTTGGATATTTTAGAGATTGTATTGTTTGGATCCAAATGTGTCATTGTTTTGACAGCTGGTATGGGAACATATTTAATTCAGCAGCAGGATGAATAGATCCATGTCTTTTATTAATTGCGTGGATTATTATGTTTATGTTTTTTTGTAGAGTACATTTAAAACTATAAGAATACAAAAAATGATGGGAAAAATAACAACAAATGTTATAATAATGAGAATAATAATTGTGCAGTATGGCAATACAATCTGTATTTATTACATTAGTTGCATGATTACAATCTCACCATGATTTAATTTTGTTCTCTTTAAATTCACATTTTAAAATATAACAGAATATTAAAAGGAACGTATTGGAAGAATAGCATACTACTTTACATTTACCATATATTTTATTAAAATATATATTTTAAAAATTAAATGACAGATGTATTTACTTTCGCAGCCTGCTTTATTCACTGCTCAAATGGCATGGACATTTACCCTTCAGTTTTAATTTCATCTGCAATTTCAGCCGTTACACTTCGCGTGTGTGCCTGCATGTGTGGAGTGCATACACCGAGTTATTGTTGTTATGGGCATTTACTAAGTTAGGCAGTAATATCAGGAACTTGTTTGGGAATGGAGAAGTCAGTCCAACGTATTTTCAGCCGCGTCCTGGAGATAGGGACGGCCGGTAGTAGGAAAACAAAAGCTGGGCACCTCCGCGTTCATGTTGGAGTGTTTATTTTTAATTTACAGGCACTTTCTTTCACTGGTGTGGATTTAAAAAAAATACAGTCCAGTCACAGACCGTTTTCTAAATATATATTGTAATGTGTGATTTAGCTGGAAAGAGAATGGAGCTGTGCGTAAAAGTTCCAAACGGCCCTGTCATAGACTTTCGGGAATTATTTGTTGTCTTTTCGGGTTAAAATGAAAAGTGAGCCGGTGTGACTCTGGCTTTGGAGGTGAGGAGGAACCGGTGGATAAATTCGGCCGAGACAGAGGAGAGAACGGAGACCCATGGAGGGCAGTTCGCGCAGAGAATGAGGTGGAAAACAAAGGGACGAAATGAGCCGATCGGAATGCCCACTATCGTCTGCTGGATATTTTTACCCAGTTCCGAGTTGTTTCCTTCCAAGGCTTCTTCTTACTGTGGTCCACCTCCCCTTCATTCCTATGTCTTTCTTTCACTTTTGCGCTTTGGCCCTGGGACCCTTTTAAAATGCCCCCCCCCCTCCTCCCTCTCTCTCTTTCTGATTCGTCTGACGAGAGTGTATGTCCCTCTTTTTGTCTCTCCCTCTCTCCACTCCCTCAACAGTCTCTCACTCCCTCTTCCTATCTCACTCCCTCTCTCTCCTCCACCTCTGATTAGATATACTGATTCATCCTTTCAATGGACGTCATTTAAGCGCAGACTCCTGCCTTGAGTTGCGTCCTCCGCTTCACGCCCGATTTCCGACCATTCTTTCCTTATTATTAAGTATTCCTGTAATATTAATAGTCATGAATGCGTTCTATTAGGAGTCCAAGAGGGAGACGAAGAAGCGGCTCTTTTGCTAATATGAGCTCAAGCCAGGGGACGGCAGCACTGTGATAGAAGCCAGGAGAGCAGGGAGAACAGAGGGTTTTCCAAGAGAAACTTTTCGACCCAAATCCGACGAATATCTGCATTTTTTTCGACTCACGTGAAGGGCAGGATCTAACCATTTGTTTTCTGATGGATTATCGTCCTGCTTCTGAGGCACATATCTGATCGCCGGGGCCATCGTGATCTTTCAGGAGAGAATAGTCTTTCCGGGGGGCTACAGTTTTTTATTTTGCTGGTTGGTTCCCTTTTGCTCGCCCCCCTAAAACACGCAAAGTGTTTTTGAACTGAATACTCTTTTCTTGAGTGGGCACCAAAAATCCGTAAACATGTTAGTGCACAGTTTTTCCGCGATGGTAAGTTTGCAGAAGCCTCTCCGTGACAGACTTTGAATTTGTTTACACACCAGATTTTGTAATAATGTAATATTTCATTTCGAGTATTTTTTTGGTGAAGCTTGCATGCTTAACATCTGTGGGACACTTTGGAGAACATTGTAAAATTGGTTATTTATTTGAGAGTATTTCCACCTCCGGAATTTCGATGTTTTTATTTGTGTTTTTACTTTTTACCGTTTAATAACATTATTAAAACGTGCGTAAAAGTAATGTATATATGAAAGTCTTATCTTTATCGGTTAATAGCAACCAGGACAAGTTATTCAGATTTAATACAGACTATTCCTGTCAGGCCATATTTGATAATGCCCCAGCAAAAGCCCGCAGAGCTCTTTTACTCTAGTAAAAACAAAGAGTGTAACTGCGATCACTTAGCTGTCTATTTCTAAAGTATTCAAACCTTAAACACACTGTTCCTTCTTCCTCCAGGACCGTCACGACGGCACCAGCAATGGGACAGCCAGGCTACCTCAGCTGGGCGGCGTGGGCCAGAGTCCCTACACGAGCGCCCCTCCGCTCTCCCACACACCGAACTCGGACTTCCAGCCCCCGTACTTCCCCCCTCCCTACCAGCCCATCTACCCGCAGTCTCAGGACCCTTACTCGCACGTCAACGACCCGTACTCCCTGAACTCGCTGCACGCCCAGCAGCAGCAGCAGCACCCGGGCTGGCCGGGCCAGAGGCAGAGCCAGGACAGCGGCCTGCTACACCAGCACCGCAGCCTGCCCCACCAGCTGTGCCGGGATTACCGCAGGGAAGTGCTGCTACCGTCCGGCCACGGAATCGACACGGGACTGTCGGACTCTATCCCTATCCATGGAATACCTCACTCTTTAGACGACGTTGGGGTGAGGCAGCATTTATATTCTTTGGGCTGTTAAAAAAAAAATCACATTTCTTATTCATTTTAGGGACTACTGTTACGAGTTGAACTAATATTACAATTCAAACAAAAATAACTAATAGTGCTATTTCAATGTTAATAGAATTATCAAAACATGTGCATTTCAAAATTCCTATTCATATATAATATATATTAACATTATTAGGGTATTAATTTAATAAATATAAGAAGGATTACAGAGGATTAAATTAGCAATTTTTTGCTACCTGAAAAAATAGCATGACATTTTTTTCCTGAGATGTTATTGTAATTCTAATAAAAATATCCTAATTATGCATCGTTACTTCCATTTATAAAAAGGTTTATCGCTTTGTAAACATTCAATATTACACATGTTGTTAGTCGTCTAATTCTCGTTTTATTTTATTTATTAATATTATCTCTTAAATCTAATTAAAATAAACAGATACAAGTAAACAGAAGAAATGTGCCATTTACGTCCTTTTTAAGTCCTCTGATTTAATTTGATTTCTCAGTTTAAAAACAGCTGAAGCTCGCCGATGTCTGCGAACAATTACATTATAAAACATAGCTTGCACTAACAGGAACATTTAGTTTAAGGTAATAGCTCACGATTACTAAAGATGCATGATAAATGAGGGCTAAAATTGTCCAAAACCCTTATTCTTATTTAGAGGATTCTTCCCAGTTTTTAATCAGAAACAAACACCAATAATCCTCTAATTAGTTCATAGGCCTTTAATAGGCTGCGCTGCCGTAATTACTATCCAATCTAGATGAGAAGTTTCCTTGTGAGTAGAGCCAATATGAGGGCGAAATTAGGTCAGGATTATGGGGCGACACAGCTTCTTTATTTAAGTCTGAGTGTGTGATCTAGTGCAACCCGCTGAAAAAACATGGACAATAATAACAGGTATGGGCCTCGAGAGCCTCCATGGTGATTGTGTCCGCTAATTGTGCCAGGCTTTGTTCGAGTTGCATTCACATGTGAGGTAAAATGTCCCTGCCTTTTGTGCTAAAATTCTCTTTTTTTTCATTTTTTGCCATAGTCTGTTGACGATCAAGGAATTCACATTTCCGACCAGACTGTAATTAAGAAAGGTAAGCAATTTTCCTCCGAGATATCATGCATGTTTCTGCGACACACACACATGCACACACACCATTCTGCTCCAGAGAACTCGATGCAATGCGGTAATGCCTGACTGATCCTAATACGCAGTAGCCTATTTTTCATTACATGCTTTCCAAGTGCATCAAACTGGCTGCACCTTTTTTTCCTCGCTGATGGAATTTACTGTCAGCGTTTCAGAGCAGCGGGGAGATGAGTAGGGCTGCTGGGCTTTGTAGGCAGTGGGTATTGATGGTCAAAGATTCAGTCCCATAGACTTCAGTGGTTGAAAAGCCAATAGCTGCAATCACACTGCATGGTCAAATTTAAAATGGAAGTTGAAGCGTAGGCCTACAGTGTGTGCAGGGTGTTACTGTGCCATTTATGGAGGGAATCTGCTTGGAAAATTCATGTTGGATTATAATATGTTTTATATTGTTAATATACAACACTTGGAGTCCCTTTTCACGGTCATGTTTAAACGCGTTTTGTCAGGTCACAGACTAGATTTGTCTTTTTTTCCCATTCTCTCTATTTTGAGTCTGTCTATCAGCGCATCAACATGATAATTGGCTTCTTATATTAGTAATCTCAAGAGTTCGTTTAACTCCTATTGTCTCTATTAGGCTCCCCTGAGCCATTAATGTCACAAGTGATCTATCCAAAGGCGCACAGTCCCCTTTGTCTCCGGTTACTGCACACCAAAACGGTGTAAAGCCCAGTAGTGCTGAGCCCCACCAACCCCCCCACCCCTGGTTTTGAAATCACACACGGGCGATTTTTGCTGGATATACGAGGAAATGTCAACATAGGTGACTTTATCAAATCTCTCGGATGGTGTGGCTGCTTTGTGCAAAGACGATCCATTGTGCGCAAAAATAGAACGTGAGCGCCCATAGCCCAGAGTTTCTCTATCTGCTGCTCAATCTCATATACATTTCGTTTTCGTAAGATAAAGAACAAATTAATGACACATTTTAATTTTGTGTGCGAGAATTATGCCTGATAGAGCTACTGACAACGCAAACACACAAATTATTATTCTTATGCTATTTCCATTGCTATTATTATAATGGATTCTATTATGTTCGTGTTGCTGAAAGTGTACACACATGTGGTGATAAACTCTAAATCCGGGGCCTAAATCCCCCCTTCTCATTTAGTTAAGGCTCTGCATTGCATGAAATTCACTGAGCACGGTCTCTCTCTCTCTCTCTCTCCCCCCCCCCCTCCTCCTCCATCCCCTCTCTTTCTTTACCCCCATTGCTAGGTCCAGTGTCTTTATCCAAGAACAACAACCTCTCCTCCATCCCCGTAAATAAGGACGGGCTCTTCGGAGGGGTGGTAAACCCCAACGAGGTATTCTGCTCGGTTCCGGGTCGCCTGTCCCTGCTCAGCTCCACATCAAAGTACAAGGTCACGGTGGCCGAGGTGCAGAGACGCCTCTCGCCACCCGAGTGCCTGAACGCCTCACTGCTGGGAGGAGTGCTGAGGAGGTGAGTTCAAAAAAGAAAAGAAAAAAAGAATCTCCACCTTCTCTCTCTTTCTGTACCTGTTTGTCTACTCCAATCCATTCTCTCTCTCCTCTGTACCATGAATAATTAAAATCGACCAACCATGACACCTAGCTCCTGCATTTAAAGCAGGAGGGGTCTGTTAAATTCCATATTAACTTCCCCTATAGTGCTCTCTCTCTCTCAAATTAATGTAGGCCTAGTCTGTTTCAACCCCAGCCCTATAGGCCCACTGAAGGCATTACACATGAAAACATTGGTCTCCAGTGAACTGTCTACTGAAGTGCTGTAGACACGCAGCCAGTAATAGCGCTGCCTATTAAGTAGGGCTTTATTTATTCATTTTGTACAGTATTTGTTTGCTGGTGAAAAGGGCTGGGCTCTTTTGGTATTATTTATAGCACGCACGAGGGATGTAATGGAGGGTAAAGCCAGCCAAATGCACCTTTTAATTAGTGAAAAAAAGCGATAGAATAAAAAAGCTAATTCAATTCCTGAACCACATTAACTGTAAATATATAGCCACCATAGGAGGTCCACATCCCAGAGATCAGAGAACATTATAAAAATACGTTTAACTTTTTGCCAAACAGTTGTCCTATACTTATACATTTACTACATTATTATATATTTTATATATTAAAATGTGCACTCTGTTCTGTCCCAGGGCCAAGTCTAAGAACGGAGGAAGATCCCTAAGGGAGAAGTTGGATAAAATCGGCTTGAATCTACCTGCGGGCAGACGCAAGGCAGCCAACGTCACCTTGCTGACGTCACTAGTCGAAGGTAAGTCGAGTGCCGTAAATCACGTTCCCACTCTTGTAGCTCCCGCGATATCAGGTGCTTGCAAAGTGGGATTTCCCCCCCCTTCTCTCTTTCTTTCTTTCTCTGTGTTGGAAATCAGCATATGCGCTCATCCGTGTAATGTGGACCGACTTTGCCTCGCAAGTAATAAAGCATGAAGGATGTGTGTGTGTCTGTGCAGTGCACTGTGTGTGAGGAGGGGAGAATGCTGCTGGTTATTCTATGGCTTTGCAGTGTTGGCCTTCGCTTTCAGGAGCACACTTGCAGGTCCACGGCTGGCCTAGTTTATACACAGGATGAATTCGTGTTGAAGTCCAGTTAATTATTGAGTGCTGCTTGTTTATTGGGCACCACTGAGCTGCTTCACCTCATGGATGAGAAGTGGATTGATTTATTACCCTGCATTATTTCAAACATTAATACAGGCCGGGTATGTCGGCGCAGGGCTGATTTTTTAATAGTGACTTAATTATTTCGTTAATAGCTTTGGTCTTTCGTGAAGATGCAAATGGAATGGCGCTGACCTATTGGGAGCTATATGTTTTGGGCCTATTAAAGAATAAATTAGTCAATTATGGCGCGCTGAAAAGATGCACTGAATAAATCCATTTTGCTTGCAGAGTTGAACCTTATTATTCAGTGCAGTGGTATTTGGTTGTGCTGTGGGCTTTTAAAGGTGAATGCCTGCGATGGTTCATTGGTCCTTGTTAATCATTATTTCAGAAGAGGGCCGAGTGTTCATTGTGCTTGGTAGAAAATGTGCTGCTGTATTGTAATGAGCCTGGAGAAATGTATGATTCTGGGTGATAAGGGGGGGTGGTGGCACGGGGAGGGTGGGAGAAGGCAGCCGGTTATTTAGTGAAGGGACAGTGCGTTTGCTGAAGTGCTGTCATTGTTTATGATCTGCTCCGTTTTATGGAAACCAGTTTACTGGACTTGAGCTTTGATGCTAATTGGCGCATGCGTTCTTCCGGAGTGGAGGCTTATGGGCAGGAAGCCCCGCAGTAAAAACTCAACTGCTTCAGGAAATTAAAACCAAAGACTAACACAAATATATAACAGGGACGGAATGAAACCTGTATATGTAAAGACAAAGCGAGATTTAGGTATAGCCCTTTACAATTGCTTCCCCATGCCTGTGTGATCTGCTGGACTCTCAATAATGTGCAGCCATTGGTAATCAATGACATGGTGTTCAGCATGACGCCCCGTCTATATTTCATATCCACTTATTGTCTTTCCTCCATATTATTCCGTTCTCACGGTATTGGGGGAGGGGGAGGGAGAGCTTGACGTGCATTGACAGCTCGCAGTTTTATTATTATTATTCCTGGGCTATTATTGTCATCATTAGTGTTGTTGTGAAGGCACAGGTGCTGTAACCCTGCTGTCTGGACACATCAGATTAATCATGTGTCGTCCAAGCAGGGAGTGTGAACTGCTCTGAATTTGATGTAACCATATTTAATAAGCAAACACATTCAACCTCGTTTTTTCTTTCCTTCTCAGGCGAAGCGGTTCATCTTGCCAGGGATTTTGGTTATACATGCGAGACCGAGTTTCCAGCCAAGGCAGTAGCTGAATATGTAAACCGTCAGCATTCAGACCCAAACGAACAAGTCCAAAGAAAAAACATGCTATTGGCCACAAAGTAAGCGCTATTATCACATTTCACTGTGTCACACCAAATGCATCCAAACACACACGAAGACAGGGATTGGATTATTAAAATACACACTTACAAATAAAAGTATGTCATCATGATACATTACGTTGTCATCATTGCTCCATGCCAATTTCAGTCCGCTAATAGCTAGCATAATATGAATTAATTAACAAGCTGTTTTGTGTTGCCACATGGCCTACTTTTAATTGTTACTGGACATCTCTGCAAATTATGGATTTCATTCAGACCTTTTTATTTACACATATAATTCATTATAATATTATACATTATTATTAAGTTAAATGCTCTGTTGTTGGTATGTTGACTGGGCCTTTTCCTATTCCATAAGCACCGTTTTGTTTGTGATTTCAGTGACACTGACACATAGCTGGTTCACATGCAGCACTATAGGTGTTTTTATTATGAGAAACAGGGGGATTCCTTAACTGGCCTGCATTTAATATTGATAACGGGCCACTAGTATCAAACAGCTGTCCACTTAGAGTGTATTAAAATACCAATACATTGAAATGAAGAGAAAACGAAAAATATTAGATTTACATTTAACGTGACTATTTTGCATAAAGATAAAGGTGTTTTTGGTTTTTTAAGGATTACATTCCGGGTTTTTTACTTCATCGTTGTGTTGGTTGCTGTTTCTACTTTTTGATAATAAGCAGCTGCACGTTTACACTGCGAAATGGTTGGTTGTTCACCGACAAGTCATTTGCACTCATGTTTTCTCTTAAAATCTTATTCTTAATAAAAGAGAGATATCCTGCCCCTGAGCTCACAGATGAGTTTCCACCTGTTTGTAGCTGCAGGACATTTTCTTTAGCCAGGGGTTAATTTCTGAAAACAAAGCAGAGTAAGATAAACAATTTCAGTGCACTAATAAATGTTCTAAAGAAAAAGTCTGCAGAAACAGGATCTGCTCACTTTAGGCTAATTTTGAGTTTACAACCCAGCACCCCTGCAGGACTGACTAATTACACATTATTTTTGATTTATTCTCATCATGGGTTTGCAGTGTTGTGGGTGTGTCATTAACTCTGCGTTTTCTCTGTTTTAGGCAAATCTGCAAAGAGTTCACAGACCTGCTGTCCCAGGACCGCTCGCCGCTTGGAAACTCGCGACCGCAGCCCATCCTCGAACCGGGAATCCAGAGCTGTTTAACCCACTTCAGTCTAATCTCACACGGGTTCGGGACCCCGGCACTGTGCGCGGCAGTCACGGCCATGCAGAACTATCTGACCGAGGCTATCAAAGCTATGGACAAAATGTACCTCAACAACAACCCCAACAGTCACTCAGACGGCACTAAAGGCGGAGACAAAGACGAGAAGCACAGAAAGTGATGTTTCCATCCTCACCGGGCCAACACCCCGGAGGCCCTTCTTCTACACCGGCCCCTCCGCCTCGCCCCGGCCCCCACCCATCCAATATAAATATTATAAATACCTTATAAATACTATTGATAAAGTTAAACGTGCCACTTCCTGATCTTGCGAGCGGTTTTACATGTTTTGTTTTGGATTCACGGGGGAAACGACGCGAGCATCTTCTTCCAACACCTGAACCATATGAAATGTTATTTTAAAAAAAGAAAAGAGAAAAAAAAGCTGCGGAGGAACAGCTCCAGGGCGAGGAAAAAGGTGTATTGCCTCAGCCAGAGGACTTTTTATGTACTCCCCTTATTTTTTATGAGCTGCAACGAATGGACTGAAATCCAGCGACCCCTCTATATCTCAATTTTACGATTGTGACAAAAACGAAGCGAAAAGAGGATGAATTCTTATCAGTATTGTGAATAATAAACTTGAAAAACAAAGAGAAATTCCACAGAGCTCCATGTCATGACTTCAGTTGTAGACTCTCACTCTCTCCAAGCGACCAACTTGAACTTTTTGAAATTTCAACACGATTCACGGTTATATAAGGGAATCAGTGTTCATGTATGTATATATTTATTTATGTGTAATTTAATGGGAATTGTAAATATGGTGCGTCTGTTGAAACTTCTTTTTTATTTATCTGGTGCCTCCTGTTTTAGTGGGTTTGAATATTCGGTTAGTTATTCTTCATGTGATTTTATGGTTCTTAGAAAAACAGAAGTTTGGGGTATTTTATTTCTCTGGGATATTTCAATTCAGCCCTCTTGTAGCATGTTGAGGCGACATTGAAGCAAGTGAACAAATTGAATAGAAATAAACTTCCATTTCTCTCTATATATATCATCCTTATTCAGTTTTTTATTTGAGACAGAGCACAGGTGACACCCTGAGGAGAACTTGTTTTATTTGTGTTTCTATTTTCGTTTTTATACAAGCTTTTATGTGTTGTGCCAATCAGAATCACCTCTTGTTCTCTCCTTGAAGCACCATAAAAGCAATAAATGGAATATTGTCTTTTTTTAAATGTTGGAAGACATTTAAAAAAAACATTTTTTGGGACCACCTGATATCTTGTCATGTCCGATAATGTCCAACATTGGAGGCGGTTTTAGCTGTATTGTATAGACATGTGCTGGCAAGTTCCCATGCCTGTCAATGTATTATAGTCCTTTGTTGCCCAGAAAAAAATAAATATTTGATACGCTTCATCTCGATTTTTATTCATATCTTTTAATTTTTTATTCACTGCACCCGGGTGTTTTTTTTCCCTTCCTGTTTTTTTATTTTGTTGGTCTTTTTTCCATTCTGAACGGCTACAGTAATTGAGTTTAAGTCTCCCCCGACGATTGCTCCTTGCAATAAGCAGCTGAACTCATTGCTTCCCTCAAGTATAATAAAAAAAATCTTACTTTAAACTCCCTAGTTCAGAGCACAGGATCTTATGCAGGCCAAATGGCTCACAACAATGGATGTATTCGCGTTTGAAGTGCAGCGCCACCCCTCCAGCTAAAACCCTCTGAGATGTATATAGGCCTGGTGTGCAATGTTTGGTTGTTATCGGCTATATTTGACTCCCCCCCTCTTTTATTCTGCCTTATTTAAAGACATGCATCACATATTTGTTATGTTGTTTGCCTCTCAGTGTAATCAATGCACAATCAGCGCGCAGTACGCTGGCGTTTTAATCTATATTTCGTGATAATCATACCACTTTCATGCGGAATCTTCATCTCTGGCTGGTATTTTGTGTTGGTCTTTTGTTTGGCTGAGTGAGCCTATAACTATCACGCAGGCTGTAATAGCAAATCTGATGCTGGCCTTGGCTTTATTTTGCGTGCAGAGCTGCAGAGAGCGTTGCATAACACTTGACTTTGATTGTATATTGATGGCGTTGCACCTAGCTCGGAATCATCTGATATGGAGCATGAATCGGTGTGGTGATATATGCATCTTCTTTTTCCCTATTTCACTGTCTGGTAACCGTGCAGTTTAAAATATTGTGAGAGCACCCCCCCTCCCTTGCTCCTCTTTCTCTTATTATCTGCATGATTTTCGGGCCCTGGTTTAATTCTGAGGCAGTTGTTTTTTTGTTGCAGGAGGGTGAATGAAGCCTAACTGTACATGTCCTTGGCATAATTGCGATGCACAGTGCTGGAGCAGGTGAAGCGAGGCATTGTCTGTCAGGCCCTGTTTTTGTTGGCTCAGTCTTCAGATTGTGTGTGGGATCCTGTCCTCAGGCACAATAGCTCACTCATAAAGGGGAGAGACTACCCGGCTGCTCCTGCTATGGTGCATGTGAGGGGGGGAATAGCATAAATAGTCACTTTAGGGGAAAACAATCGTATTAAAAACAGCATTGGTATTAGCCAAAAAGGAAGCCCCTCACGTGTGTCATTAATGCTAATGTTATTTAAGAAATGCATCAGGGGTTGGGTGAATGAAAACAGGTTTTGGAGGGTGAAACGAACGCATTAGAAATAGTGGTATCTGTGACAATGGTGGATGTTTGTGCCTATTATTAGTGTGAGATGAGGAGTATGGCAGGGCCTGTAATTGTGTCTTTTTGTGTAATGGAATTGGTGTTAAAGAAACTCCAAATCCTATTGTGAGGCGTTTGTTTACACTGATACTAGCCCCATAATTTGCATACCTTTTTTAATACGAAATTGTAATTATACCCAAATTCGATCTTAAACAGGTCGAGCTAGTTCCTCAGTGGAAGTCATTTTAAAAAAACACAACAAGGAAGTGTGACATTTGAAGAGCCAGTCAGCAATACCCAGATGAATTTGGCTAATTCAATCCATGCTGCTTGTCTCAAGTAAAGCAATTACAGCTGATTCCCGGTTAGTAATTAATAAGTGTGAGGCCTGTTGTTATCAAATATGTTGGAGGATTTGCGAAATAAAATATTAGAGGGGTTAGAGTGACGCATTGTGTGTGATTAAGCGTTTTCTGCAGGCAGATGATGCGTAAAGATGAAGTGTGGATAGTTTTTTAAAATTAATTTCATACACTAACTTGCAGTACTTTTTTTGTATGATTCAGATATTTCCCTATTGAATGCTTGTGTGCTAACAAATTGAAAACAAATGCAACTCCGTTAATTGACCACTGCCTGTCGCGCATTTTACGCAACTTTTCATCTTCAACCAGCTGCTCTCATCAGCCCTGTACACATGTGTCCCATCCACTTTAAACGCCAGCAGCCATGTATGTGGTCAGAAAGTATTTAGTTGACGCTGTTGAGGTCACTGCCTGGTGAAAGGAGTGTCTGCATGGCCTAATTACCCCGCAGCACCATGGCTACAACAATCTGCACTGTAACGCTCGCAGGCAATGCTTTGGAGCTGCCTGCCTGCATGGGGAGATATAGGACAGCAGCACACAAGGAATAGATTTTTTTTTCCTTCCCCTGCACTGCCACAAATGTTATATTGGGGTGATTGGAGTTTGATTTAAGCCCTCTCCTCCTGACATTTAAACAGATGGATCTGCTGGAGATTGAAGTGATTGTTTAAAGATGATCAGTCATAGCGAATTACTTTGGGGGAAAAATACTTTCCAAAAGATCATTGTAAGTGTGCCTTATTGATGGAAAATAGATGTGTTGAAGGAATACACATGTTGATGCTCAATAAATAATAAGGGACAGATATATACTCGATCTACACACTTTTTGCAAACACAGAGCAGGCCCTATATAGTCAGATGTGTCACCATTACGCATTTCAAACGGCCGGCTCTCGCTTTAAATGGCTCGGACACGACGCAGGGTTCCTTTAAATGACATTTGATACGGTTATTGGTGCAATCGAATTAGGCCGTGTGACTCTAAAGTTTGCAATGAAGCGCAAAATGGCTAATTGTCCTCAACTCTGACATCAGCCGTCATTGGCGCTGACCCCCCTTGTGGCTCCCCTTGCCCACTGAGAGCAGGGCTCAGAAGCCAAGAGAGGTCAATGACTCAAGCAAATCATCAAATCACCGCTGATTACTCGAGACATTAGGTAATCGATTAGAAAACATTAAGTGACTTTGAATAAACAAGGGCCTGCTGATAGGAGGAGCTCAATAACTGCAGAGCAATATGGCTCGTTCACAAAAAATGAGAGGTGTTTGATTAATTGCACGTGCACTTCCATGCACAAATACATGTTCGTTTTTTTTGGTGGTTTCTGTGTCACTTAAACCAAGTGGCTTTGGAAATATAATTTTGTTTGCACTTACAGGTCTCATTATCAAACACTGAGGTCTGTCAATTTCATGGGCTTGTGTATCCCTAAATATATGAAAAAAGAGGGGATTACAATTGTGTTAATGTTTCCCTGCTCGGTTAATGCAGTTTATATTCTAGTTTCTGTCATTCTCTCCCTCTTTCTGTCTCTCCCTGCATCCTCTGCAGTCAGCCAGGGGGGGAGTGTCGCCCCGGGCCAAACATATGCTTCTTTCCATTGCACTAATCCAAATGCAGCGTGGAGGAATAATTGCTCGAGTGGCCGTGGCTTCGCAGGGGCTTTGTCCCTCACTGGCTCCCGTCAGCCAGGCACACGCCATTTCAATCAAGCCTCTATATCTCTCTCTCTCTCTCTCTTTCTCTCTCTCTGTGTATCAAACCTCGGACCTTTTATCAAACCAGACCCTCACGCTCCATAAGCACACAGCCACATCCTCTAAAAGGCGTTTTTTGTATTTCCCCCTCATGTTGTTGTTGCTGTCAGGTCATCACATTTGGAGCCCCATCTTCATTAATATTGACAGTGCAGCACGTTGGCAGGCTTTATTGGCAAAACGGTCGCATGAGCAATGAATACAAATTAAAAAAAGACTTTTTGGGTAATATTTCCTCAGCGCCTAGGAGTATTTTTAAATATATTTCACAGATTCCAGGCACCAGGAAATATTCGGTCAAGTAGGGGAAATCCACTTGGTCATTCAAGCAGAAATCTGACAGAGTTGATTATGGCTTGTTTGGATTTAATGTGTTGTTAAAAACAGACCTAAAATGATTGACAAATGACGTGATCTGCACAGTTTCACAGATGTTGTCCTTGGGGCACTTTCGTGAAAATAAAATAAAATGCTGAGGGCCAAATATTTACTGTATCAGTAGTAACCAAACATAAATAATAATAATAATAATAATAATAATACAATATTAATTTATTTAAAATAAATTGCAAATGTTGTAGGTTTATTAGGCCAACATTTGGACAGACAGTATCCCACTGTTCCAAATGTTGCCATTACAATTATGATAAAAGATAATTCGATTCGGAAACAGAACTGTCTGTTTACCTGTGATGAATTTCCAAACATACACAAGTTTTACATCGGCCTGTGTTCTGATCACACACACTCTCACACACACTTTAACAGCCCGTGTAATCCTTTGCCTTATTTTCTTGTGAATCAACGATGGAAAAATCACTCTATAGTAAAATGTAGCATTTGCTAGGAAATCAAATATTTCCACGGATAAGAAATGATATAAGACAGAGCGAGAGATGGGGGGGGGGGGGGGGGGGGGGGGGGGGGGGGCAGGGGGGAGCAGCGTGGATGTCTGACTGAATTAATAGACATGATAATTTCACACTATTTCATAGTGAGCTATCTGTTCCATCACAGCAAAATAAAAGGGTCACTGCGCAGCTGTGGCAAACCCCAAGCGTTATTATGAAGTTTGATGACAGACCCCCACCCTCTCTTTCTTTTTTCCCCCTCTCCCTCTCTTTTTCTTCTCTCTGGTACTTCGCTTCAGGCCAGCAATAGCTCGGGGCCACGCCGGTGCCTCCCCATGATAAAGGACTTATACTCTGTCTGCGCAAAGAAAGCCGCAGCAGCTCCTCTCTCTCTGAACCTAATCAACTCACTGGCTGGGCCCTTAACGATTGGTATACACCCCCCCCCCCCCATGTCTATTTTCCTCCATCCCTCTCTCCCCCCTTTCTCTTTTTCTCTCTCTGTGAGTTGCTGCACGTTTTGTTGGACATTTCTATATTTATTTTAGAAATGGTCACAATAATAGTATTAATAACAATTACAATAATAATAATAAGATTTATGATTATTCTTATTTTAAATCATCTTCATATAAATACACAATAAAACAGTGTAAATAAATAAATACTGGTCGAAAGGAGTTGAATATAGCACTGTGAAATAATATGAATTCTATAATAAATATATACAAACATTAATCTATACA